AGTCGGGGAGATGGGCTAGAAAGCGGATGACTATCTCAACGTCGAAAGCGATGGTGAAGACAATCATGACGTAGCCTAGGAAAGGTTATTACTGCTCCAGGAATTTTAATTGGAACTCACGAAAGGCGCTATCATAGTCCTGCCTCCCTCTCCCCGCTACCACAAGCTCAGCCACAATCAACAACACCCAGAAAAATTCCGTCTTTTGATATATCGCCAATAGTTTGTTGCTCTTGGCTTTCCTGTCCTCTGTCGCCCAATGAGGCTCTGTCCCCAGAAAAGTCTCATCACCACCAAAAGCACTCTTCTTGGTCTCGGCGCGAATGTCATTGAACGTGTTGATAACGACGGCGATGAGAAGATTGATGAGCCAGAAGTTGAGCACAATGACTCCGGCGAGGAAGAAGAGACAGGAGCCGAAAAAGTCTGAGTCCATGGCGATGTACATGACCGGCGCCCAGGTGTTCACTGCAGCTTTAGTGAGCATAATACACTTCGATCGTGGTACCATGGGACTTACCGGAGGCAATGATGATTATCTGGACGAGGGATGAAAATACATTATCAAAACTGTTGACGTTGCTGTTTGGGTTTTCATCTGTGGTCTGGGGGCATTGTCAGTCGAGCTGAGTGTGCTGGCGTGACACTTACCATACACTGCTGTCCCAACGGGCAGATGTTGCCTTTTGCCGGGACAGAAGACTCCGTCCCATCCTCGTTCAGATAGCTCCTGGTGGCCAGATCTCCATCTAGCCAACCCCCACACTGAGTGTCCAAAGTGATCAGATTCGTCGAATTGTTAGGATCCGTCAACACACACGCCCTCCTAAAGCTTCCTCTGAAACTCTGGACCCCGATGATCGAAAAGATACACGCGGCAAAGATGAGAAAGTAGGAAACGGTGATGAGCATGGGACCGGCACGTTTGAGAGAGTGGAGGATGGTGGTGGTACCACTGGTGATAACTAGCAGGCGGCCAGCCCGAAGGACGGACAAGGCGCGAAAGATGTAGAGATGGCGATTCGCCGTAGCTTCGTACCCTGTCAGCGCCAGGATGAAGGTGATCCAGAACGCAAATACAGCGATCATGTCGATTCGGTGCCATGAGTGTCTCAGGTAGGGTCTTCCCTGGTCGGACAAGCTCTTTTGCTTCGCCACAGCTTCCTGGAAGGGCGCTTCAGAGATACCGACAAACGCTTTCTTCACCGCGGTCGCTTTTTGTTGCAGCTTGGGGTCCACTTGTGAACGCCACGCCGCACGCCTGGACTTGCCATGGCTACGATGCAGATTACTTTGAATGTTGGAAGTGGTGACTAGCAAGTAGTCTCGCAGGGTGGGGACGATGCCGCCAGGAGCGAAGAGGGAATGCGATAGAGATGTGTCAGGATCTAGCAGCAAGCCAGTGACCAGTATCCTTGCAATCATCTCCACTCTGTCATAGTATCAGCCAGTGTTCCAGCCTTCCATTACCCAACTCACGTGAATAAGGTAAAGAAGATCAGCAGCGCGTAATCCTCCCAGCTTTGAAAATAACCATCGTCTTCCCGCGGTTCGTTCAGAGCCGGAGCAGACTGGATTGCAAGGACAACAGCGTTGGCGATGATTAGAAGAAGAATGCAGGGTTCAGTCCATCTACAGAGACGTTAGTATAGTAGTCGTCAATGAAATTGATTGCTCACGGAAATCGCATAAGACTATCCATCCCCTTCCTGATCCTGTTATGCGGTCCAAAAACACATAACGTTCGTCCTCGTAATCTCCCGTACTGACTTGGCCGGTCTTCCTCTAGGACTAATGGCGGCCTCGGATTTGGCACTATACCATCTAGTCTATCTCGCCCCAAGTCCTTCATCCCAACATCTCCGTCCGCCATGTCATCATCTCGCAAAATTTCTTCTCCATCATCATCACTCCCCACCCGTTCTTTCCGCCTGTCCGTTCCCATAATATTCACAACTCTAACACTCGCTTTTCTTAATGATGAAGAGACATTGCGTAGAGTCGAGCGCCGACTGATATTTGAAGACGTCTCGTACGGCTTGCTAGGCGAGCGTCTTGGCGTACCTTTCCCTAGTCCGCCATAGCCCAAGTCGTACCCCTGGTCATCCGCACGCCCAGGAGTCAACCTCTCCCTATCCATCGAGAACGTATTTCGGAGTCCCCCTTCGTCCAGGGGAGAAAAGTTGCCCGAGTCGAGAGAGTTGCTGGACGGGAACTGGCCCATGAATGGATGGTTTGATTGTGGTGTGGGCGTCGCCTGGGTGGTATTGCCCCATATGTCTGACCCATCTCTCAGGCCTGCCCAAGTAATGTCCCTCTCACTCAGGCGGGGGCGGTGATTCACGCCTGTGCTTGTCGCAGCTACCGGCGTAGGCGTCCCATGCGGAGGAACGGGTCTCTTTACAGGTGTACTCTCCGTGCCCCCGGCCTCATGCATAATGAAATCCTCATCTTCTCTGATATTGGCGTTCCAGCTCTGCCGCCGCTGGATGTGGGTGCCGGATAAGGAAGGGGAGGCGGGAGAGACGGGGGAAGGATTAGGAGATGAGTGGATGGAGGTCGACGTGGAGATGGCGATGCTGTTTGAGCGGGAGGGGTGGGCGTGGGGGCTGGCCATGGCTAGCACATTTGGGTGATATGGTGTGTTGCTTTTGTAGAGCAAGGGATATAGATGAGTGAAGGAATAGATGTGTTGTTACAGTTGGCAGCACAGCTTCCGTCGCGACAAAATACGCGACGCGCGCTCTCTAACATAGTACTCCTTCTCGCCCTTTCCGCCTGACAATACAGTCTACAGGGTCTAGAGTATGGACTTTCGCACTCTATATGCCAATTACGATTCCTTAACAATGCCATACTACTTGAACACTGCGCCTTTCAAGCTCTCTCGCCCGCGACTTTGGCGGCTATTTCTCTGGCCCCGTATGTAGCGATTGGAATACTTGCTTCGACAATGGTCCATCATGTGATGACAACATGGTATGTGAGAAAGGTGGGTCAGATACTTTAGAAGTATACTTCGATGACGAAAAAGGCGCGAGGAAGAAGGGAGAGCGCCATATCCAAGAGTCACAAGCTCCTGTTCCCACTTGAACCAAGATCAGCCGACCCACAGATGCAATGTGCACAAATGGTATCTGGCAGAAGAGACTATCTACCAATCAGATACATCATGACTGGCTCCCGAACTACGGGAGACATTTCCCGTGGCCACAGAGGAGACTGCTCAACGGTTGTATGCGCTGTCGAACCGGGACAATGGGGCGTATCTCGCCGATTGCATTCCAGTTCCCCGAGCAGAACTGGGAGTGAATCTTGAGTGAATCTTGAGTGAATCTGAAGTGAATCTGAAGTGAATACCCTTGTTGGAAGGAAGCATAACCAAACAGCCAGTTATTAGTTTCTAAGGGGGTAAATACGGTGGGTAATAAGAGACGCAAAGCGTAATTTCTGATTGGCCTTCTGTTGTCCTCTTAGCTGCCAACTGCCATGTCCCCCATCCGCCTCAACACCCCCACGCCCACCCACATCTGCCCCAACAACTCCCTTCAGGTCATCGACATCTCCACCTCCCCCGCCCACTCAGACATCGGCCTCCGCACCCCGCCCGCCCACAGCTTCACCCCCACCCCGCCCCTCAGCCGCCGCAGCAGTCGCGCTCTCCTGGCCGACGAGGGGGGCAAGAGCGCAATGGGGGGTCTGCTCGGAGAGGAGGGAGAGCTCGGGGTGTTGCTGAGGACCGTCGACTTTGCTGCGAGGGTGCGTCAAGGTGTCTTGGTTTTGGTCTCGGAGAGTCACGGAACTGACGAGACTGCAGAAACATTCCTGCCAGAGAAGAAAAGACGTGGACCAAACACCATAGTGAGTGCATATGAGCGCCCAATAGCCCATAGAGCTGATCATAGCATAGTATCAACCATCCCATTGTGGGTTGAAACATTTGCAATGCGCCACCGACGACTGACCCATATTGCAGGCTGTAGCCAACTATCTTGCAACGACTGGTATTACTGACGTCCGCGTCCTGCAAGCTGCCATTCTTCATGACACTGTAGAAGATACCCACACGTCTATCGAGGAGATTGCTCAGCAATTCGGGTCGGATGTGGCTCGTATCGTTGAAGTGAGTCTTCTTCTTGACTTGCCCTTCAATGGAGCTTGAATCTAGATTTGGACTTGACTGACAAGCATCCAACATGTAGGAATGTACAGATAATATCGATTTGAGTGGTCTGGAACGCAAAGCCGAGCAACTACGTTCAGCACCCGGCAAATCCAACGAGGCTAAACAGGTCAAACTCGCCGAGTACGTCTCTTGTCTATATACAATGCGAATCCATGAGGCTGACACATGGGCGTAGCAAGATACACAACCTCGAATCCATCAGGCGGAGTCCGCCAGTGGGCTGGGGCGTCAAGCGCGTGCAAGCCTACTTTATATGGGCTAAAAAGGTCACGGACAGTACGTCCTCTTTCTTACCTTAGACGTCCCTCCTTGTTGTTGTACTAACATATCATCATAGTCTGTGCTCCTGCCCACCCTCCACTAGCAGCCCGACTCGATAGACTATACTCTACAGCATATACCAGAGTCAATGGCGTTTACCATCCTTGTCATCCAGAAACGTGTGGGCCTTTGACGGAGGTACGTCTGACCTTTCAGCCTCAAACTTAGTACTGTAGCTGATCATGCTTTGAACAAAGGAGGAAAAGGAGAGAGTCGACAGAAGACTGAGAGATCTGAAAGATGGGGACACGATATGCCCGGAACCACTATTCTTCTAGACCCAATATATAGATCACCTTGTCACCCATTCTTGCCTCAATCGCCAGCATTAACCCCCTCACTGCATAGCTACCCTAGCATTTGTTTTTAGTTGTATATTTGAATGAATGTTTTCTTGTGTCTTCTCTACAATATTGCTCTCAGTGCGAAACGTCTTGGTCCACCAAGGTGAGTATGCATCATATCTACTTTTGTCTACATGTATTATCAAGCTCTACTTGAACAATCCTTTGAAGTTGACCAAGACTTCTTTCCTCGCCTTCTCGATCCCCTCAACCAACGCCTTGTCTCCTTCCCGCACCTCCACTTCTGGCTCCCTTGTCTCGATCTCCGCCACAATCTCAAGACCTCTCTTCTTGACTTGGTCCCTCGCCTTGCGCAAGGTGTCAACCAGCTCTCCCAAGTAGGCCGACTTCTTCTTCCCCTTTTGGGGTTTGGCAGCCTCTGCCAAGCGGGAGAAGGCGAGATCGACAACGCGGAGGAGGGTCAAGAGAGAGGTCAAGGTGAGATTGACCGAGTGAGGCTGCTTGGGAGCAGTGAATGAGGTAGCGAGGTCTAGAGAAGAATTAGCATACGAGTTGAATAAGGGTACAGAACGAGAGCGTACTGTCAAAAACACCGGCCAATCCATCCTCCTTCTCTTCGCCCTTCAAAGCTGCATCAACTACACTCAGCACCTTGCCGCCCACTTCAACCAAAGCCTTCTCGGCCGCTTCCAACGCTTCTCCCTGGCTGATAGTGATATCCTGCACCTTGCCGCCTGCCTGGAACTCGGCTACGTTGAGCCAGAATTGCGATAAGACGTTGAGCCAAGCATCGGAAACCCGACCGGAAGGCGAGAGTTCAGCGATGTCCCGCACAAGAGGAAGGGATCCCCCGATCTCGTACACCAACTCCCAATTACAAAGATCCTCACTCTTCTCTCCTTTTTCCAATCCTTGTGCTGCTTTCTTCAAGCCCTTGACCAGTTCCTTCGGCAGCGCCCCTTCTGAAGGTGCCGACAAAAGGTAATGGCTCGCCCGCTCGACAAGCAAGGCGCGATGTGAAAGCGAAGAAGCGAGGGCGGAATGGAGATATTTGATAGATGGAATTTTGGAGTATGTTTCGTTGGAAAGGGCGTCTTTGACGTACTCGGGGAACTGTGAATTGATGAGCTTCCATCTGACGTTTGATTACAAACATCAGCTTACCTCGACAGCTGTCCTCTTATACATCCCTGTAGCCTTTTCCACCAGCCCACCCGCCTTCCACTCTTTGTCACTCTTGCTCAACACCGCCTCTCCAGCACCGCCGCGCTCGGTGAAAACATGAAGGAGATTGTCGAGCTGGATTTCGGATAGAGAGAGTTTGGTGAGGTGTGGGAGAGATTTCAGGGGCGCACCTAAGAATGTCGCGTTAGTATGAGATTGAGATTCTGGGGATGACAGTACTTACCGACAAGACGATAGAGCCTGATCAACAGGTACCTTGCATACATGCAGACCGGACTCTTTTCCACGATCTCTTCTAGCCTCGAGATGGCCTTCCATAGTAGCTTTTCGTCAAAAGATGAGGAAGACCATATTGTGAGCAGGAGGTTGACAGAGATAAGACCCGCTTCGTCGGCAGGCTGGACGTCTGTGGGTGGGAGGCTTCTGCCTGTTGTATAGTCAGTATAGACGCAAAACAATCAAGGCGTTTCTCTTACCATAATCGAGACCAGCATTATACAACGCCCACCACTTCTCCACATCATCCTCCTGCGGTACCCAGCTTGCAGGTTGAGCCCTCAACAAGAGCGTTTCAGCATGCACCTTCTCCTTAAACTCCTTCTCATTGCTCGCCTCCTTTTTGGCCCATTGTTGCACAAGGGCATACCCTTCTTCTCTCCGGGCAGAGTTCAATGCTGTGAAACCCTCGACCTCGGAGATGATTGAGCCCTTGAGACACCATTGGGCCCAGTAGGAGGCGGCTCGGGTGGACCATGCGTCGTTTGAGATGGCTTCACCTTTTTGAGCGAGTTCTTGGAGCACCGAGTCGATAGAGAGCAGAGCAAGCGCTGGAGCTCGCTCCTTACTGCCAATCTCTTGCTCTAGGTTCTCCAGAAGGTTGACAGTCTTGTCCACCGCCTCAGGGTCCGTCGAGAGTGCAGTCGCGTGCAAGAGGTACTGGTAGAAAGCATAGTTTCGGGCGGCCGTATCTTCCTCCTCGAGGTACCAAGCCACCCACTGTCTCTCCTCTTCCCATTCGTTTTGTCTTTCCGAGCCGGATCTCTTGAGCACTTCCTTAACGACCTCCATTCGATGCCAGACCCTCGCCAAACTGCCGTCCGCCGCTTGTTCTCGCGCAAGCTTCAAGATGGTGGGGTACGAAGCAGGGCCAGAAGAGAGTAGAATTTGGGATCGCAGCCAGAACTGCTCCGACGTCTCGCACTCCTGACCCGCCATCCCAACCAACAAGCCCGCGACCTTGAGCGCATTCTTATCCTCCACCTCATTAGGGAACGCTCCATTCCCTACCGACCTGCTCGGTTGGGGCGCTTTGGCATACCATTCTGCCCACCCAGCTGTCCTTGCCCATCGAGCTTCTTTGGTGGTGTTGAACATCTTTCGGGACGCTTCAACCATGGTAGGGACATCGTTGGCAGCGGAGGCGTGGAGAAAGACTTGTTCCAGGAGTTGGTGTGCTTGGGGGTGGAGAGTGTAGAGGTCTTGGTAGATCTTTTGGGCGAGGGCCACTTTGTCAAGAATGTCAGTGAATGACGACAGTAATACGGTAAAGTCGAGCTTACACTTGCCCATCTGCCTCATCGTCAAAGTCACCCACCAAACGCCCCTCCCCGTCATCTCCTTCCCCTTCCCCCCCAGCACCATCACCTCTCGAAATATCTTCATGACCTCTTCCTCCCCCTCCTCTGCCTTCATCTTGTGCGTAATGTACATCTTGATGATGAGGGCCGGCTGGGACTTGGGGTGTTTCTTGAGGTAACGGGTGAGGGCCGAGGAGGCGGGGGCGAGGCGGTGGGAGGCGACGTCGTCAAAGACGGGCTGGAGTTTGCGCTCTTCAGCCTCCCATAGGGAGAGCTGGCGGGACATGGCGGGTTGCGAGGAGAATGAATCCAAAATGAATCACGAGTTGGCGGAGCAATGGCGGAGAACATTTCGGAAAACGCGTGGTTGTTCAAACGGGAAGCCGAAAGCCTTACGTAAATCCCGTCTGGGGGTCACTCAACAGCAGCTGCAGCAGCAGCTCAGCAGTTTGACCAAAGTTTGACAGCAGTCAACGTACTGCCATGGTGGTCATTTCTCCAGCAATGCAAAAGCAATAGGCAGGGCCGAGTCGAAATACAGCTTCAAGCGTAACGACAGGCGTCAAGCAAGGAACAGGCCGCCTTGGGAAGCCTTTTCCCGAAGGCCGGACTTTGTACACGAGCATGTTTTGCCAACGTGCTCACCGAACTAAGCGCTTATTGAACCGATTGTTATGAGTATGCATTGCTATTTCTCTCGCCTTCTTGTACTTGTGTATTTCCGGAGCTATTGGTCGATGATATAGTAGTGAAAAGTAATGGGAGTGAATGTAGATTGGAATCAAGATCGGCAATTGAAAGTATAAAACTGCACATGGCAGAGTATATACACAAAACGAAATTGTATATCCCGGGAGGAAGAAAGATAAACGAAATAGGTGTGACTATAGTTGAGAAAGAGAATAAGTTGGAAAAGAGGACGAAAACACATAATGATCTACCACACACGGTGACACCATTCACGGCTGATTTAGACATTTTTTACGCCTCCGTCTTGGCCTCTTCTGCTTCCTTCTGCTTCCTCAACGCCTTCCTCTTTGCGCCCTCCACGGCCTCCTTTGCTTCCTTTTCGTTATCTATCCACCTGAATGTTGTCGCGGGGGTTTCAGTGGCAGAGGCAGCGTCGGCGTCGGCAAACCAGAAAACGAGACCGGGGGAGCTAGACAAATGTCAGCTCTAGAAGGGATATTACAATCACGGACTTACGCAGGTCGGACGCGAGAGCAAGGCAGGCCGGCTTCGGGCTTGTCGAGGATGGTATGCAGCATCTCGGCCTTTTCCTTGCCGGTGGCCACAAACACCGCACGGTAACAGTGTGTCAATACTGGCAGCCTGTTTCCATGTCAGATCGCTCCTTTTACGAGAAAGACGGTACCCACGTCATGGTGATTCTCCTCTTGGGCCCTCTGGGCGCGTCATCGATGTAAGAGACCCACGCGTCCTTTTCAGTCAGGATCTCGTGCCCAGGGAACAAACTACAGGTCTCTCCATCCGGTCCAATACCCAAGAGCATCAAGTCAAACACAGGGTACCTCGCGGCATTGCTTGCCGCAAAGTGGTTGACAAGCTGCTTTTCGTACTGATCCGCAAGCTCTTCGAGGTCGTCGAGCTGGGTGACGTCGATAGTGTGGATCTGCTTGGGCGGGATGGGGACGGTGGATAAGAAGGAGAGGTAGTTGGAGTGGTAATTAGAGTCCTCGTCTTCGAGGGGCACGGCGGCCTCGTCGCAAAAGAAAACCTCCCTGCGTAACATTAGCACACGCCACCAGCTTTGGAGCGGTATCTCCGGGACGCACCACTTGTCCCACTGGACATTCTCCTGACCAACAAGACCTCTCAGATTGGCCGCGAGGGAACCTCGGGACAGGGCAATGGTGAATTTACCGCGTTTCTCGACGGCATCTCGCTGGGCCTTGACGACAAAGTTGGCGAGCGAGTCTACGGCAAGGTCAGCACGCGTCATGGAACGCGTCGGCGGGACGGTGAAAATTTCGACTTACCGACGAGGACGTCAGAGTCGGAGAAGCTGTAGAAGACGGGAGGGGCGGGGGGTGGGGGAGGCATGTCGAAGTTGTGATGTGGCGGGAGTTACAGGGGCGATATGGAGCTTTATAGAACAAAGTCGACGGTGGGCGGTGGGCGGTTGTGCAAATTATTCGACTGTTCGAGAAAAGGCAAGATTTGTGTGTGTATAGGGGGTGGAGATGGAGATGAGATGGAAACGTCACTGCTGGGCGGGCATCGCCGACATCCATGAGAACATTCCCGATGCAGTAATTCTCGCCGTGACTTAGGACCTCCTTCTTATTCGCCAGGACGGACCTCCACTTTCGTGTCGTCGTTCATTTTGTACTTCTCTCTCATACTATCCCTGCAATGTCCAGTCCTACGATCCGCTGGGTCAAGTGAGTCCGCATCTAGCTCTACCAATAACATCCGCTGAACATCTTGGCGCAGATTCATAGTCTACTCGGGTGCCAGTGAGTATACATACGCGCCGATCTTCTCCAAGGGATGGTAGTGCTGACATTAGACTGTAGTCATTGGTTCCGGTGTCTGGCTACAAAATAGTAAGCCCCAATTCAAAAATCAATCATGACCGATCTGACACTCTGTATAGAAACAGTTCCCAATGAGAAAGACTACTACAACGTCAGCACACATTTGTCACGATATCCAAACCTACTGCATGCTGATGTACCATCCGATCACAGTCTCTGTCTCCCGATCTGAAAGCCAAGATGGACCAAATCATCAGACAACGAGAAGGAAGCAAGACGATGAAGGAGAAGCTGCAGGTGCGTACTCATGCTTGGGCACTCGGTATAGAGGGGACACCTTGCTAAGGGGAATCCGGGATAATAGGAAGCAGGTGACAAGGACGAAGTCATCTGGGGAGACCAATTATCGAAGCGCAAGCCATTATTCCAAGACCGGAGAGTCTAGTGCGCATCGTCCGGGAAGAAGGTCGGTCGGTCCGCCCAAGGAGAGAGTGGGCTGGGCAATGGTGTATAAAGGGGGCTTCTCACTTGGGTTATTGGGTTCAATGACCACCGGCAGGTCATATATGCCAACCGTCAAATTACAGTTAGGTCAGACATCTGGATTTTCTGTATTGTGTATTATTATTCTTGTATGCATGAGCATCCAGCATTGGGCGTGTCGGGCTTATGGCTTCACCAGTCCACCTATCCTCTGTCCCCTGCGATGCCATGAAGAGTCCCAAAGCATGATCGGTCGCCAAACAACGGGACGTAATGGTCGTTACAAAAAGCGCTCTAATTGCGCAGCCGCCAGCCGAACGCGAACTACTTTTTGCCTTTTCATTTCGGGGCCTTCAAGTCAATTAGTCAAGCGACGAAGGTTTGTTGACACCTTTTTAATCATCAACTTGCATCTGTCATCAATATCGACCACTTGGTCAATCCCGGGACTTGCAGACTGCAGTGCGCAGACGCCACCCAGCGCCCACGTAAGGATCATCGACGCGCTGCAACCATAACTTCTCCCCAGAACCTGGTTTCCGCAGCTTGCTTGCGCGAGCAAAAAGCAAAGCCGGACAGCCTTTCTCCTTCTCGCTGTCGGCATAAAAGAGCAAGGAGAAGGGCACATTGTCTCCAGTACCCAGAATAACATTGCGGCATCTTGGTTTATTCTTGGCTGGTCGGCACCCCGAGGCCTTTTATCAACAAAGACACCATCTTCCCGCCACTTCCACATCCCTCGCCTCAGTCGGATCTCCAAGGCATGTCATCCTCCATGTCTTCCATCTCCCATCTCCTGCCGACAAACGTCCGGTCAACCCGCCTACTCCCCATCGCCATCCTCATCTTCCTCCTCTTCCTCTTTCTGCCGTCGCTCCTTCCAAAACGCGTTGGCCTCCTTCCATCTACTCCTTCCCACAAAGTCACCGTTTCTTCCGGCGGGACCCTGACACACGAATCCCGGGAATGGCTGGGCAAGAGCGTGTCCCTACAAGACGTGCTGGAGATGGGCAGAAGGAGGGTGGAAGCGAAAGTGAAAGAGTACGATGCCGTGGGGACTAAGAAGCAGCTGGGGATTGATATCCCCAAGCACCTCTCCATGGAGGAGTATACAGAGCAACTCAAAGAAAGCTGGCAAAAGTGGTTCATCGCTCCCTCTTCATCAGCCTTCTCCCGCCACACAGCCCCATCGTCTCCTACAGACGACCTCCTAAAACATACCCTCTCGCACCTCAGCCTGGTCCCGCCCGAGCTCCTCCCATCGTCACAAGCGTCAATACCCCGGTATGTCTACACGACAGACTTGAAGACACCGAAAGAACTGCCAGATCAGTTTACGAGTTGGATCACGGAGAATCACGAGTGGACGACAATGTTTGTCCGGGATGGGGATATTGACGGATGGCTGGAACAAGCTGTGGGCGTTGCGCCTGGCTCTAGGCTAGGCCAGAGTCTGGAACAACAAGTTTCGGGCGAGGGGGGGGAGCCAGACAGGAAGAGGAAGAGGACCGTGGGAGTGCCGAGAGTGGTGGAAGAGATGGAATGGCTGAAAGCGGATTGGGGTGTTGTGAGAGCTGATATGTTCCGGTAAGTACCCTCAACATCCTGCCATCGTCGAGCTGATAAGATGATAGGTATCTGATACTGCTGATAAACGGCGGCGTCTATACCGACACCGATACCGCCTCGGTCTTGCCACTCGAAAGATGGGGTATATCGCATAAAACCTACCCACCCGACCCTCTTCTGCGCTCCTTGCCCCACCTCGTGTCTCTCATCTCTTCATCCTCTTCATCCTCCCCGCCACCACCTCCAGAGGACGAGACCGAACCGAACTTGATCGTGGCTATCGAAATCGACGCCCTGGCTACCAATGCAGATTGGCAGAGGCAATCTTTCGTTCGAGGATTGCAGGTGGTTCAGTGGACGATCGTCGGAAAGAGGGGGCACCCGGTTTTCCTGGATGTGATCGGGCATGCGTTGGGCTGGGGAGAGAAGGTCAGGGCGGAGGAGCAGCGGGGCAAGAGAGACGGAGAGGCGGAAAGGGAGAAGAAGGACGGAGAGATTTTGGAGTGGAGTGGACCGGGAGCATTGTATGTCATATCATTACCGTTCGTGGCAACGAGCTGATGTCGTGTCAAGCACGGATTCGGTCTTCCGTTATCTGCTCGTAAGATACGGATTCCACCCCAATGAGGCTTCGGGCCTGAAACAACCATTAAGAGTTGGTGATGTAGTGTAAGTCTATCGACCATTGCTCTGAAAAACTATCGCCGGGAAGTGTGCTGACTTGGACTCAGGTTGATGCCGGTGAACTCGTTCAGGGCAGATGCGTCGGAAGGGTTCCAGGGAGATCATAAAGTCGTCTGGCATGGGTAAGTGCAGTCCCCTGTTCTCCCGCAGTCCATTGTAACATGTCATAAGCTGATCATTTACTTCGCAGGTTCTTCGGCAGGTGGAAGAAGGAATCATCATAGAGGCAGTAGACATCATAGAATCCAGATATTTAGATTATTCTTCACAGTTATGCCCGTGTCTGTACAATACTAGCATAATGTATCAATAAATTGCACATGTGCACATGTAGAATGCTCATTATGCCCTTGTGCGATGCGATGATGCGTTAGGGGAGCACTATCGAGTCCGGCACTGCACACCCGTACAACCGACGTTGAATGATGTGGTTATGTGTGGGAGGAAATAAAATCGTTCGCCGCTAGTCTTCCCTTTCAACAAGTTCGTTCGTTGCTTCTCATCCCATTCTTCTCTTTCACGACCGTTTCTTCAGCTATACCCACATAAACACCTCGGTATACACACACCATGTCTACCGTATTCTACAGGTGGGGTGCCCGGAGGGACGAGTCCCGAGTCACCTTCGATGGTACTCATATCTCTCTCTTCGACCTCAAGAGGGAGATCATTCTTAGTAACAAGATGGGCAATGGAAAGGATTTCGATCTTGGCCTCTACGACAATGTTACTGGAGAAGGTATCTCTCAACTATACCTGACTGAATGTCAGACTAATGATAATTGTAGAGCTCAAGGATGACCACGCTCAAATCCCTCGATCATCCTCCCTCATCGCCCGTCGTCTCCCGCCCTCTGCCAAAGGCCGCGGCACAGCCCAGACCTATATTGCCGGTACCATCGCTGGAGACGCCCTGACCGGCGACCACCGTATCGAATCCCACGCCCGCCAAGCGATGCAGGACAAGCAGCTCGGCAAAGGTCTCGGCACTGGTTTCGGAGGTGGAATCGGGGGGCGGTTTGGAAGTGTGTCAAAGAGGTTCGATGGGAAAGACAAGGAAGGTGCGGTGGCTGAGGATGTCCATGTGACGACCGGAGACAAGGATGAAGATGCAAAGATTCAGGCAATTCTAGCACAAGGGGCGGAGACGTGGGAGCAAATGCAGGAAGATATGGCGGCGTAAGTTATTCTGTTCATGCTGCTATAGGACGGTACTCATTTTCTATAGGGGATATCGAGCACCTCAAGCTAGGGCTCAACGGACCGCCAAACCCTCCTCCTCCGCCATCGCTGGTGCCGCCACAAAATACGATTTCTCCATTGCACCGGACAAGGAGCCCCCTGTCGGTTATATCTGCTACCGCTGTGGACAGAAAGGACATTGGATTCAGGATTGTCCGAAGAATGATGATCCCGAAGCTGGTACGGATCGCAAACGATTCGTACGAGTGACGGGTATCCCGAGAAGTTTCTTGAAGACTGTCGAGTCCCCGGCAGGAGCGGAGGGCTCAAGTGCAGGAGCTATGTTAACTGCCGATGGTGGCTTTGTCAAAGCCATGCCAGATCAGAGACAATGGCAGAAACAGGCTGCTGTCAAGCCGCGTGCTTTGACGGGCGCCGATGTGCGAGACCAAGAACCACTCGAACCAGAGCTCACTTGCCCGATCTGCAAGAAACTCGTATGGGAGGCTGTCCGAACACCCTGCTGCGACACTGCGTTCTGTGAAGAATGTATCACGAGCCAGTTGGTGGATCACGACTTTGAGTGCCCACAATGCGAAAGTAAAGTGCCGAGCTTGGACAAGCTGCGGCCTGAGGAAGATTTGAGACGGCGAGCGAAGCAGTATGTGGATACAGAACTAGAAAAGAACAAAGCAGAGAAGGCCGAGGGAGACCAGAGCGATGTGAAGGATGAGCCTGATTCCAAGGCAGAAGTGAGTCTCTGTCGTCTGGAATCAAGACTGCGCTGACTCGGATTCAGGACGAAGAAGGTGCCATAAGCTATGAACGCCCCAAAGCTGCCAACCAAATCCTAAATGCTTCTGGTCAACCCGTCGCCGAAGACCTATTGAACCCTCAAATGATCCAAACCTATTTGATGGGCGCGAAAAAAATGCTTCTCAACCCATCACTGAACGCGGCGGCAAAGACACTGCTGCATAACCAAATGCAGACCCTGCAAGCGAACCTGGTCCAGATGCAGATGCTGGCCATGATGGGTATGGGTATGGGTGGTGGAATGCAGGGAATGAACGGGATGGGTGGTATGAATGGCGGGCAGGGTCAGATGGGCATGATGGGCAACCAATTCAACCAACAACAACACAACTTTCAACAACAGCAGCTGCATCAACAGCAACAGCAAAACTTTGCGCATATGAATATGCAGAATCACAACCAGATGGGAAATATGACCAATATGGGAATACAGAATAACCATATGGGTGGAGGGCCCGGTATGGGGATGCGAGGCCGTGGTGGATTCAGAGGAGGCTTCCGGGGTAGAGGAGGCATGATGGGGAATATGCAAAGAGCGCCCATGGGACCGGCCGGGATGGGCATCAACCGGCCGCCACAGGGTCTCAAGAGGGGAGCTGATGGAGATCTGGGGGGCGATTCGAAGCAACCTCGAGTCGGAGCCTGAACAGGCTGTAAATTTATCATGTTGTTTCAATAATGCATTGCTCTAATGTTATATATGCTGTCTAGGTTATACAATCGGGACTCATATGCTGTACTCGAGTACTCGTACTGTACAACATTTGTTGACAGTGGCGGGAAATGCCTGAGAGAGCGACTCCAATCTAAACGGATCCTCGGATACCTTTATAATACTGACATGCCCCGACATAGTCTGCGAGAGAGATGTGTTTCATTTGAAAGTGGATCTGGACAAGAGGATCAGTATCTGTTGAGCAAGGATTCATCAGACTCACATGCAGATAGTCCTTGAGTTCAAAATCGATCCCGGCGCGCGTCATTATCGTCCCGTACTTGTCAAGAAACAATTTCAGATGACCTGCCTTGTTGATTCCGGGTATAGGCCTGCCATTTGTTAGTTGGCATGCTCAGCAACTTGGCGACGTACTCACCCTTTTTCATACGTCCACCTATTCCAACAGCAAGCCAGAAATCGCCTCTTCTCCGACAACTAGAGCTCAACTTCAATCCCGCACCAATACTGACAAGGTAGATGAACTTACATGGTTTCTGGTCCAAATGGATGCTTCTTGATGCTTCACCACATGCCGAATCCCTCCGCAATCCCACAGCTTATCCAGCTCATGCATAAAGTCAAACAATGTGCCGGGTACGACAGCATGGCTCCACTCGGTCCATTCGTTGACTCTCTGGCCCATGTAAGGACCTGCGAAGCCGGACTCGGTGAAGCGAGGAGTGTATCGAAGCACTGCAAGGTCGCGAAGACCCGGGCGCAGCTGATTCTGAGGATCGGAGTCGGACTTGGCCTCCTGCTGCATGCCATTGTCTGGAACGCGAGAAGGTGATACAGCCTCGACTGGGGTGGTATTTGGATCGTTGGATTTCTCGTTCTCCCCCAGCACGGATCCTTGCATAATAGCTGCCACCTTTGAAACGTCTTCTGCTGGTGGCGTTGATGATTGTGACAACGATGTGGACGCTTGCGGTGTGCGCGACATTCCTCTCAGTTTAGGTTGAGCAGGGTGGGTTGTTGGTGTCTCCGGAACAGGTGTTGCAGCGTCATCCACTGTATCGGAAGCAGCCGTATCCACTTCCGTGTCCATGGCGATATCTTCCTGCTCAATCGCTACGATGGATGACGAACGCGAATCGGAAGCAGACGATTGCTCTGGCATGAGCTCTGATAGATTCGACTTTTGAGCTGGCAAAGTCAGACGGACCATGGGCCTCTTGACACTCTCAATTTCTCTGCTCGGAAGCTGAGTTTTTCGCGGAGCCTTGATGACCGGTACAAACACGGGCGCGTCCTCTGTATCCGTATCCGCAGAATTGGATACTATAGCAGTATGCTGAGGCTCCGTCCTGGCGAGCGGGCTCGTTATGGAAGTCTGTTCTTGTGACACTGCCTCCACAACTTTCGTGCTCGAGCCTTCGGTTTCGTCGTTTTCCTGCTCTGGTTCTGATAGATCTGGAACGACTTCAGCTCGTTGGAAAGGTTCACTCGCCTTGGCGAGAACGCTAGAGTGACCTTCTGGTACTATCCCCTCTGAGCCCTCCTCTACATTCGACGCGCCCGCGGAAATATCGGCGTTCGACTGAAGCACTGGAATGGGATGTTCCAAAGAAGGGGAACGGACACCCTGTGAGAGGCGTTGAGGATGATGTGAAAGTGATGTTGGTGTAGTGGTTGACCCTCGGGACACTTGAGTATCGGGCTCTTTCCCAGCAACGCTGCTGCATGATGGCGCCACGGGCGCAGCAGGCTTGTCATCTTTTGCCTGAATTGGAGGTGATGACTGGATGTTTGAAACTCCGCTATCCACCAGATTTTGATCTTTGTCTGCCTCAAGATCACTTGAGCCCACTACAGCAGATATCTCTGGTTGTATACGCGGCGGGCTGCTGGCGGAGACAGTTATTTCCTTGATGTCTGCGTAGACTCCTGTGGGAACGATAGGCATGTTCTCCGCTAGGTCTTTTGGTCTCGTAGCCTGTGCCACTGGAGTAATATCCTCGACGCCCATAACCTCCACTCGGGGAAGTTCGCCCACCACAGATGGTCCTCCATCAGCGTGAGACGCTGGCCCTTGCGATGGGTCTTCGTCATTGTTTCTCTTTATTTCTCCTGTCTTGGCGCCCATCGCCTGTACCACTGGAACACTTTCCTCGACGTCCATAGCCTCCATCCGGGAAAGCTCGCCCGACGCTCCATCAGCGTGCGGAGCTGGCTCTTGCGGTATGTCTTCGACATCATTCCCTTCCATCTCGCCTGACTTGGAACTAGTCGCCTGTGCCACTGGAGCACTCTCCTCGACGTCCATAGCCTCCGTTTGGGAAAGCTCGTCCACCGCAGGCGATCCTCCCTCAGCGTGCGGGGCTGGCTTTTGCGGTGTATCCTCAACATCATTCCCTTCCACCCCTCCTGACATTTCGTTCACTGCAGATGATCTGCCATCGTCGTCGGGAGCCGGCGCTAGCAATGCGCCTTCGACGGTGCCCCCTTCCGATGTCAAAGATGGCTTCTCTAATAATTTATCAGGAGGCGGATGCGTCGCTGAAGAAATCTTTGTAAGGGTGAGATGTTGTCTGGGTGATGAAAGCATCGGCCCGTCGGCCTCAGTAGGACTAGACGTCACGGAGGGGTGGGAGAAACCAGCGAGTGTTGGAAGGAGATGATGGAATTTGATGTATTTGTTGGCGAAGACGAGCGAGGTCTTTGCGCGGGACTTCAAAAAGACAGTCAACTTCAACAAGCGGCCACTTCTCTAAGCAATCCATCAGCTCGGCCGCAAGTAGATTGTCTCCACTCACAGTGATTTTCTCCGTCGACCTCTTCTCATCCAATTTTGCCTCCTTTCGATGACCTGACAGATGCAAGAACAGAGCCTGTCTACTACCTGTGTGTCCCGCGCCGTCCAGGTCTGAGCACAGTGGGCAGGTAAAGCCACTGACGACAACGACACTCGACTGTCCCGCATTGGACTTTTTCACGATATATGTCACCTCGACATCTTTAGAAGATTTTGACAACGAGACGGAGACTGGGTAGAACCTGGGAGAAGGTAAGAAGTTGTAGTCGGTCTTGAGACACAAGAGAATGGGTGGAGCTTGATCACCCAGAGAAGTAGGTCTCAGATTGATACTGGGCCCAAATTGGGCCAGATGCCCATCCGAAGCTACTATATCGATGTCGGATGACGTGTACAGCTCTTGCACCCTTCCGATAGAGAACAGCAATATCTGGAGTTTCATCGACGTTCTGTAGTCGGGCTGGCGGTTCTTGATGAAGGTCTCCGACAGTGGTATTGACAGGGTCGTCTGAGGGTGTATCTTGTATTGCACAATAGGAACAGTGACGGCATGGAGAACTGTCTCCTCCTATCAGAAGCTTCAGTCGGTTCCCTGTCAATGAGAACGATACAACTTACAAGCCTCACGATAATTTGAGCCTGGTATGGGCATTTCGATGGAGCGCGCCCGACAGGGAACACACCCTCAAAGGTCATATTTAGAACGACACCTTGCTTCCTGGGAACAAGTTAGACAAGGCATGAAATGACGCCGGCCACACTTACAATAGATTGAAATCTGCCCCGCGCGCGACCAAGTCTTCGTCCACGACTCTGAACCTCTCCTTCATATCGATACCCAAAGCATTATCCTCTTTTCTTCTCGTGCCCTCGAGTTTCCTATACTGGTTGAGCCGAGCGATGTACTCGATGGATTCGGCATCATCCGGATCAAGAAAGGCACTGGTACCTTGCAGGCGTATACGCATGTTTTTACGAAGAAATGGTCGGCAGTTGTAGGAGGGTAGATATTCAGAAGTCGAAGAAGGGGAGCGTCGGGCGATTCTGCGGGAGAATATAGAGGAGAATCTTCTGAGATGGAATTGGGAAGAAGATAGGTCTTGGGCAACTCCTTCAATAGTCGGAAGCTCCCAGGAAGGGACGTCCAGAAGGGGTGGCCTGAGAGCGGGGGTTGGGGACGCTGGCTGAGGTGCTTCGGAGATAAAAAGTTCTGGTGCTATCATGTCGTGGAGTGGATCTTCCTGTACCTTCTCGTTGACATTATCGTCGCCGACAGGGACCTCGGCGTCCGATCCATCTCGAGTATCATCTGTTAGATTCATTGGAGAACCTGATTCGGACGCGTCTATATTTTGGGCTATCATTCTTGCCGGTATAGCTCTGATAGTCTCGAGCGGTCGGTGATTTGTCTGAGATAGAATAGCATCCTCTCTTTCCCTACTCGTTTTTGAACGCTGTCGTGGAAAGCTGGTTTCCTCTTCACCATCGCTCATCTCCGGACTGCTGCCCATCTCGTGCCCTTCTTCCTCATCAGAGTCCGTATCCCACGTCAGATCAATGACTGTGATCGCAGCCACCTGCTTCCTGGCGGCTTTCCTCTTCTTCTGTCTCGTAGCAGTTGTATCCCCGCTAGAGACGAGTGTTGTAGGCGCCTGAGGAGATCGTCGATACTGCCCGTCACTTCGTCTTTGACGTTTCGTCGTCCTGGGACCAAGGGCAGTGTCTGCCATCCTTTTGCGATGCTCAAAGTCGACTGTGTATGTGCGCGGCACTTTTGACGGGCCCGCACTTTCGGGAGAAGATAGGGGCCGTTGCTTGGCGATGGGAGATTGAGGGCGAGGTGGAGATAGACGCAGGTCATCTGGATCGGAATCCTCAGCGTGGTCGGTCTCGTCGCCGTCGAAAAGATCTGTAGCAACTGCTACCTTTCGAGCTGAGCGAAGAGGGCGGGTGAGAGGTGTCTTTTGGGGCAAGATCGTCTTTCTAGCGGCCAACATATGCTTGGGTTTTGGAGGAAGGGCGTTTGTAGAAGTTCTCACACTGAGCGGCAGGCGTTGAGGTGCTTCTAGGGCAGACTTGGTGCGGCCTGTGCTGCTCCTCGCCTCGCTATTCCTTCTTGTCTCGCCAGTCTTTTGATGTGAGAGGCCTATCCGGGTTGGCTCCCGAGCCTCGCGATTGTCGCCTTCGCCACGCCCTTCCTCATCTTGGTCGCTTTCGGGGGCGAGAGCGAGATCCCACACCAGGCCTTCAGCCTCTTCGATGTCGTCGAGGTCATCGCCCCCGCCCAGAAATTCTGGAGATGTCGGTCCTATGGTGATCCCGTATCGTGATCGGTCGATGATATACCTGGGATGCGTCGAGGCTGGCAGCCGTGGGCGTTTTTGATGTCTGGTGTTTGTGCTCGAGACAGGCAGCAAAGTACAAACAAGTGCCGATGAGGGCAAACATTTGCTTCCGCTAGGTGTCGACGGAGTGACGTCGAGTGACTGTCGACTATGTGGCATCATGACTTGTCTGTAGAACAACATATTGGTATCTGACAGTATATCCTTGTGAGAGGGTATGCTGACCATGCACAGCAGCTGCTGCCCAGCTGGCAAAATTGGGTAAGTCCACCACCACCGTGTACTCGTAGAATACTCAGCCTGGTACTCTGGTTCACGTAGTCTTGATCGCTGGTACTCCGGGTATTTATGTGTTGCGAATGTACAGCAGATCTATATGAGAACCCGTCGGTTCAGATCACCCCTGAACTTTGCATCAAAGGCAGGTAGCTATTGACCCAACGTCCCAGGAAGAGTCATGCGAGCAGGCTCTGGCGGACGGATGCTGTCGAGCAAAGATCTATGGTTCTAGCGATATAATGTAGATGTGGGCTGACAGCAAGCAATATTCAACCCTGCATCAATAGACAGGCTGTTGGATGATGTCGACGGAAAGGCCAGTGCATGATGCAACCGTATTGAGATGGCACTGACATGACAGCAGCGCTGTATAATTGAGACATCTCCTTCCCTCATCTGGGATCTGAAGATCGTTATAGGGCACATGGGAAAGGTTCTGATCCTTCGCGAGCTACAGGTTAACCGCAGAAGGAACCAAACAATGAGCAGGAGAAAAGGGAGAAATTGCAGCGCAGATATATGACGAGGCCGACGGGCGCTGACAAGTCACAAAGTCCATCAATCCTCAGTTGTCCATCATCTGCCCCATCATGACAATGTCAGTCGCCCAGCCACCCACAGATACCCCCGCCCCCGTCCGTACGACCAAAGAAACCCACCCAAATCTCCCCCCAGGCCTTATACTGGGTCCAGACGGCAAGCCCTGCAAAGTCTGCAACTCATGGCAAGACTGGGCGGGGCTCAAGATGAAGAAGAAGTCGGCCGATGAGGGCCAAGGAGTGAGTGGCGGAAAAGGCGCTGGTGCTGGAGCAGCGGCTGGGATGTCTGCGTTCGCTGGGATGATGTCTGGGGCAACCGCCTCCAAGCCTGCCCCGCCGATAGCAGAGGAGAAACCGCTGGATAGGTCAGACTGCCCGCCCGACACTGCTCAGCTGGGTCGCTCTACGTGGACATTCCTGCACACCACGGCAGCCTACTACCCCCTGTCTGCACCCACCAATACCCAGACCCAGATGCTCAACCTCCTTTCCTCCCTCTCCCTCCTTTACCCTTGTTCATGGTGCGCTACAGACTTCCGAAAGGACATGGGTAGCAATCCGCCGGATGTGTCGGGCAGGGAGGGGTTGATGAAGTGGCTATGTGAGAGACATAACGAGGTCAACTTGAAACTTGGGAAGGAGAGGTTTGGCTGCGAGGTGAAGAACTTGGATGAGAGGTGGAAAGATGGACCGGCAGACGGGAGGTGCGATTAGAGCATAGAAATAGTACATGCATACACAGCTCATCTCATAGTTTACCACCCCAGCCTTCGCATCCAGATCTTCTGCTGCCAACCCAGCAGTATAGGTATCATGTCAGACAGACCAAATTCTGGCCAATAAGTCTTGACAAAGTGAAGTTGCGTGTCATCGGATGACTATCTCGGGTCAGTTCGATACAAAACAGGTATGCCGCTCAAACTCACCTGCCACATCATAAAGTCGCTGAGACGCTTGACATCTGATGTCCTCACAAGTATGTCCAGCTTTCCCGAATCTTCTGGTCTTGAGAATAGACGTTCATCCACCTCGCTCACTGCCTTTGAGGTGCCGAGGCGCTGAAACACGTCGTGCGATGTGATTTCACTGCCCGGGGGTCAGCTATGCCTCGGAAAGATTGCAGTCACTCACCTCGTCATAATCTCGCCGCTATAGACATCGCTCATAGACCCTTTCATGGCGGTCACGATCTCGTCTCTGGAAGCATACGGACAACAGACATTCAAGACACCACTGCGCAGAGAGCCCGGTCAACTTGTCCTCTTCGCGGGAGAAGGAGACTCACTTTTTGTTTGCAGCAGTCATCGCCTCCATATCTCTAGCAGCCTGCTGTACGTCAGGTGGAAGCAGGTCAAACCTCCCCACAAACTTGATTTTCACTCCATACTCTTCTAGCAGATCTCTGGGTCGGGCGTCAGGTTGGCCTCACTTCCTTTGTCCAATGCACATACCCATGGGTGCAAAGCTCTGCCAAGCGCTCTTTGGCAAGGTTCATAAGAGCCCCAACCTCATTTTCTGACCTGTTGAAGTTGTCTATAGCAAATGCATATACCGAGACAGCTCGGATTTTGAGTCTCAGACAGATCTCCAACGTCTGGATTATCGTCAGGTCTCGCCGAATTTGGAACGGTCTGATTACTCACTCGCCGTAAGGCCATGAAGCCTTCTCCGTGTCCTTGCTCCACTCTCTTTCCCAGCTCCCTTGCATACCGCCTGTTGCCGTCCATCACAAAACCGACATGCTGGGGTATGGGACCGAGGGACAAGAGGAAGAGGAGGAGGGTGGTGATGGTGGAGAAGAGATGGTGTAGGAGAGCGGAGAATACTGACTTTGGCTGGGAGGGCATATTTGAAGGTATGTTGTGGTGGCGTCTAGGAGTCGAGAAAGTGAATGGGTTTATGAACTGTGGCCATGCCGAAAACACAGCGAAAACACGCATGAGGCTTCTTCGGCGGCCATGAAGGCGGCCATCTCCGCTCAGGTGTGCAAAGTTGGCTGATGATCTCGTCAGACTGTTCATTCTCTGTTCATCGACAGAATCTCAGGGATTGGGGCATCAAAGAGAGTACAGCAAAAATCAAAGGGCTTAGTATACATCGAGTAATATATCAAGGCACAGACTAAGCAAAAATGGTGAAGGAGGGCGGTAAAGAATGGTCTCTGTGGAACGGAACGAACACGTCAGATCAACGATCATGTGGCGCAAGATTTCCCACTGGGAGCAAGAAGAAAGCGGCATCCTCTGTCAATATCCCTGCAAGGGAGGTATAGGCCCCAAGAGATGCTGCGGCCAATAGGGTATGGTCAGCTTCCAGGGAATCATCATCACGATCCATAACAGAGAGCTGCTATGACATACAATGCCAAAGGCACCTCGACTGTAAGTATCGTCTGGTTGTCCAAAAATTTCCCTATAGTCAATTGAGCGCTGTGTCAGCACAACCAACAAATACGGCGAGAGGATAAGAAACGGCACCCACTCACGTAAGCCAAAAGTTGAGGTCCAGAGTGACGAGCAAGAGGATCATGGCCACAGAGGAGCGATGGGCGGCGACGAGAAATATGAAAGTGATGATGTCCCAACAGCAGATGTATAGACCATCGGCATTCAAGCGCTCTTGATGATCGGCAGCGTACGAAGCTTCGACCTCGAATTGCGGTATCAAAAAGCCTACACGTCAGCTGTTGTGAGCAATGATGGCCTGGCTATTGCCCATAAGACATGTCGAGCAATAAACAAGAACGTACAAGCATATGAGAACCAGAAACCTCTGTAAGAAGTCAACGTCACAGCCTAAGTCCAATCAGTATATGCGATCAGCAATGCTCGTGATCCTCACCACAGCAGATATATATGCCGACACGACAACACTCACGCCAAAGGTGTTACCAGAGACCCACCCTAAGATGCCAGCAATTGTCTGGGCTATGCCTCCGTATCCTAGAGCAGGGCAGAGAACGACATTGGGTTTTGTGACCCCTCGAGTGTGAATCTGATAAATGTTAGACAAGAATGAAGATCCGGCAAACCTGAAGCATGGATTGGCCACGTGTCTCCATGAACAGAAGGATAGAAGGTGCCAATCGACCTAGACGTACGCAAGCAGGCCCAAGGGCGTGATGTTGGCGAATTTTTTGTGGTATACAGGCAAGGCGGGCTGGCTGAAGTCTTGGCTGCTACCCCCTTGAGTTGTAAAAGCTGCCAATGGCTGATGGCCAAGTAGATGATGGACTGTGTCGTCGCTTTTCTCAGCAGCTACATAACGCTGATCTTTGGCTACTTTGAAGGCGGTCTGATCATCGCCCCGTCATCCTCACGGTGAGATAATAGTGCTGCTTCCATCATAATGGTGAGATAAGGGTAGCTGGCCGAAAGTTGTCTCAGCTGGTGGTGGACTGGAACAGGGGCAGATGGTTGAGATCAGAAGATATACGATTGACTTCGTCGACTGAAGATGCCCGGTCTTGGAACGACACCGGCTAATGAAGATTGCCATTTGTCCTCTGCGCCCCATGCCATGATCCATCCTGACGACTCTTCGATCCTTTTCGAGGCACCATCCAGAGAAATGGCGGGCAAGGTCTGCCAGAAGAATGCAATAATGATTGACCAAACCAAAGACGGTAGGCGGCGGATACGACCTATCCACCCTATCCACTTCGCGGGACTACTTCTCCTTGTTGCACTATGCGCTATTAGAGATCCATCTGTGGCCAATGGACGCCGACCTGGCTTGGCTTGAATAACTGCTTTCTTCGGCCCAATGTCAACCTATGTACAAAGTTCTTACGGCAGCGATATAGGCGAGATCGTGTATGTATATATACATGCTATGATGATGCCATGAATTATTTGCACTATGCTACAACTTGCTTGCTCGTGTATGAATGTATTATAGACTCGACAGCCCCTCTTTCTCTACGACTATATCCGAGCCTCTCGCCCGCCCATACCCTGCCCTCAAATCCGAATTACCCCCGTTGGTAGCACTGTAGACTGTGGAGCTGATCTTGTCTTTGACATATCGACCGGTGCGGGCTACCTTGAGTTGGAAGACGCCCTTGTGCTGCAGAATCTCATCAGCGTGTTATCAATTTGGAGAAAGTGGTACTCACGCGCTTATGAAGAGCATGGGAATGAGTTCGCCTATCAGACATCTCCCCCAATTGGTTGTCCAAAATATCCAAGCTGACAGTTCCTTTGCTATTGCCCGCTCCCTCGGTATCTTCCTCATCACTCTCGTAGTCGTCTTCCTCGTCGTCTTCCTCTATATGACTCGATATCGAAAGATCCCTCTCCAGATCTCTTCCTGCTTCCCATGCCTCGAAAACTTTACCAAAGCGCAGATCTTTCTTGGCAATTCTCTTGTGCGCCCGGCTGATCCCAGGAACAAGCAACCAATCGATATCCAAATAGCCCAGAAGCTTGCGACTTGAACGTCTAGAAGATATAGAGGAGCGCTTGGGCATGTGCGTTTTGATGCGGGAAAGCGACTGTGTCTTGTGCAGTGATATGGAGGCGTAGCTTTTGTTGGGAGAAGTGACTTGAGAGTGGTCGCCACTTGCGTCAGAGTCGTAGTCTGACTCGTCCTCTTCTTCTCGGCCGCCATCGCCTCCCCCTTGCCACACGCCCACTCGTCTTCGACCCTCACCATCGACGACACCCCCGAGTCTGATCACCCCGGCTCCCAGTCTCTTCCGAAGTCCGACTCTGCTCTTTGACCGAGGAGCGAGGATAGAGACATGTATCGATGAGGAGTGGCGGTACATGACTGCCAAGGTGGGGTGATGTTTGGGAGGCAAGGTGAATGTGAGATTGGAAGGGGCAAGGGAAGAGAACGATCGAGATATGGTGGGAGACGTTGGCAGTTCCTCACCTGGATCACGATGTGCAGGACCAGGTGTCAGGTCGACGACGCGCTGATCACTATCGGTCCTGACCACCGCCCGCATGGTCTTTTTTCCTTCCTCGTCGCTTCCGTCAACAGGCGTGAAGGCAAGGGACTTGATCTGGACAGTGCTAACTTCGTACCCCGAGATACCTCTTGGGAGTGACAAGTCGAGAGACTTCCACAGGAGAGAAAGTCGGATACGGCCCCAGCCCAGGCCACCGTTGAGAGGAAACCATCGGGTGATGTTGGAAGTCTTGGAGAGGATAGTCTGCAGATCAAGCTCGACGAGTCCAAGAATGGGATCTGTTGCTCGTCAGTTCTCTGTCAGGCTCGTTGCTGAGTAACACTCACCGTGTTCCCTATCCCTCTCGTCTCTGACAACGACAACAATCTTGCCCTTGGTCCAGTCCCTTACAAACCTCTCGCTCACAGCATTGAAATATGGCATCGGTGTCACCCCTTTGGTACGGGTCTTGAATACCATTTTATCGTTCAGATACACCTCACAATAGGCCGAGGGAGGGTCCGCATTCTCCGTAGAGGTGCGGTCGGTTATATGTGCCAGGGCTGGAGGCCCGCCCCCGGGTGACAGCGGTTGGGAACTATATGTCCCGGAGGTGGGCTCGATCTCGAGGTCCAAGCACTGATGGATATGGAACCGCAAGATCCCGGCCAGTCTAGTCTCGCTCGCCCCAACCTCGGCTTCCAAGACCTCCCGTTCCTTCTTGCCCGCAATCCACGCCTTTGCGTCTTCTCTCCTCCTTTTCCGGTTCTTCAACCACTCGTCGTCAGTCTCGTCCCCAGGAAGCAACGACTTGACCCAGGTCAGCCACGACGGCTCCGGCCCTTGAGGTGTCGTAATCGGTTGACCCGAGGCGTTCAACCTTTCACTTGCCTCTTCTGGAGGCATTTGCCACAGAGGACAAAACTCTACCGACCAATTTAAAGTCCCCGACGCGCGCATACCCGGGCGGTCGGCTATGAAGGGGTCAGACCTTTTTTGCAAGCCGCCGCCGTTGCTGGAACTGCATGCAATGAGGGAGGCAAGGTCGATGAGAACGGCACCGAGGGTGTCGTCAGCCGAGAATCGGTCGGCATCGTTTGAGCGGATACGAAGAATCTCGCCCGATTCAATCGCGTCTGTCGTTACCAAGACTAGCGCCATCATCAGCTTGAATCCCCCAACAATTCAGTGGACTGACCGAAACATTCTTCTTCCCAGACAGGATCCATCGTATTACCAATGGTCCTCGTGCTGAATACTGGCTTCCTCGACTTTTCAAAGCCCACTTCTAGATAGGGGTCACAACTTCCCATTGTATCAGCTTTGGGCAGGTCGGTGGCACTGTGGAGTATGATGTGGAGACATCCAACAGATTCGAGTCGAAGAGATGAGGGGGCGGAAGCAAGGAGAAGGCGATCGAGGTCGAGGGTGTAGGTGGATGGGCCAAGGAAGGAGGAGAGGACAGAGGCGAATGATGTTTTGACTTGAAATTGTTAGTCAAGCCCACTACTGCTGCGACAACATACCATATGTCTTCATCAGAGGGAGATCCATGGCATTGAAGCTTCCTTTTTTGAGGGGATTAGCAGCAATGTCGAATTCGGGCAAGGTCGGCAGGGAGAAAGTGCCGAGCTTGACGAATGGAGGAGTGGGTGAGAGCAAAAGTCGAACATTGATTGTACCTTTGACATACAGGACGTCAATGTATACTGGGACTTCAGCGCTGGCAACGCCTTTCAGCCCTATACCCATGAAAGCCTACAAGGGTCAGCATGGTCTAGGAGATAGATAAAGAACGTACCAGGCAGTGCAGCCCCTTGCCCTTCTGCATTGCCTCCTCACTTCTCTTGTATTCAAAACCAATCTGGTAGTTGACATACTGTCCCGCATCCGGGTCATCCTCTTCGACTTCGTCCCTCCATCCACCCCTCTTGCGCGTCCCATCTTCCTTGTCCTTTTCTACGTCCGGATCGTCTCCCCGAGAGGTGGGCGAGCTGAGACTACCTCCGTCGCTGGGAGAATATTGATTGGGGACCCGGTGGGTGATCTTGTGCAAGAGACGGTCGCGCAAACGTCGAGAACGGACGTTGCCTAGCAGATCGTCATTGATCTTTACATCTGATGAAGACCATGTCTTTGAGAGACTTTCGGCGGGCGAGGAAGCGTTTGAAGGGGACCTGCTGCGGAACATGCCCGGCCTCGACCCAGGGGTCAGAGGCGTTTTGCTGGTGGATGATTGAGCTCGACGGCGTCCCTTTCCGACACGAGGTGACCCATGATCCTGGGAAGGATTATCTTCTTGGGATAGAGATGCGAACCATTCTTGGTCTGACAGGGGTCGCATGGAAGTCAAAACGAGGGGTTGCGAGCCGAGAGCGGGAGAGTCCAGACGAACACTAGTCTGCAATGCGTCAGCCCTGGTATGGAACGGTCCGAAATACTCACAATGATAGCGGGAACTTCTTCCGATAGCGCATCTTCCATTAGGTCCACAAAAGGCGTCAAGACGTCCGTGGATATCAATGGGAATAGCGCATAGAGCGCATGATTGACCCATCCCACAGCTTCTGCTCCATCTCCACTCCCCATTGTCTTTTCCTTTTGCGTTACAATGTTCTCGGAAGTCGGAGCATTTGTTCGTGTCTGAGCGTGGACCGTGGCAAGCCCATAGTATCCACCAGCAGCCAAGACCAGCAGATATAAGAGAGAAAGGCGAGAGTATGCTAGAGTTACCAAGATGGATGTGAATGTGACCCATTGCTGAGTTGATAATGGAGGTATGTTGGGGGTGACAGTATGAAGAGCCGGCTTGGGTACCGAAGAGTATGCCTTTTCGTATGAAGATGCGGCAGCCGACTGCAGATGCTCGGCGGTCTGCGCAGCTGGATAAGAGCCAGAAGACGATGGTCCTGGACCTAAGACCCTGTGAGGTTCCTGCGAGGAGGCACTCGTAGCTCCTGTTGAGGCTGGGGAGGCCCAAACAGGCTCACCCCTCTCTTCCTTGGGAGTAGCAGGAGTGACAGCGACAGTAACTCCTGTATCCCCCGACTGGCTTGGAGGCGTTTGCAATGAAGGAACCACCTCTCGTGGAGGGACCACGATAGGCTCTGGGACCACTTTCGACTTGGGCGTCCTGGGTGGCAAGGGTGGGGGTGTTCTTGGCATAGCTGGCGCTGCCAGGGATATTGACGAGGACGATTCGAGAGGTGCCTGCGAGGGCTTTCGGGGAGGGAGGGGAGGGGGCTGAGCCATGGCTGAGGTCGTGCTCGGTGTTCCCTGGCGATTAATGTGTAGATGTGAAGGGAAAAGTTAGGGAATATGCGGGCAGTGCTGCGAGAGGCAGGAAGTAAAGTAGACGCCTGCGAGAGGATGTCCAGGTACGCGCTGGCGAATTTCACGAAGAGACCGACGGCGACGAACTGGAATCACAAGCTGCTTTCACTCGGAGCAATCAATGGATGGGGTACATCTCAGGTGGAGCATGGACATCCCTTACCCTCTGCATCCCTGCTGCCTGCATGCCAGCTGCAGAACGTGCGAGGTATGTCCCCATGACGTAATGTCACGTTGCGCGCTTCTCTGAAAAGGTCTCTTCTCGCGCTACAGAGCCATTCGACAGCATTGGGGATCAACATGCAGGAGAGGGGTGGGGGAGCATGGCTATAGACACAAGATGCATGATGCACCGATGATGCGATTCTTCACAACGATTCACGGCGACCGTATATGACAAAGCCTATTTACCCGAAAATGTATGTCACAGCTCGAGATAGTCCATCTAGAAGATCGCGTCGATGTAACAAAAAGCAAAGCATAGAATGGTATCAGAGTCCGTACGTCATTGTTTACAGTCTTCTATCACCTCACATTCACCCTAGTTCTGGCACTGCCAACACCCTCATTCGACCCATGTGATCCCCTGCTCCCTCTATTCTCAGACCCCTTCACAGTGTCGACCCATATCCCCCGCGACTCGTCCCAAACCTTTCGTTTCGTGTTTTCTCTTACCCCTCTGCCTTGCTGACCCGCGGCGTTATGAGAAGAGGCAAACTGCGCCGAGCCTCCATAGCCATGCTCATTCACAAGCTGATGCTGCTGAGGGGGCACGGAAGAGACCATGGTAGAAGTGTTGCCCAAACTCCCTCGCTGAGATTCGACACGGCCGACATTGACATTGACCAGGGCAGCACCCGTCCGGCGAGGAGACCCAGTTTCTCGAACAGGCAGTCGATCAGAGAGATTAGCCACTTGAGGAGCAGGAACGTTTGGATAGGACTTTTCATCCGGAGGCGAAGGGATCGGCTGACCGAGGGCAAGAGGCTGAGTGACGAAAGAGCTTGCGCCATCGTCGGGTGAGGGCGCGTATAGATCAGCACCCGGGATCCTCACGTCGTCCAAGCTCGGGTGAAAGTCCCGAGTCCTCCGTGTGGAGGCCCCCCCAGCACCTGGCAGATCTGTGGGAGCATCGACGTAAACCGACTGCCCACTTTCATAGGACGGTTTAGGGGTATGACCTTGGCCTGGTGCTCGAACACGAGGAGCTGCGCGGGGAGCGGGAGAGATCTTTGCTTGAAATGGTCTTGCCGACCGGTTGGGAGGTGAAGCAGCTCGCACAGGGGAAGGTGACCTTGCAGGAGGGGAAAGGCGGCTTCGAGAGAGCTGAGCAGGTGGAGCACGGCCGTACCCCGAGGAGGCAATACCACTGTCGGCCGACATGGGTCTATCGGCGACCGACCAGTTGTCTCTGTCGTTGCGAGTGGCATTGGTGACGACGAGATGGGATGCGTTTCGAGAATGTCCAGGAGGCACAGCGGTACCTTCGGAAGAATCTCTACCAGTGTGGTTTGACTGAGCGGCCAAACCAGTATCCGACTGGCGCCTATGATGACCATGGCCATACATCTGTCCTAGATTCAGGAGGCTCGTGTTTGAAGGCAATATCGGCATACTCTTCCTTTTGATCGAGCTTTTCTTGACAAGCACGTTGCCTTTGCGAGAGTTGGACGATTCTTGGCTGGCAGTACGCCGGCGACCTGTGAATGACGCCAGACGCGCCCGGTGCGGTTTGGGCTCGGGCTGGCGTGGGGGCTGAGGTTGGGATTGGGGCTGTCTCGCCAGAGCTATCGGAGGTAAGAGCTCCACACTTTCGCGGTAACTATCTCCCACACCCGCCCCAGGCGCCAAGTCGGTCCCGTCGGACAGCACCCTCGGTATATACGAGTCTCTCGCGGAAACACCAGACGAGGGAAGAGACTGAAAGATGAGGACGTCGCGACCTTTGGTGAACGGGACGAGAGGGACGGATCCGGTGAGCTGGTAGTGAAGACTGGAAAAGTTGTTGACCATGGTAATGACGAGCATAGGATGGATGCTACAGCAAGTCAGCGGGTTCAATCGTGGGTTCGTCAAACTCACTTTTCAACCACTCTCCTCTTGATCCCTTTTCCGATCCATCTTCTCATTCCGTCTACCCAGAACCGATACACCCCATCGTGCACCCACCCCTCGAGCTTGATTCCTCTCGCGTCGTGTCCAATCCACTGTCTATCCTCCTTGTTGCCCTTTTCACTCCTTCTCAAAAGCTCCTCGTCGCTCACGGCGTCGTGAATGATGGTACCAGGAGGCTCGGTGCGGAGTTTGAGAGGGGAGGCGGAAAGAATAGATTGTCGGAGGGCAGAGATGAGGGACGGCGTGGATTTGAGAGGTGGGTTGATGAGCGAGATGCGATCGGGAACTGTACCGTGTTAGATGGAAAAGATATAGCGGAAGCAGCTTACGAGGGATGGATAGGGCGAAAAAGGCAGGAGGGGTGATGACTGTCTGGGGGGCATACGAAAAGAGCAGATTATGGGTATCTTTCTGAATACACTGTCAACCTGATGCAATGGGAGTGCGGGATACGCACCTTTGCACTTCCAGCCTGAATACTTTCCACCAGCGTCCAGCCATGTCTCCCTAAAACTCTAAAGACGGACAAGATCAACCGGACGGTACTGGTCACGCGTCAGCCAAATTCAGGTCTCTCAACATGCTACCCACTCTAGCTCTTCATTCCCCTTCCTTCTCCAGACCTTTCCCTTCAAGGTCACATTCCATACCACAGTGTCCTTCTCTCCTCTTGCCTGAAGCTCTGACGCACCCTCACTCCTCTTCACGACGCCCCAAGGCCACTCTTCCGAGATCGCATGGTCCACTGCGATCAAAGCTGCCGGTGGAAAGCCGGTGAACCGCATCCCACCTGGAGCTATGAGAGCGACCAATGCGTGATTCGCAGCCTTGGGAGGCGCAGTATTTCGAAACTCTTCTCTGATGTGCAGGCCGGGGCTGCCAGGGTGAGGTACACCTCCCGGAAACAGCTTTGGGCTCATGGGACGATGCTGCCACGCACTCGGAGGGTTTGGAGGGGTATGATCAAGAGGAGGAGAGGGATCGACCCTCGGTAGCGCAGGCGCTGGATCCGTCCACAAAGGTAAAGGAGGCGGCCCTTGGTCGAGCTGCGACATTGCCGCGAGATAGAGGTTACGTTCAGATGGTGTGACATAGAGGGTAGCGATTCGGTTAGGCGAGAACTGGATAGGCCGAAGTCGCTCGGTGCCACCAGCATCGCCGTTTGCGGCGCTGAAAGTGGATTGGCGACGGGAGGAGAAGAGGGTTTGGCGGTCGGGAGCGATGAGTGAGGCCTCTTCTGCCTTGATCGAATTGGGTTTGTGTCTAGAAAAGCTGAACCAAGACCTGCGGCTCGGTGATTTCATGGCTGAAGGGGGGCTGGTAGTCGGGGTGTCCATGGTGAAAGTAGGCGCTCAACGAGGCAGCTGCCCCGTGCGTGGATGATAGGAGACTTGGTGAGCGAGCGAGATGGATGCGGATGAGAGAGAAAAGAGAATGATGACAATAGAAAGGCGACGATGCATGGCTGATGTGTGGGTGACGGACACACAAAGGAGGTCTGCCATTGTCCTTGAGACTCCGGCGCCTGTGACGACTGTCAGATCCTCGTTCGTCCTGCTCGTCTGCTTTCGTGTCGGCCCAGCACAGACTGGGGGTGTGCAGCAGACGCTTCATGGAGAAGCTTTACGGCCGACAATCCTAGGTACAATCAGCGTGCGCAGAACAAGGGGTCAGTGTATGGTCGGTCCTGAGCTTGATTGGCGAGACCATCCAAGAGATGAGGATATATGTCCTAAGGATGGGCACTACTTACATTTAGAGCCGAGGAGATATTAACAGACTAGCGTTCATCGCGCGGCGTTCCCGCGCGTACTTATCGGATTATCAGTCCATTAATCAGAAATTGATCAGAAAAAATATTAATTGCTGGGTTTCGGAGTTACTTGTATGTCTGTATGTATCCATGAAAGATGGTATAAGTCCAATCCGCACAGAGGAGGGAAAGAATTAGGTCGGTATGCATTGAAAATTGTCACCTGCTTTCCCCAACGCTTGGAAGGTCCAGAGATGCTTTCCATTCGCCTAATATGCAATCTGCTACTAAAATTACACTTACGCTACCCTCCCACCTCTCAATGCGTCGAGTTCCACTCACATCCTCATTACTCTCCTAAGACGCCGGCGTGATTGGATCTGACCTCCCGTCCGCGCTCTTCCAGAGGCTCTTCTGAGACTTTTGTCGCTGGGCGGAGCTATTAGAGATCACGCGCCTGATGAGTAAATGGGTGTCAGCCATGAAACAGTTTATAGATATTCGAGAGTCATGGAATGCAGATACGAGCTATAGAAATTGCAGATGACCTCGCGCTGTGTGTCAGTCATCTTCTGGTATTATTCCATCATGAGGAGATAACGCGGTAGTCCCAGTCAAGTCAACCGCCACCGGCGGCAGCTCATGAGCGAGCTCAGCTTCGTTGCTGGAGAAGCGCATGTCCTCTTCACCGAGGGCTGCGCCAATGAGACCGGACGAAGTGACCACTTAATGCTTGGTGAACGCGACATCCAGATTGGATAGATCGAAAAGCTAGTTGAGCGTCTTGGGAAACACAAAGGGTTGGAAGCGGCAGCACCCAAGTTGTCTGGCTTGTCGCTGGAGGCAGCCACCTGCTCGTTCTCCATGTCTCTGAACCAAGACCTGAGGAGCATCGACATCCCCTCATCAGCATAGCCCAACAGCACGGTGCTCTTGTAGGCTAGTCGATGGCCTCCAAGCCCCCCAAATCGTCCACTGCGTTGCTCTTCCTCAACACCATAGCAGCGGCGGACTGGGACTGAGCAGACAATGGAGGAAGGAGGCGTCGATAGAGATGCACAGAGCGAGGGCAGCGGGTTTTCTAGGTGCGAGATGAAGCACTTGATCAAGCGGCCCTCGACAACGAACTCCCTGTTGACGGGCTCGGACTCCACCGTACCATGGACGCTGGGCGGCTGGTCACGAGGGGACGGTGGGTCGGAATCATACCGTAGTACACGTCGCCTAGTCAGAGTGTCAGCTTCAGAATATCATAGGAGAGAAAAGGGGTGACACACTGCCTGGTTGTGCCCAAGACGTGAACCTCTCCATTTCGCCCTGGTAGACATGGATGGGAGATTCCTGTTCGCCGTCATGAACAATTGAGGTCCAAGTGGCGCCGATTGCCTCGTCAACCGAATAGGGGGGGTTAGTCTCATTCGGATCGACGTACAGAGAGATCACCACTGGGAAAAGGTTGGCCGCAGACTCAAGATCATACGATGCTTCGAACACCATAGACCGTGGCCTGTTCTCGTTAGGCACCGTCATCACCATCGGAGTCGTCAAAATCAGAATCGGACGACTGAGGCCCGTTGATACTGGCAAAGGGGATAGGCACAGGTCTGGCGACAGGACGGTGAGAGGGCCAGGGAAGAAGAGGTCGAACAGGTGGTGGAGGGCTTTCAGGCTCACAGAAGTCGCAAGGGCGAGTGGCGCGAGTGGATTGGCGCATGGTTCTGTTGAGACTGAGAGCGAACAAGGAGTGTATTAAAGAGAATGATAGTTCACATAGGAGGAAAAGAGAAGTGTGCTACGTAGCAGGTCAAGCGACCGGTTGTGTTGACATTTTTTCCTTTCGACTGCAAAGTTTCCGACTTTCCGAGACCGAGAGTGGAGGCAGGTGGAGGCGGAGGACGCCGACGACGCGTCTCAGAAGGAGGATCAGGCGCCAGCAAGGGGCGTGTGGTTCGTAAACGGTCTGTGGGGAAACGAACGGGGAGGATGCATGGAGGGTTATGGATACAGTCAGGTGGGGATCACTGCAAGCTTTCGAACGCAGCCAAGAACGAGCAGAAGTGATCGACGAAAAGTAAAGAACGATGGAATTAAAGGGTTTCGGGGACGCGTGAGGAGCGAAAACGGCGGTTCGAGGTAAACGGAGGGCAGAGAGAGCTAGGATGTGTCGTATGTGAAAGTGAAAGTACCGTTAGGTGGGGGTGAGTGGCAGCTGTCGAATGGTGCCATCAGCGGGTCGGATGTATCGACGAAATGTCGAACAAAAGGGTGAGCAGTAAAGTGAGAATGGTGAAATCCAAGGTAAACGGTCTGCGGGAAAACGAACGGGGAGGATGCATGCAGAATTAAGGGTACCGTTATGTAGGGAAGCTTGCAGATACTCTAACGCAGTTTTGAATGAGGATGATTGATTGAGGGATAATCGAGAACGATGGGTTTGAAAATAAAGGAGGTCGAAAAATGGGATCGTGGTTTATACTAAATAGATGAGGGATAGCCCGGATGATACGTAGGTGGGAGTTGAAACGAGCGTCCAATACAGCCCTAGGGGAGCTGAAATACCCTTTGCACAACAAAACAGCGTAATTCAGAGGAAGAATGCGAGGCTCATATTACGTAATAATATACGAAATTTGATCACCTCGAAGTCATGGGATCGAAACCCATCGCTGTTAAGTCTTTTTGGGCAATGACTTCATTACCTTTTTGGCATCCCCGGATAGCCAAGAAGCAGGGCGGGGTATCCGGAGAACCAACTTTCATGCCTGTATCTTTTTTCTGCCACGATGTATGGTCCGGAAAGAAACGACCCTCGCGAATCGGCCACGGCGGCGGCGATGAGCGCGCGCGCGCGCTGCGGTCGGTGTTCGAACCCAGGCGCCGTCGTTTCTTTTTCTCAATTCATCTTGGAGGAAGCCAGGAGCAGATTCAGGCTGGTATCTCTCCTCAATGGGTATTGGCTATATTCGATTTGCATAGGGAGAGCACAAATACTCTAGACGACCGGTGGTCGTTCATCATCAGCCATACCTTCCACTGAGCGAAGTGGTCTGGCCACTGGTAAGCCACCGCGACCTAGTATCCATGAAAGCGATAGGAATCGCCTCACTCTGGAGGGTCTGATGAGAGATTAGCACCCAGACTCAGAATGTGGAAAATCTGGTGTCACACACCAAGTTCGAGCCGTCTGATGGCTGAGGCGAGCCACAGCAAGACCAACACTGTCGCGATAGAGCCACTCAGTAGAACCAAAAGCCACGGCAGCAGACAGCCGGTAGTGACGGAGACTGACTCGCTAACTATATCAACGGATACAAGATGGAAAGGTGAAAGAGAAATGAATTGCATCGTTGTCAAGGCTTTCGAAGGGCGCAGCGTGGTTAGCGTGGTTGATTGATCACTGGCGGCGATGTCCGGGGGTGTAATATTATGCGTCGGGTGGCAACAACAAGTAGAATTGGCGAGATTTCAATTGGATTTCAATCTTTTTGATTATTTTTGTATCCTCTCTTTTCTTCCTCGCCGCCTTGTGCAACCACAACCCATCTCGTAACCAAAATGGCGTTCTCTGGGGCCCTCGTGAGTCGTATGCTTGCCATCGCAAAGCTGCTTGCTAACGCCACCCAGACGATCACCGATCTGGATGATTTTCTGACTCCATCGCAAGCGTGCATCATTCCTGTCCGCAACAACAAGTCTGCAGAGGCTGAAGGACCGGTGAGCAGCACCTACTATCCTAAGACCTGGGCTAACGAGAACAGACGGAAATACACATCGACTCCAACAACAACTATTACGAAGTATCCACCGTTCCTACTGTCGGCAACGACTTTGACGACCCATCCAGCTCCAAGAAGGCTCTGGAAAAGGCAGAGATCAACTTGAACGACTGCCTGGCATGCAGGTATGTTATACAATACAGAATGGACATGCGCTGACCAATGATAGTGGCTGCATCACCTCTACCGAATCATTACTAATCACCATGCAATCTCAAAACGAAGTGCTCGATTTCATCAAGCAGAATCAGCACACCCACAACGCCGACGAACCCTCCCACAAACATCGCCGCCCCATCCTCTCCATCTCCCCCCAAACCCTCTCCTCCTTATCAGCTGCCTACTCGACCGCCGCCTCTCTCCCACCGATACCACTCCTCACCCTCCTTCGCCGTCTCCGCGCATTCCTCGGGCAACCTGAACAGGGCGGGTGGAAAGTATGGGATACCACTTTTGCCCGACACATGAGCTTGAAGGAGACGTCAGTAGAGTACCATGAGAGAAAGGACAGGAAGGGCAAGGGGGCAGAGATGCCCATGCTGGCGAGCGCTTGCCCTGGGTGGGTGTGCTATGCGGAAAAGGCGCAGGGGGATATGCTGCCGCTGCTGAGTAATGCGAGAAGTAGTCAGGGGATTATTGGAGCGCTGGCCAAGAGCTGGTACGGCGCAAAGGCCAACCACAAGTGAGTTAATGCTGGCTCATGTTCAATGACTAATGGAAGTAGACCCGATGAAATTTATCATGTCACCGCCATGCCCTGTTACGACAAGAAACTCGAGGCGTCCCGGTCCGATTTCTACTCTTCCCTCTACTCTACCCGTGACGTCGACTGTGTCCTCACCACAGGAGAACTCGACCTCTTACTCAAAGAACTCCAATTCGACCCTTACCTTTCCGTCCCCAACGAATCTACCCCCAGCTATACCGCGACAGACGACTCTCCCTTTCCCGAGCTCCTCACCCACGAAGGGTCCAGCTCTGGCTCATACCTCCAAACCATCATTCGCGACGTCCAGAACTCGCACATCAACCCTACGAGAACCACCACCCGCGAGATCCGAGGTTCCACCGACAATGTCGAGTACTTGGTGCAAGACACCGTCACTGGAGAAGTCATCTTTAAAGGCGCCAAGGTGTATGGGTTTAGGAATTTGCAGAATTTGGTGCGAAAGGTCGCAAAGGAGACTGGGATTGGGCGCTCGGGGCGAGGTGCTGGCGCGGGCAAGCTGAGTGCTGCTGTAGCTGCTCGTCGGCGAAAGGCCAAGCCCGCGGCAGCTGAGAATGGCATCGCGGCTCTTGCTATCAGCGGAGAAGACAGAAAGCTGGACTTTGTCGAAGTCATGGCTTGTCCCGGTGGCTGTGTCAACGGTGGTGGACAGATGAAGCCTGCTATCGCGGTCAAGAGTGACGCAATGGAGGTGGACGAGGAGGGATTCCAACGCCCGATGGCGGATGATGGGGTGGAAATGAAGGTTGGCCAGGAAAAGACGGTCGAGGGGATGGAAGAGGGTATGCGGTGGTCGACCAAGGAGTGGGTCGCCAAGGTGGAGGATATCTACTGGACCGGCCTCCCTACACCACCGCCCTCCCCGACTCTCACCGCATCAGAACCTCCCACAAATGGCTTTACCAACGGGCACGTCGACAGACTCGCGGCAAGCGATCTGCTCGCTGAAAAGATTGTCAGGGAAGTGTGCGGAGAGAGTAGTGAAAAGAGGCAAGACTTTTTGAGAACCGGTTTCAGCAAGGTCGAGACCGATGTTCTGAACAGCGGTGGTATCACGCACGAGGCTGTGGTGTGGTAGAGGTTGTAAGCATAGCATGGTGTGGCACATCTGTAATCATATATGCATAGCATTGCCAGGTCTGCGCCTTTGAGTCTGACTGAGCAGACTTGTAGAGTCTTTTGTTGGCACCTTGACTGGTAGCTTTGCAATCGCACTTCGCCTGGACCTGGGATCTACTTGCCCACACTGGACAAGCTCCGTTCTGCAGGGACTAGATTGGGCGCTATGGCCAGGATAGACGTCTGAGGCGTCAGAATTTGGCCTCAATGCCAGATCTTGAGCCCTCGATTGTGTTGAGGACCATAGCTTTCTCGTGGCCATGTCTTCACCGAACTAGACAGCCCTTCAGCAGAGTCGCATGACAGGCGTATACCCCCACTCACATATCGTCCATAAACTCCTCACAATATCCAGTCAAAGATAGTGGTCAAACCCGCAGCGACCGCAAGGATGACAACCCCTCCAAAGCTGAGCATATATAGCGTCAACTCTCTCGAGTCTGGGGGCTGAAAGGGCCCGGTATACTCAAACGCCGGTCCATCGAGTCTCTCGACACCATCCAGATCCATTGTCTCGTCTTCTCCCGCTTCAGATACAGGTGCATCAAAGTGGACCTGCGGCTTGAGCAGGGGAGCGGAGAGCCTCTCCTCGTATGTGTCGTAGGTGTCTGGCGTATACGCCTCGAGCCGAGAAGGGGTCTTGGCTCCGGGGTCGATCAAGGCTTCAGCAGTAGAAGGTTTCGCCGACGTCAAATCTTCGACACTCTGTATTGCTGATAGCCTGTCCCCCCCCGAGGCAGATACGGTCCTCCCTAATGCACTCCCACGAGGTGCATGTCGATGTTCGAAGAACGAGGGGCCGTCGAGTTCGTGCGGGGAGACGGGCGGGCCGCCAAAGTTGGCAGCCGAGAGGACGTTGGGGGAGCGTGAGATGGAGAGAGAGGAGGAGTGGGAGTGGGAGCGGTCTCTCTGTAGGCGGGGGGTGAAGGGCATCGTTGTAGATGGTAAAGAACAAGTCGAAAATGCAACTAAGATGTCTTTCGCGTCCCGTCGGTCATTCACTGAATCTCTCCATCTACAACATCTATTCCTGCTTTCAATACCGGCAACTCGAAACATAGCATGGACGACCCATGGGCAACCCCAGCGTGGTCAGCTCCAGATAAACAGCCCTCCATCCCCTCACTGGACCCGCCGCCGGAACCCCCAGCGAGCGACCCCTGGTCCGTCCCAGCCGCCTCTGGCCCCAGCACCCCGCCGTCACTGCAGGCATCCAAGCTACCCACCAGCCCCCTCAAGGAATCCACTAACAACCTGGAGTGGGGGGAACAAGCATCATGGGGTGCCGACAACTCTCCAGTGCTCGCTCCCATTCCGACATTGCCGCAGAGCCCCGTCAAGCTCAAAGACGGTGAAGGCGATGTATGGGGTGACGACCCCGTACCCCTCCCAGGATCATTTGGCATGCCCTCGCAATCAGTGGTGGATATAGCCATGAATATCGAGATACCCGCCACTCCTGAAACATCCACGACTCCGACGTTCGCATCGCCTTCTCGCTCCATCCTTGCCTCATCTCCGTTGTCGCCTCATCGGGCTGGGCTGCCAGCCTCGTCCAGCCACGCATCATTGAGCGAGGCGGTTATTGGAGGCTTTGGAGGTTTCGAGTCGCCCACAAAGGCAGCTTCACCGCTTTCCGGCATTCCAAAGTCGCCGTCATTTGGTGACGACTTTGAGGGCTTTTCGGGCTTCGCTGCGAGCTCTCCTGATGATCCTTGGGGACCAAAACTAGAAGTGTCTGCAACGAAAGAGGATGACGGATGGGGTGGGAGTGATTGGGAGGGGCTGAGCCAAAGCACGCCTGGTGCTACACATATTGGCGTGGAGACGGCAAAGTCGGATGCTAGCGATGAAGGGTGGGGTGGTGCTACTGGGATGGGCCCCAAGAGCCCTGCCAGAGGGAAGGAGGAAGACGAGTGGGAAGAAGCACAGAGAAGGATCAGGGTGACGGAAGAGCGAGCTGTGAGTGTACCGGGCTGCCCGTAGACTATTCTGACCGTATGTAGCCCCGGGAGAAGATAGATGACATGACGAATCAGTGGATCAAGCTTGCCGAGGCCAACATGACTGAGGCGGTTGATCTAACGAAAATGACAGGGGCTGAAGAGCTCCAGTATGAACAAGTCATTAACAGAGTGTTTGAGGATGCGTGAGTGGACAGTCTATTCATCTACCCGTCTAACTCTCCGACTAGGTCAGAACGGATCAGGTCATTATCAACGATCCCACCAGATATCAATACCTATCCCCCAGTCCTGTCCTCTCTTGTGACTCACGAGCGATACGCATACGCTCTTCAACGCCCTAATCCCGACCCCGAGTCTTCTCTCCTGCATTCTGCGACTCGTGCAGTTCGCCGTCCCCGTCGAATCGACCCCATATCTCTTTCCCTCTCCACTGGCGAAGCTTCTTGGACGACAAGATCACGACTGGGCGAGCCCGAACAGGATCCTGAAGCTGTAGCTGGAGACGCCGGAGATGGCAAGAGCAAATGGGCTTTCTGGGGCAAACGTCCAACGGCGGAAAGAAAGTTAACCACAGGCGGGGGAGGAGCTTTGGAAGTCAAGCCGATGACTCCTACTTCTACCGGGTCTGTTGTGGAGAAACCTAGACCGTCAACAGACAGTAAATCACCCTCTCTACCCGCATCGCGAGCTGCGAGTATCGCTGGACCGTCGTCCAGACCAGTCTCTCCTGCCCCTCCTGCCCCTCCTGCCCCTCCTACTGTAAACGAGCAAGCAGCTCAGGGACCTTCTGCAGTGTCGCGTTTCTTTGGGCGACTCTCCAGAAGAGCTTCGTCCCAACCAAACTCTCCAACGCCCCTCAACGCTCCCGCGGGCAGCGTGGACGCCAAGGATCTTGAGCTTTCTGCGGATGACTTTTCTTTCCTCTCCGAGGTGCCATCCATGTCTGCGCCGCCTCCCGGGAAGGGTGTCGCCGACTTGTTGAGCATGGAGCCTGGTGCAAATGAGCCCATCAAAAGTTTAGAGAATCTTTTGAACAGCAAGGAGGCGCCACTACCGAAACCATTGGCCCCTCCACCCAGTGGACCCAGTGCGCCCGCTTATGGGGGCGGCGAGAGGGAGAGAAAGTCTAGCGGAAAGTTTGTGGCCAAGATGAAGGCACCCCAGCCTTCCGACATTGATCTCCTGGGCGGCTTGGACTTTGCCAGTCCTACGACCTCGACAGTATCACCCACTTCTACAGGCCCAACTCAGAAAACAGGCGGGGCATGGGATGATTTCGAATCATTCATGACGAGTCCTACCTCGGGCTCTATGCCAGCCCCAATGCAGCCTTCCAGGCCAACCACACCTGCCATCGTACAGCCGTCACGCTCGCCACCGCCCATCATAGCACCAACGGCCCACTCTGCGGTTGGAATGCCTTTTGCGGCACTTGCACTGCAGCCTCCCATGGTACCAACTGGTATCTCGCCCGCCCCGTCAGTGTCACCTGAACCCCCGCTGTATCACTCTGTAAAGACATCTACAGGAATGCAAGGGTTTGGCAAAGTCGGGACGCCTCAAGATGAAAAGCCCGATGGAATGCTGTCGCCTTCTGCCATCGTGCCAGCACCTGACCCTGCGACCTTTACGTTCAACGGCGGGATGTTGGCACCGGCAGCGGCGGCTGGTATGGAAGCTTCAATCTCGCCAGAGTCCCAGGCGTATGTCAACTTGTCAACAGACCTGGATTTAGAAGGTTTCGGTAAAGAAGGCACCCCTCGTGTCTTGACCCCGATGGGTGTTTCCCCGGCCATCTCACCTGCGCCAGCAAGGATGCCTCAGGTCATGCCGGGAGGAGCAATGGCGTTCAACACAGCGCCGCCTGTTCCCCGTGCAGCCATCTCGCCAACGCCGGCAGCTTACGGGATGGTGTCGGGCGCGGACGATTTTGGGGACTTTGGGAGTGCTACGCCGTCCCGGAAAGCTACACCTGCGGGCCTCGAAGACTTTGACGATTTCGGCGATTTTACATCCTCCTCTCCGCCAGCGCCCACACCCCCTTCCAAACCCAAGGCTTCGCATCCGATATTCTCATCACCTTCACGCCCCGTCGTCACCCTTCCCACACCGAAAAATTCGCCTCCCAAGCCTCACCACGATCACACCCCAGCGATGAAGTTGATGACGAGGACCAACTCGGTCAAGGGAAAGAGTTGGCCTGCTCCACCTAGTCCTCTGCCCCAAGCTCTTAAACCTCCACCAAGCACGGCTGGGACTGAGGGATTCCCCTTTCTGGCACCGCCGCCCGGGGGTGTCAAAAAGTCAAAGGGCGATCTCATGGGTGATCTGGGAGAGGCGACAGACGAGGGTAGTCTAGGAGCATTTGGGCCGGTGCCGGTAGCTGTACAGCCCAGTCTGACCGCGTCCAAGCCTACTGGGGTGAACAATGGGCAATCTGGAGGAGGGTTGTCTGCGCAGGACCTCTCCTTCTTTGATAGTTTATAATTTGAGAGAGAGTCGTTGTAGATCTGCTGGCATCATATATAGAAGCATCAAACATGTATCAGGTAGATGATGGGGTCGCTGTACTCCGACATAGAGGCGAATGCTTGTTTGTCCCCAAATCCATAACCATAATCAGAAACATTTAGAATCCATCACGTCCCCTCTATATATATATCAACAGGTATTAGGACTGACGGAATTTATCTACACAAACAGTACGAGTACTTCACACGCCCAAAACAAGGATCCAGAATAAAGTATAGAAAGATATGGTCGTAAAGATGTAATGTAAATTTCTCGTTATCTATCACAGCCGCGAAACCAAGTCCACAGTCAACCCCTTCTCCTACCGAAACAAGATAGTCAAGCCTTCTCCTTGTCTTCCAGGTGATCTGAAAGCTCTTTGGCACTGATGGAGTGATGGAGAGTGATCTCGAAGGCATTGACTGGTGTGGAAGCAAACTTTCTCGCCGAGATCTTGCGTTCAAAGAGGATGTCGAGCTGAGTAATTGTCAACACGCGTTAGAAACATAAAGAAGGACACATACCTCGGCATAAGTTCGCCCAGAAGGCTCTGGTACCCTAAAGTACGCATAGACGAAACACAAAAGACATGTGGCGCCCCAGAAGAACCCGGCATAGTTGCCCCAGTTCCAAGCGGTAGGATTGATCATGTATGGGGAGAGGACATTGCAGATGATGGCGACGACGTTGTAGGCAGCGCGACCGAGGGCGACGGTCTTGATGGACAGGCGTCGGGATGAGATTTCGCCAACAAGAGAGTAGACGACCGTGCTACCGTATCGTCAACAAAAGCTATATATAATGCAAACAAAGACTTACCCGACAGTGCATTGATAGAATACAGCCCAGACGAGCATCAAGCTCCCGGTAGCCATCGCAGCCTGCGACTTTTGCGCCTCGGGCACAAGGCCCAAGAAGCCCATGACGAACAGCGTGACAACCAACCCAGCCAAGCCATAGAGGATGAGGCTCCTGCGGCGGATACCGAGCGCCATAAGACCCCAAGCACCAAAGACGCCGACCATGTTGATGGCGTACTGGCCCATGGCAAAGTCGTAAGGGATGGTTCCAGTGAGACCTGCTTGTTCGAAAAAGTAGGTACTCTGTGCATAATGTCAGCGTTTGGTCTTATGGTGTGATGATGGACTTACGTAGTTGCTGAAGGAGTTGCCCGCGAGGTTTTGCATGGCCCCTGATAAGTGTCAGCAAAGGGACACCGAGAGGCGGTCGCACTCACAGATAGCGCAGACAATCTCTGTCCTCCTCAGATCCACCCCCTTGAAGCAGTCGAGATAAGACGCTCCAGAGGTAATGTCCTTCTCCAGTTCGGTAGTATGTCTAATCAGATCTGCCTGCTCATTCACATCGAAGGACGGGTCCTTTTTGGGAGAAGCAAGACGCAAGAGACTCTTCTTGGCTTCTTCGATTCTACCGTGGCGGATGAGCCACCAAGGCGACTCGGGAGCGAATATAACACCAATCAGGATGAGCGGAGGCCAAATCCACTGCAGTGCATGTTAGCTCATTTCACTCGGTAAGTGGAGGACAAACCTGGACAGCGTAAGGGATGCGGTATGCCCATTGGTCGTCGCGCTTGAACATGGCCCGGATGACACCAATACCGATGAGTTGACCCCAGCCCCAGCAGAAGTTGGCGTAGCATGTCAAGTAGCCTCGCAGGGCGACAGGACAAACGTCGCTGGCGTACGAGATTGCGACTAGGATGTGTTAGAGCTGATAGGCGCGTACGGGAAAATAGACTCACTGGACTGGAAAACACCCCAAGGAATACCAGCGAGGATTTCAGCGCCGAGCAGCACTTGGATGTTGGGAGCACAAAAGAACATGGTGATGACGGCGGCCAGCCAAACCAGACTGCACATCAAGACCTTTCGATAGCCATATCTCTCGGTGAAAAGACCGTTCACTATGCATTGTCAGCTGATGCACGCGTGGCAAATGTGAGTGCTTACCTAGAAGACCAATGACCTGGCCGCATTGAGCACCATTAGAGAGACCCGTTTGCCAACGTGCAGGTACTTGAAATGTGCCGTCCGCAAGCTCGACGCCAAACTTTCGGTTAAACGGCTCAAACGCGTCTGTGCGCAGATGGGATCAGCGCGGTCGCAAAGTACTTGAAAGAAAGGCCCACAAAAGTTGCCTAGCAGTGATATGTCGTAGCCCTCCATGGCACAACATGATGATATCAGGATGGACCAGGCGATAGCTTTGGGGTAGAGACGGATGCCTTCTCGGAGACTCATCGACTTTTCTTTTGCTATGGCACGTGTCAGTCAAGTATCTCTGCGCGCCCCACGTGATTGGAAGACTATAGGGAGCATAAACTTGGGGAAAAGACTCACCAGTAGCAGCTTGAGCATTGTTGAACATGCTGGCCATGGTCTGGTCTTTGGAGAACGATTGCTCTTCAGATACTTTGCGGACCGTATGGATGGGGTCGGCGGCAAATTGCGAGGAGGAAGCAGTAGCTTGGTTGTCGGACATGATTGGATAGCTTCTGGTGGTTTGAATTCAAGGATGGGTTCGTATACGCTGTGAGACTTGTTCGCTCTGGACCTCACGTAAGGACAGGGAAAGCTGTAGGCGTATCTGTGTCCAGGCTATTGGAGCGCCCAGCTGAGTCAAGTACTGATGGCAAAGATTGGTGATGCCCCGGGAAAGTTTCGACGCGTCGTGTGTCGGTAGAGATGGAATGAGCGTGATAGAGGATCACTGGGGGACTAGCGGAGAGGGATGGGCGGTGGATGTGGTGGCGGGGACAGGGGACTTGGGATGCAAGAGGGGGATGGCGCTGAGGGTTTTCAGCGGAAGCTGTTTCTCGGTTTTGATTCCAGGGCCAGCCACGCGAGTCGCTGCGCTACCCTGAGGGGTTCTGTCCATGTTGTTTTCGCTGCCCCGGTGCGTCTGGGGGGCTGAAAGGACACGGAATGGCTGGAGAGTGTCGAGATGTCGACCAGGCGTCAACAAATCCCGTTATCTTTTATCTTTTATCGATAGTGGCAGGGAGCCAGTTACCATTCCACACCGGACTCCGCGTCGGACTCGCTTTTTTCTAACCGAGTCCGACGCGGAAGATACAACATCTGCTCCCGTGGCTTTTACATAAGCATTTCGTTGCATCCATAAAACCCTGTACAATTCGGCTAGACCCTCTCGACGTGCTGGGTCACCTCCTTGTAGTCTTCCACGGCGTGGTGCAAAGACACGTCAAATGCGTTGACAGGCGTAGAAGCAAACTTGCGCGCAGAGATTCCTCGTTCAAAGAGGATGTCAATCTACTGCTATCAGCGATAGACCAAGGATTGTGGAAAGCTACTCACCTCGGCGAAAGTCCGACCAGCAGGCTCCGGCACGCGGAAGTACGAATAGATGAGACAACCAAGACACGTGCCAGCCCAGAAGAACCCGGCATAGTTTCCCCAGTCCCAGGCGGTAGGGTTGATCATGTAGGGAGAGAGGACGTTGCAGATGATGGCGACGACATTGTAGGCGGCTCGCCCAAGAGCCACAGTCTTGATGGAAAGTCGTCGAGAGGCAATCTCACCGACGAGAGAGAATGCGACGGTACTATGCGTCGTGAGCTGGTGGATATGTGCTAATATAATGAGAAGTGACTCACCCAACTGTGCACTGGTAAAAGACAGCCCACACAAGCATCAGAGATCCGGTAGCCATAGCCCCCTGCGTCTTGTGGGACTCGGGTACAAGCCCCAAGAAGCCCATCGTGATAAGCGTGACAAACAAGCCAGAGAAGCCGCAGAGGATAAGCTTTCTTCTGCCGATCCCGAGGGCCATGAGACCCCAGGCGCCAAAGACGCCGACCATGTTGATACCATACTGGCCCATGGCAAAGTCGTAAGGGATGGTGCCTGTAAGACCGGCTTGCTCGAAAAAGTACGTGCTCTGTGTGGACTGTCAGTTTCTGTTGATAGTGTAACGCGCTGAGGGCTCACGTAATTACTGAAAACGTTTCCAGCGAGATTCTGCGTCATCCCTAATGATAGACTCAGCACTGCAGAGACGAGACGCAGGTCCGATACGTACAGATGACACAGACAATCTCCGTCCTTCTCAATTCCACTCCCTTGAAACAGTCCAAAAAAGAAGCTCCCGAAGCAATGTCCTTTTCCAATTCTGTCGTATGTCTGATCATGTCCAAAGCCTCGTCTTCATCAAAATCGGGATTGTGCTTGGGTGACGCGAGGCGGCGAAGGGACTTTTTGGCTCGTTCCATGTGACCGTGTCGGACGAGCCACCAGGGCGATTCGGGGGCAAAGATGACACCGAGGAGGATGAGAGGTGGCCAGACCCACTATATACTCTGTTAGCTATACCGCTCGATCTTAAAAGAGGACGAGACGTACCTGGACAGCGTAAGGGATACGATACGCCCATTGATCATCGCGCTTGAACATGGCCCGGATGACGCCGATGCCGATGAGCTGGCCGTAGCCCCAGCAAAAGTTGCTGTAACAAGTAAGGTAACCGCGTAACGCGACGGGGCAGACATCAGAAGCGTAGGAAATGGCGACTGGGCAATATCGTCAACATCGCCACTCTTACCGCGGGATGTGGACGTACTGGATTGGAAAACGCCCCAGGGGATACCAGCAAGAATCTCGGCACCGAGCAAGACTTTGATGTTGGGGGCGCAGAAGAACATAGTGATGACTACTATGAGCCAAGAGAGAGACACCATCAACACCTTTCGGTAGCCGAATCGTTCAGTAAAGATTCCGTTTACTAGCACATGTTGGTATAATATGACTATGCCTTGCGATGACATGCTCACAGATTAGACCGATGATCTGGCCACACTGAGCACCATTGGAAAGACCAGTTTGCCACCGCGCGGGTACTTGATAAGTCCCGTCCGCAAGCTCGACACCGAATTTCTTGTTGAACGGGGCGAACGCGTCTATGAAAGCGTCAGTCCAGCTCTTCCCACACACGTCGCGGCTCACAAAAGTTACCCAGCAGGGAGATGTCGTAGCCTTCCATAGCACAGCAAGACGCGATGAGTATAGACCAGAGGATTGCCTTGGGGTACTTCCGAATACCTTCCCGAAGGGTCATGTTCTGCTCCTTGTCTATCGAAGCGTCAGTCTGTTATTGCCACTCCGCACTGAGAGTCCTCACCTGTCGCAGCCTGGGCATTGGCGTACATGGTGGCGATCGCCTTGTCCTGCGAGTAGAGGGGCCCATCTACGGATACCTTGCGGGCGGGTATGGAAGAGGTCTTGATGATTTCATCATGTTCTGGGGGGGCCATCGTAATAAAGCGCTTTGATGGTCGGACCAAAGAAAGGTGATTGTCAAATTGTGGGGAACCACAGGAGACCCCGGTCGGCATTCTCTTATATAGACATGGCCTAAAAGCGGAATGTCCATCTGATAAGCCTGGAACGGTGCTGTCATCCGATATTTGCGCCAAGGAGCAGGTGACAAGAGCCGAAGTGATCAGTCTTCAAGGACAGGCGAAATTTCGAATAGCCAGCGGTAACGGGCCGAAGCACCGAAGCATTACGTGACTGTCAGAGCGGAGAGCGACCGCGGATTCGGGCGAGAGAGCAGCCCTCATATTGTCAGGCATAGCAGAGGCTATAGAGTTTACTGCAATCAAAGTCGCACTTGCCGCACTCACCAGCCAGAAGCTCAGCTGGATCAGCTGACCATCACCGCGCTGCGTCCAATCCCGCAAACGTACTGTAGTTTCATCGATCGGAACGCGCGGAACGCAAGAGGTCATAGATCGGCTTATGTAAACACTTTTTGCCCTGGCACTGGCCCGATATCGGAGTCCGTGAACGCGAACGCGTCGTTCAACCCACTGCACACACACCAACACACTCTACTCGTACACTACAACCCTGTGCATCGATGACCTGCGTTATCTGCCTCCAGTGGGATGTGGTGGATAAATATGGGCGGGACCAAGAGGAACGAACAAGACGATTGCGGGGCCACCGGGGCCACATCCGGCTGCAGCAATGTCCTTCCCTTGGCCCTTGGGACCCATCGGGACTCGGGAGGGCCATGATGAGACATTGCCCACCAGAGGCCACAAAGTAGCTGCCCATCGCCACTTATGCTTCGTAGACGTGGCTGGGATATGGGAGCCCAGAAGGGTATAGCACAATTTATGAACGACGTCTGAGCTTGTTTCAAGCTGAAAAAGACCTGGCAATCTCGTCGAATTCCATCTGTCAAATGTGTTCCCCAAGATGGATTCACTTCTGTGCATGCTGCTTCTCCCTACACATCACCTTCTTTGTTATTGGATCCTCAGGAATAAACACCGGTTTAAAAACATTTCAATGTTAGCAACAGACCTCTTAAATGAGTCTGCCGTCGTCGGCACGACGGTTGTAGGCAGGCTGACAGACACATTAGCACCATATACCAGTAGAAGACACAAGACGCACAGGAGGGGCAGGCTTGTTGTCGAGAATTTTTTCAATCTCGGCGGCAATCTCAGGAGTGAGTTTGGGGAAGATGTCGAGAGCCTTGACGTTCTCCTTGATTTGCTCGGGCTACAAGTGAATTAGTCTCGGCCGGGAAACTGTCAGCGTACCTTGGTGGCACCGAGCTGTAGACAGAGTCAGCTTGAATCGGGAAGAAGATTCGCAGAATACTCACAATACAAGAGGAGACACCCTCGTGCAACAAGGTCCAAGCCAAAGCCAGACTAGTCATGGACCCGCCGAGCCTCTCCGCGATTTCCGTCAACTTCTTCACCTTTTCAATCTTCGCCTTGCCCTCAGGGGTCTCGAGTGCCTTGATACTCGAGTCCATCACGTTGCCAAGGTTGTGGTGATACCTAGAGTCTTTAGGAATACCGTTGTTGTACTTGCCGGTAAGCATACCAGAGTCGAGAGGAGACCAGATGGTGCTGCCGAAACGCTCGTATCGCCAGAGAGGCTCGTACTCGACTTCAAACCTCTCTCGGTGAAGCATCGAGTAGTGAGGCTGCTCGGCAGCGGGGCCGACCATGTTGAGGCGCTTGGCAATCTCGATGGCTTGCTGGATCTGGTGGGCGGACCATTCAGAGGTACCCCAGTAGAAGGCTTTGCCGTTGTCGATGAGGTAGTTGAAAGCTCGGACAGTCTCCTCAATGGGGGTAGTCACGTCAGGTCTGTAAAGGAGTAAGTAAATCACCATCGATCTGTCGTATCCTTGTCCAACATACCGGTGAGCAAAGATAATGTCGACTGTCGTCAAGTCAGCCGTGTGTCACGATGTATAGGAAACATACTCACCGTAGTCAAGACCGAGTCGAGCAAGAGACTTGTTGACACCCTCAACAATGTGCTTCCTGTCTTCAGTGTGAGTGACTATCCATTTGTTGTTGCGCTGTATCCACCTACCTGCTCAAACCCCTGGTGTTGTGTTTCTCAGCGTCACCAGTACCGAAGAAGACCTTGGTGGTAACAATGATGTCGCTCCTGTCCCAGCCAAGCTCCTTAATCACTCGACCCATCTGGCTCTCAGACTCGCCAGCAGCATAGATCTCAGCGTTCTGCGATCAATAGTCAGCTTTTGCTCGTCACGGTGAAGGGAGGGCACCGCTCACGTCAAACATGTTGATACCGCTGTCGAAAGCCGTCTGCATCAACTCCTTGACGATATCGCCCTTCTGGTTGTAGCCGACGCTGCGATTCTTGTCAATAAATAAAGGCGGGGCGGCGGAATTCATGTCAGCCACTTACGTCAACCATCCACCGTAAGAGAACACGGGAACTCGCTACGACATTCCTGTCAGAGCCACCAACGGTAAGCACAGTTTACTCACCAGTCCAGTGCTTCCAAGGTTTCGGTACTGGATTGGGGTCAGTCGAAGATATCGTAGAGATAGAATACACTGACGATCATGTTCTTGGGGTCGAATCGCTGGGGGGTGACTTCACTCATGGTGCTGTATTGTATCCTGCGGGTAGCAGAGAGTGTTTGTTTGAGTATGCGGTTCACTTTGAAAGTGGGTTTGTGGGAAATGTCGATGGGCATTCGATTTCACGCCGCGTCAGCGCCGCTTTATGATGCCATTGCAAAGTGGAGGCAGGTGGAGGCGGGTGGAGGCAGGTGGAGGTCCGCGGAGAAGGCCGCTCTGTGCGATCCTCATTCGGCGGCGATGACCGGTCCGCGTCACTCGAACTCGACTATCCGACAAAGTGCAATGTGGGACATCTCCGCACATATATCTTTTCATTCGCAGCTACACGATCCAGATTGCCCAGGTAGGGTGACACAAGAGAGAGATAGCTAGCTTGGCCACAACATTTCATTCCGCCGCCCACCATGGACCTCGTCCCATGTAAGTTTACAATCCCCCGGCCTTCCGATACACACCCGTAAGCATCCTGACCGACTCGATGCAGATATGTTCTATGAGAAGCAGGAGCCGGGATCACAACTCTGTGCGTATTCCACATGACTCCATGCACAGAGACTGATAGCAATAACCAGGTGCCCAGCATTGCTTGTATGTTCCGCTGATCGCCACCATGAGAACTTTGTGTTGACACGACACTAGAAACAACCTTCTCCAACAACACAGCTTTGATGAGTTTGGATTAGCTGACGTTGCCAAAGAGTGAGCCCCAATACGACTCATCGCGGCATTGCTGACCAAAACAGGCTGGACGAGGCGGAAAATGCAAAGCTCAGCGTCGATTACCGAAACAAAAAGTCGTACAATTTTGACGACTCTGGCTACTTTTCTATATCAGTTCTGGAGAGGGCGCTCGACGTGTTCGACTTGGCCATGGTGAGATGGAGAGGAGAAGCAATGAAGGCTTATCAGGAACATCCCGAGTACATTCTTTCCTCACCTTGCGCGCTTTCCGCTGACCACGCAAAGACAACAAGTCGGGTTTATCTTGAACCTCGCCTCCCACTGGTTCCCCCTCCGCCGATTTGCTCCCAATCCTCCCCACGCGGTTGCCATTAAGCGCTGGTACAACCTCAATTCGTTCCTACCCAATGGTCCTGAATGGATTTCGCCAACGTATCTTCGGATGGTGCTTACACAAGCCGAAGAGGAAGGCTACTCTGTGTTTGTGATCCGCAAGAACAGTCCAGGAGGTCAAGATTCTGAAGAGCCTCTCACGGGCGAAGGTGCCGGCTGGGCGGATGGAGGTATCGGAGTCTTGCCCGAGTGCTTGGCCGACACGATGGCTGTCACCCTTGGCGAGCCCGTGGGCCGCTCTGGCCCCTCCAGCGGGCGTTCCGGTACCATTCGCACAGGCGGTACTGACTCTAATCAAGTCAACGGTGACCCCAACGTCCAGCCCTCAGCTGGACCGTCTTCTCCCCCGGCTCGGGGATCTGGCAGGCGCCGCCGTCAGCCCGACCTTTCCTCCGATGGTATCGAGCCAATCGATGACCCCTTCTCCGCTCCCCCTCCTGCTTCTCGCTCTCGCCAGACGTCCTCGCGGTCCCAGACTGTACAAGGAGATGGAGACCTATTTGATAACGTCCACGGCGTCCTCCAAGAGCCCACCAACGCCAGACCGGACCCCATCAGTATCGACGATAGCGACGAGCAAGAAGATGAAGACGAGGAACTCGACGATGATTTCGAGATGCTCGGGGCGGGCGGGGCGGGGACCTACAGGGGTCCGACAGACTTCCAGCAGCATGCGAGGAGTTATGATGACGAGGACGCGGCGCTGCAAGCGGCGCTGAAGGCCAGTATGGCGGATGTGCCGCAGGGATGGGAGTTGCCGGATGTCTGGAAGGAAGAAAAATCGGGGACGAGGAGTGGCACTGGTGGATCGGCGCCTTCTTTGGCTACTCCAGCTGATTCTGCGCCAGCACCAGCGCATGAGCCTGCTCAAAATTGGTCAGTGCGAGACAGCGAGGCGGCTCCAGCGGCACAGGAAGAGAAGAACGAGGTGGAAGATGACGATGGTGATGAGCCCGCCGAAGAAGTTTCGCCTGGTACGTGTTCGCTGCTTTTTATTGCTATGTTGAACTGACGACCATGTAGAGGAGATTCGTCGAAGGCGTCTGGCCCGATTTGGGTAGACCGCAAAGGCTCTCTGCTATCGACCGACTGATATAGTCTATGGTGAAGAGATATATCGATGTATGTAGCATATGCTGTGCAAGGCTGTGCATAACCAAGAGAGCAAACATCGGACTATGTGACAAATGATGTGATTCCACAATCTTGGTCAGGACATTGCATGATGCCAGTGATAGTCCATCGACAAATGTATATTGTACACTCAATTGCGCGTTACATCAAGTATCCACGTCACAATACTAACTGATCACGGATGAATAGTTACTGGTGGATGTGATGATGAATCACTCGCCGCCATACCGTTCCACAGCACAAAGAGAATTAACGCGTGCTATTCTCATGTCAGACAGTCACTTTCTTCAGTTGAGACAAAGGACTTACCAGACTTCCGGCATACAAGATGAACAAATTTCTCGCCCGCTTGTTACCCACGATCGCTCTTGTCAACGCGAATACACCTTTATCTAGAGGATTGAGCGCCTGGACCGCCCTCTGCGCTTCTCTCCCCTTGAAGGCTTCGAACGGGTTGAGTGACTCGTCGTACTTGTCCTTGTACTTTCCAATCTCCTCATCCCTTCTCCCTAGTACGCCATTCAATAGACCTCCACCCCTACTACTCGAGGGCGGATACGAGCTCGACCCCGCCCCCGCACTCGCGGTATCTCTATACGACCCCATGTACCGCACCTTCTCGTACAGCTTCAAGTTGTCCGCTTGGAGTGCCTTGACCTCTGCTCGCAGGTCAGAGATGGTCTCGAATTGTTTGCGGAGTTCTTCCTCGAGTTCAGCGTTGCGCTGACGGAAGCGGTCGCGTTGAGAGGTGACGATTGGGAGGATGGAGGTGTCTTGTGCGCTCGGGGCGGGTGACGAGCGGTTTTCCTGCGCGACGTCAGCGACAATATATGTACTTGTAAGTGGGACATACAGTCTTGCCTCCGATGTCGAGGCCAGCCAGTCCAACCGGCGTTCCACTACCACCTCTGTCTTCCTTTCCATCGAGCATCATCAAATCTCCCTCGAGTTTCTCTACCAGCTCTCGCTGCCTGGCCAGATCCACCTGCAGCCCTTCAATCACATCATCCGCCTTGGCATGCTCCCCCGAGAGCTCTTCCCACGACACTCGCAGCTTTGTGAGGTCCTCAAGAAGCCGGCGGTTCTTTGACACGAGTAGTGATTCGAGGGATTGGACCTGTTGCTTATTGGCGACAGTAGCGTTGGGGTCCGGGAGATGCGGCTCGTCGTCGTCTTCTCCATCGTCTCCAAAGTCGGCGCCGGAGAACTCGACATACTTCATAATCTCCAACTCTCTCTTCACCTCGTCGTAGTCTGCATACCCCTTCAGCCTCTCCTTCAATCCCTCAACCTCACCCTTCTGCGCATCAATGACAGCTTGCGCGTCTTCGGCTTGCTTTTTGGCGCGCTTCTCGGCTTGGGCTTTGGCATCTTTGGCGGAATCGAGAGTGGCGAGGATACGGGAGGTTTCGAGCTCGAGCTCGGTGATCTGGGATTCGAGGGATTTGACCTTTTCGGCTTGTTGAGAGCCTGAGCGAACGGACTCGACTTCAGATCGGAGTAGTTCCTGCAGTAAAGTCAGACCCATTCAGAAGAGAAGATGATACTTACGTTTCGACGCTCGACTGTGGCTACGCGCTCGTTCGCACGGGCGAGGTCGGCAGCGACCATGTCAAGCTCGGCCAAACGAGCTGCAACATCTTGTTCTATAGCCAAGGGTCAATCATAGGTCGACAGAAGCATAGTAAACGTACCCTGTCGTTGAGAAGCATTCAAGAGCTTGGCCTCAGCACTCTCATTCGAAGTGTGAAGATCTCGGAGCTGCTGCTTGACAGTCTCCACTTGCCGATGCAGACCCTTCTCCCGGTCCTCATAGTTTCTCATCCGCTCATCATACTCCGCATTGAGCTCATTCTCCTTCTGCGTGACTCGCTCCTGGATCAGATCATCCATCTTTGCCTCCAACTGCTCCACCTTGCCTTCCGCCTTCTTCCTCTTATCCTCCAGCCCACTCATTTCTCCCACAGTCTTCTTCAACTCTGCATTCTCTTCCTTCAGCCTCGCCATTTCACTCTCCATCATTCGCGCTTCCGCCACTTTGACAGTCTGATCGACTGCTGCGTCCAGTAACGGATAAGGATCGGGCGCATCTGCAAGGAGCTTGTACACATTCAAGAAGGATGTTTCCGACATCTTTGAGCGGCGCGTGAGAGAGTCGATCTCGCCCTGGTAGGCCTTGAGAAGGACCTTGATAGCAGAGAACTTCTCGGCATCGTCTGGGAGTTTCTTGAACTCTGTGAACCGGGGTGAGCTTGGGTCTATACCAGCGCGTCCTTTTCGCACCTCGGGTCTGCTCAGCAAGCTTCTTTCTTCCAACCAAGTTCTCCTTCTGGTTGTCCACGAGCTCGACTGCAGTCGTGTCGAGGGTCTTCTGGAGGTCGGAGAGGTTGATTTCTGGAGAGGTCAGGACGCGTCGTCGGGGTGTGAGGCTGTCCACTCACCCTTCCATGTCGTCAGCGCGGCGGAGAAGTTCTGGTCAGCCATGGCACTGTCCCACTGCGATGCTGGGATGGATGCTACCCAGATACATACATATATATTATTATATGCACAGTGGACCCTGAGCATCCTTACGTAACGCGGTACTCACCTCTGACGATGGCCGACTGCCCTATGCATTCATTTCCCTGCCATCCCCATGTCCGTGAAGAATGCTGGGACACGACGACGCCGACGAGGGCGACATATCCCTCGCCTTCACCTCAAATCCCGCCTCGAGAGCGGCAGCGGCGCCTGCACGACCACTCGCTCCAGCCAGCGACTTTGAGCAGGATGTCGCCGTCCCATCCCCCCGCCCCCTCCTCGACAAAGAGTCAGCTTCTAATCCCGGCCAGAGAACAAGAAGCCGCCAGGGCGTGACCGTGTCGCTGAACGATGAAGACGGCGCAACATCCACTGCGACGGCACCAGGGCACTGGGCTCCTGGGGCTCTCAAATCGGGTTCGAGACCATCTCCAGCACAACCTTTATCCCCACAATCTTATCCAAACGTCGACACCTCCCGCATCCCCTTCTCGACCCAACCTCCAGGGCTACCGCGCCGCGCCTCTTCTGGTCTTGGACGTTCGCGCTCTCTGAACGTCCGCTTGCCTTCCGCCGACGATTCAAGCTCGTCCGATCCAGCCCAAAATAGTAAACAGGCTCCCATGTCGGCATCATCATCACGTCCCACACCTTCGAGCAGGATAGGGTGGTCGAGGCGTCCCGGCGAACCGAGGCCTCCGCCCATGATGAGCCCTGAAGTGGCAGAGAAGATGGGGCGATGGGTGAAGGATGTTGTGGTGTGCAACTTTGATTTGGACAGAGGTCCCGTGGTGGAGAGGAAAGCGGGGAGCAGGAGGTGGGGTTTTGGGGAGAAGGAGAATGTGTGAGTCCGATATGTTCAGACTACAGACACTGTGCTGACCGTGTATAAGGGCATTCTCTTCTTTCCCGGATACCTCTCTGTTTGCAGAGGGAACAGTGCTCTTCTCTTTCAAGATAAGACACATTCCACCAGATCCTGAGTCGTTGTCACTCCCAGAACCTCCATCGCCCATGCCAGATCGCACAAAGACCGTCGAGGAGGAACTGTTGAACGACAAGCTGAATACGGAGGGAGCGGCGAGTGCAAGTCACCCTGCGACCATGAGTACAGGAGAGAAGGCAGACGAGTATAGAAAGTGGGACGAACGGGGAAGGGAGTGGCTGTATGGCTTTGTGTGGTTTGAGCAACGGCAGGACCAGGGTATAAGAAGAGGGTATATGCAGGTGAGTGGGATTGCTATCCAAGGGATGTGGTAGCTGACTTAAGCAGAAATCTCTGGTTATCCTCACACACCTTCCTTTTCCTGCACTGTTTGCTTCTGTGCTACAAAGAGTAGCTCCGGCATTCTTTGACTACGGCTACTCGGCTTTGGAAGCGGCTTGTCATTCCATAGCTAAATGGTGCGCATAACTGATACCTGGCATGGGCAAAGCTAACAATCTCAAAGGCCGGATCCTATTCCCGATACCCTTCTATCCCTACCATTCATGTCTGACGTTCTCAACGTCAAGCTTCCCGACACCTCAGAATCCACCCAGATGTTCAAAGTCACATCCATACCCTCTACCCCTTCACCATCTCATGCGCCTATCCTAGCATCCTTACCCACATCAACACCACTACGGACATTTGCACCATTCATCGCTTCCCTATGGTCATTGTGGGAATGTCTAGTCCTCTCTGAACCCATCTTGATCATTGCCCCCGATCCCAAGACATGTTCCGAGATTGTATGGTGGCTGAGAGACCTCATGCGCCCTCTACCTCCTGCTGGTGACTTTAGGCCATACCTACACATCCACGACCACGATTTCTCCCTTCTTGTCAATGCCAACAAACCTCAGCCTGGTGTTGTAGTCGGCGTCACAAACCCCTTCTTCCGAAATGCGGCCAGCCATTGGCCGAACGTCATCTCTATCCCCTCCAAATCTCGTAAAATAAGACCGAGCTCGTCTTCCAGCTATTCTAATCCCTTGGATGGGCCAGAGGGATTCATCACCCGCCGCCACCGCTCGGTCCAAAAAGACCGCCCACTGTTGAAACGCCTAGAAGCGCTAGTAGCCGAAGGAAATCTGGATGACCCTGCTGGGAATGAAGCTTTGAGGTCACATTTCCAGCAGTTGACAGAGAGGTTTATGGTACCGCTCAATCGGTACTTTCAGACTCTGGTCCCGACACAGACCCCGATCCCTGGTATGGGCTCGCATCTGACACCGAGTATGGCTGGATCGCCCCATCCATCAGCCAACAATTTGCCCTCGCCGTCACCGTCACCTTCGCTGTCGGCATCGCCCATGCCGTCACCTGCAGTCTTTTCGCATCTATCCCCCTCCCTTCCCGTGCCCCTCTCTTCACAATCCCCGCTCACCGCCATCCGCCCCTTCTCCCTACCAGCCTTCCTCACCCATCTCCGAAACTCGGGTCCAAATCCACTCTTGTTCAGGAGCAAAAGCATCATCTTGACCGGAAAGAGCAGGGTGGAGAATGATTTCTATGCGAGCTTTTGCATGAGCGCGGGCTTCGCGGGATGGTTGGGGGGAAGAGTCGAAAGTCTGGGCGGGGCGCTCGCAGGGTCGGTCAGCCGAACAGGCACACCGCGGCCCTCGACTTCGTCCTCTCGGTCAGTGTCCAGCAGCGGCCTCACTGTGCCGTCCACCCCCAACCGCCGCTCGCCTGCACCCGGCCCACCGTCCCGTCTGAGGTCTGTCAGTAGTACTCTTATAACGACTACCTCGGCGGAGCTGGACAGCGAGAGTGCGCGGGTGACGCCGGAAGCGGGATTGGGCGCAAGGCCTGCTTTCTCGAGGTCGGCCTCTGTGGGTTTGGGTATCAGTGGGGGCGGGTCGGGGCTGTCGAACATGGATAAGGAGGAAGGGAGGAAGGAGAGCAGTGAAGATGATCTCTGAAGGGACGTTTGTTTTGTATAAATTGTGCACCTGTCAATCGTGTACTTGTATGATAATGATCAAAACTTGTGAAGTTTAGCATGGTCCAATCAAACATATATGCATTTACACAATACTCTAGTACTCACCATGATCATCTCCGTACAACAATAACGCTACAGTATACTATGGTCTAATTTAGAGCAGCCATCAACCTGATCCTGTCCTCTCTATCCTTCTTGTTCTTTCTCTTCCAATCAACCTTCTCCTTCTTGCTCATCCCCGCCTCCTCTCCTTTGAAGACTCTCTTATGCCCCATCTTGGCCTTCTTCTGCGCCTTTACAATCTCCTTCTGTGTATGTGTGATTTTCGCTTGGGAAGTGTGTGAATGTCCCAAGCCCAGGCGGTCTAGTTTTAGGGCGGTGGATATGGGAGTTACACGCCCTGGACCAGACATGGGCGAGGGCTCGGGGGACACGGAAGGGGATGGTGAAGGAGAAAGAGAGGGCGACAGAGTGAGGTCAATGATGGGATTCCCCTTGGGGTCCGTCTCTTGTACTTCATCCTCAGGGCGACTATGGGCTCTTTTCCGCCTCCCCTTGTCATCCTTCCGGATGGAACATTCTTGAGAAGGCGGGGTACCATCATCTGGCACTTCAGTCCACCCTTCGGGTTTCCCCAGGCCACCACCTCCCCAGCCCAAGCCTTGGAGCATTCCGTACCCTTTGTTCTCTGGCCCCAGCGCATAATAATGCGCCTTATCTTTCCCCTTGTTGCTCGCCTTGGCATTGGGTATAGAAGGAAGAGAAAGTAGCGATGATATCGAAGAAGGAGCAGGGGTGGAGGGGCGTGAGGAGGGGAGAGACTGGGATGTGACGAGGGGGCGACGGACGAACCAATCTTGACGCTTCACTGGCATATGCAGGGGATCTTTGGGAGGATCTGGGGGGATGTACGTGGGTGTAAGAGAGACCGGGCGACTGGCGGCAGCTGGTACAGAGGCGGCATTCGAGCCTGACCCTTTCGCCAAGCTGAGATACCAATCCTTCACCTTGTCTCCACTATCGACTTCCCTCTTCTCCTTCGCGGCTTCCACTGCCTCAGATCTCCCCGTATCAATATCGACTTCCACACCGTCTGATACACTCCTCCCTAGCTCATCGTAGGTAATCGTCGACTTGACGAAAGTGGGAGGGCGTTTGAGACGTTCGGGACCGTGTTTGTACGGATTTACATTCCACTCTGGCCAAGCAAGATGTTTGGGGAGAGCCTCAAAGACAATGGGCTCTTTACTTTCGACCTTCTTCCCGGGGTGAGAGCCTTCTGCCTGATCTTGGTCCTCTTCGGCGTCAAAGTCGTGCTCGACGATGTTGTCGTGGGCATCACGGGACGGCGCTTCACCAGAGCGGATGGTGAAGACGGGTGGTAGACCAAGCCCCGCTCGATACGGCCGAGGCTCAGTCATGAATAGACGTCGCTCTGCTCTTGCCAGTGGCGAATTGTAGAATAGAGGAGGTATGCAAGTGCAGATAACTTTTGAATTTGGTTCCGCCGAGCCCAGCTGGCAATGACGGAGTGGGTGGCGGTGGCGACAAAAGAGGCGTGTTCCCGGCGTGTTGCAGCATACATATATACATATACCCATGTCGGAGCAGCAGAGATCACCTCCACCATCACTCGACAAGTCGTCCCCCGCCAAACGGGCAAAGATTGACCAAGAGCCAGCGGCAGAAGCAACAGAGATGTCCAGCAACACGCCAGCCCCGGCAGCGGAGGAAGCTCCCAAGGAAAGGGTCATTGACGAGAACACCGACATGTCTACCCTTACAGACCAGGAGATCATGAAGCTTATGGAGCAGATGGATCAAGGGACTCAGGATGTTTCGAATAAGGAAAGGCCGCTTCGTACTGGACAGAGCTTCAGCTGACGAACAGACGTATAGCCACTGATCAGTACCCCTGTGCCCTTGGCAGTGATCAGGGAGGAGTACCTGAAAGGATCGCAGCAAGTCGTCAAGAAGCTGGACTATCTGCAGGAGAAGGGGTGGGATCAAGTATGGAGAGGTAGGTAAAGTACCTCTGGTCATGTTAGCTGACAACTCTCAGCGCGTGGCGATGGAGACTGTCTGTTCAGGGGTATGTTCCAGATCAATGGGAGAGTACTTACCCAGACTGACGGTCCGAGAAGCGTTCACCCTGGCATACTTGTTGAGGATCCTGTACGCTCCAGACCCTGCAGTGGAAGCCAATCTGGCTTTCGACGCGGTTCAGAGAGCGTTGCCTGCCATGGAAGCTTGCGGCTTCCAGAAGGACATTGTGGGCTATCTGCACTCTATCACTGTCTAGACTAATCCGATTCCAGTACGAAGAGTTCTTGGATCCCCTCATCACCATCCTCCGCGCCTTCTCCGAAGGTCTCGATTCCACCGCCAACGAATACTCCATCATCCAGACCCTTCAGTCCCCCGAACTGTCCAACTCTATCGTCGTCTCCCTCCGACTCATCACCTCCGCCTACATCCGGACCCATGCCGATCTCTTCTCGCCCTTCCTCTTCTCCCCGGTGACATTCGAGCCACTATCGGCTGAGGAGTTCTGCAAACAGGAAGTCGAGCCGTGTGGTAAAGAAGCCGATCATGCTCAGATCATGGCGTTGAGTCAGGCTCTGAAGCAGGGCATCAAGGTGGCGTACTTGGATAGGAGTGAAGTCGGAGATGGAAGCGTGATCAATTGGGTGGAGTTTGGGAATGATACTTCAGAGGAGTCAAGGCCCCTTACCCTGTTGTACCGGTATGGGCAGTCTTGGATAAGAGTACAGAAAGCTTACGCGCTCGCCAGTCCCGGTCATTACGACGTTGTTACCAAAGACCATCCACCCAAGTAGCCAATGAAGGTGACACCAATGTACCAAAGGAACCGAATGTAGGAAAAAGACGCGTGGACAGGACATCTATCGTACATGCACCAGTTGATACATGTATTGTATACATATTGCCCCCGTATCTCAACGTTCAGGGATACTACCTCTCAAAGCCCTCAGCATCTCGCTTCCACTCCTTGGCCTCTCCATGGGCTCTACAATCGGTACCGGAGCCACCTCCACGCTTCCACCTCTCGCGATCCTGTTGCTTGTCCCCTCCCGTCCTTCTCGCACAGGCGGTACAACGGGCTCCTCGCTCCCTACCCTCCTGTTTCTCTTGAGCCCAAGCTCGTCTCTTAAGCGAGTGTACACAGGCTCGCTATACACTGATGCCGGACGATTGTACTCTTGAAATGTACGACCTGTCGGTATAGGTGGAGGATTCAGAGACGGACGGTGTGCAGTCGAGGCAGAGCCACTTCGGTGGTGGGCGCTGGAAGACGGCAGTGAACGCCGAGGGCCAATCTTGGGATCTGATGCGTGGCCGCCAGACGGTCGCGATCGGTTACGAGCTCGGCGAGCCTTGAGCAAAGCCTTCTCGGTGGCCGAATCTTTCCACAAGTTGAATGCTTCGTCTAAGAGTACACTAGTCAGCTCACATCAAAGAATTTTGAATAGCAAAGCGCACATAGAAGTCTCATGTCTCTCTCCTTTTGCAGTCTCTTGGCTTTCGTCTTGACCTCGAAAGCTTCGCGCCAGGCGTTCCAGGTCGTCTTTTTGACGCGAGAGGCGTCAGCTTGAATGCCGGGTAAGATCTGCAAGCAGGTCAGCGTATCACTCTTGAAGAAGTTTGCAGGGATAACGTACAACAGTGGCAGCCTTCCACTTATCCATCACCCCAAACAGAATGACATTCTCATGCAAAAACTCCACTTCTCGTCTCTGCTCCTTTTCGTCAGCATGTCCGATTTCACTCCAAGGAAGAGTATACCCACGACGTCTTCAAGGTCCCTCTCCCTCTTCTTCTCCCACCATTTCTCCCAGACATTCCTCAGCAGTCGGCCGTCCTTCTCGATCAGAGATTGTTCTGACGCAAGGCGTAGTCGTTTCGAGCGTTTGGCCACTAGTCGCCAACTTTGGAACGTCCGTCTCAAATGTTCTAAGCCTCCCTGTCAGCCTTTGGAGGTCATATCAAAGCAGATAAACGCACCATTCTCCCTAATTTCTACTGCATCGTCCGCCCTCTTCTCGTCGGCTCTGATCCTCGACAGTCTCTCACGCCAGGTCGCAACGACATCCCAACATAGCTTTTCATCATGGTCCCTTGCGGCTCGGAGCTCGCGGTCCTTGACTTCAATGACCCGATTGAGCCATTTTGTAAAGCTTGCTTGTTGGGTGCGCTGGTCAACGAATTTTGTAAAGACAATGTCTCGTTTCTCGAGATCGTGATATTTACGCGCCATACCTCGCCATCCTATACCACTGTTAGCATGTGTTTGCCAGTGACGTATCCAAGATAGGACTCACTCTCTAGAACGCCCCTCATCACTCTTTCTTCTCTCTTCCTCACCCAATCATCAACCTTGATCTGTCCCCACTGCCCCTTCCAGACACCAAACACCGACCTCTTGACAAAGAATCCCCTCGCTTGGTCTGCGAGCGCCTTGTTGGTCGAGATTGTCTGGGTAGCAGAACGCCATTTGGTGAGACACTTGGTTTTGAGAGAGCCGTGTTGGAAGTGGGTGGCGAGCGAGTCGAGGTGGGCCAGATGGGAGGCTTTGGAGCGCCAAGTTTTCAGAGCGGTAGTGACAAGTCGTTTATCCTTGCCCTCAACGAAAGTATCTGCGAGCGCTTCCAGCCCTTTCAGACGGTCCTTACCAGCCTTCCAAGTAGCAAACGCTTGGGTCACTCGACGTCTGTCTTTGATTTGCTCGAAAAGGACTTCGCGAGAAGACAGGCGCCAGGTATGTAGCGTAGTAGCGAGTATGCAGAGTTTGGAAAATGTTTGTGCTTTGCGGTTCAAACTCTGCAGAATGTCAACAATGGTCTCTTTCGACAGTGAAGGGTTTCACCTTTTGCTTCAAATGAACTTGCTTCCATTTGGACAGTGCTTCTCCCAACAGTCGCCGACGGTCGAGTTTCGAAGCCTGTCGGTTTTGCCAACTCGACATCCTCCACTCGTCCATAACTCTCCCGGCCAGACGCTGCTCGTTCCTCAAAACCAGGTCTCTCTCCAGTGGGCGCAGTACTGTTGTTTGGCGCCATATTTGGAAAGCTTCTTCTTTCTGTCCCAGCTGAATACCTCCCAGAATACCATTCAGGTGTCGCTGATTTAGAGTGGCATCGCGCCAATGGGTGAGGGTGTTTGCCAGTAGAGATGTCTGATGCCGTCGGTGTATGATATTGTACTTGCTGGCTAGACACCATTTCTGGACACGACCCGTCAGACTTCCATCGCTTTACTCAACGAGAACTCACAGCAAACACAGAGGCCAGACGCGCTTTCCGCATCTTCTGTATAAAGCCTATCTCCTTCCCAGCCATCTCTGTTCTCCACCTGTCTTCTCTTCTCTTCTTCCATCTCATTTCCCATTTGTCCCACACTTGCTTCCTCGCTCTCTCTTCCATAGTCGCTACGAGTTGTGTTTCCCTCTCGACCAGATCGCGTTGCTTGATGCGCAGGAGCCATAACTTGAATATACTCTTCTTGAGGGTAGTAGAATGATGATGGTCGGCGACAGGAGGCAGGGAGAGGGTGTTACGGGTACGGTGTTGCCATTTCTCAAGCGCTTGACGCAGAAGAAGGTTATTACGAGCAGTAGTGATGTTTTTGTATGTAAACTATGCCCGGTCAGCTTCACAATGACGGCCAAAGACTTTACGCACTCGATACCACTCGCTGGTCTTGAACCACATGTTCCAACATCTCCACATTAAGCCATAATTGTAAAAGACATCTGCCTTTTCCTCCATCTGTCTCCTACTTTCCATCGACAGCTCATCGATCTGGTCCACCCAGGATATCGTCTGCGGCGCATCCATATCTCTCTGGCTTTGCTTTGGAGTAGATAGACCTAGGGCAGAGAATTCGTCTGCAGTATCTTCGAGTGCTCGACTGATATCCGATGCCGTGTATGCTGGAGGGCCCCGGGAGTAGTGCTGGTGTTGCGCATAGATAGGTGTCGACGTCCGTATTGGAGGGTCAAACGACATCAAATCCTCTTCGACCGTCACATCTACCTGTGTAGGTGTATATCTCCCACTCGACTTTTCCCTCTCCATATCCATCTCCATCTGCAGCATCGACTTTCTGGGGCTCGGCCGTGAAGCCAGCACCTCGCTCTCTTCTCCGCCGGTGTAGCCTTCATCGAGATCGGAGGAAGCGGATGCGAGGAATGGGACGCGTTTTCGTACTTCTGGGAGCTGGGAGGACGCGTAGGATTTGCTTGGTTGGGTGTAGGTGCCGCTGGAGTAGGATCCTGAATCTTGCTGGGAATAGAACGAAGGGAGGGTTTGGGAATGGGCGGCTTTCCAGACATCCCATTTATCGCCCCATGTGGGGGCTTTGATGACGCCTACTTTTAGAAGAAAGTTGTAGTATACCGAGTCGTTTGTCGGGGATATACCACTAATCCAAGTCAGCTATGTACAGTCATGAGGCGACATGACGCACCTTTCTTGAAGGACCTCGGTATATGGACGGAATATCTGAGGAAAGGAAGTCGCGTCACGGCCGCGCTCAAAGATGGCCTCGATGACCTCGAGATCCACCGAAGCAGACAATGCTGCAGTGTCGGTGGACCTCGAGGAAGACGAGAGCGGGGGGAACATTGGCGACGGCCAAGTGAAAAGTTTGATCCTGGCTGGATCCAAACAATGAGAAGAGTCAAAAGTCACAACAAAGGAGACGCGTTTATTTACGGGCATCGCCGACCATGCATGCACCAACGATCCATCGTTGTCCTGAAAGTCTTTCACGAATAGATATTGCATGAAGGTATGGATAGATGATGGGTAATATATGCAATACGACTGGTATATACAATCAAGCAAACAAACGAATCAACAAAGTCTGATACAATGATCTACGCCTCTAACAGCACTCCTTGTAGCTCTCCCTCTTGATGCCACTGCAGTAATCTCCACACCTCACAGACAGACTAGCGCCTCTCACACAGTCACACAGAACCTAAACTCGTCAACAAACCCTCTCGACCTCGCTCCCTCTTCCCCTTCGGCATTGGCACTCTCGTTGAAGGACGAGTATACGGCCAGAGGGTCGGGGTTGTGCCACTCTTCAGCCTGTTGGAGCTCGTTCGCGAGATGCTTGTGCTCATTCTTCAAGTTCTTTAGCATAAAGTCAGACTTGTTTGCAGAGGGAGAAGAGAGGGTATCGGTCTTCGGGTGATAGGTGGTGCCAAAGTTCATAAACTTTAGTGATGGGATGTGGGCATAGCTGAAACAGTTGTCAGTAATTAGGTTGAGGGGTAGAGGCGATGATGACTTACTTGGAAGAGTGTCTGCCACAGAGCACATACTTGTACTCGTCGATGAATCGAGTGTCAAAGTCGAGAATGCTTCTCGCCATCTCCCAATCCCTCAACGGCTCCACGGCGCACTTCAGGCGCGAGGTCCATGATGACGGTCCTGCCTCCGTTGCCCGAGTCCACCCAGGCCTTCAAGTCTGACCTGGCATTGTGCATGGTAAGAGCAAGAGGGTATGTCTCGCTGAACATCTTGTTCACCAAGCTGGGAAGCTTCCAGAGCTGGGACACCTCGTCCGAGGAGAGCTCGAAGGGGAGATGGAGACAAAGCTGGGCGCCCTTGATGTTCCACAGGTAGCCCTGCTTGACAATCTTGGCACGCCATCCCTCGACATCGGCCAAGAAGCCGCGTACACACTGTGTACCAAAGACGATGTGAATCTCAGGAGACGGTTGGGCGACAGCTCTTGGGGCAGTGCGTCCTTGTTCGCCTGCAACTGAGAAGCCCACTGGACTTCTGCCTCGTAAAACTCTTCGAGGTCTCGAAAGTAGACGCTTCGGCAGGTGTCGATGGTGTGGGACCTGTGTATGAGAGCCAAGGGGGCAGAAGTCTCGACAGGGAGCGAGGTATAAGTCACCGAAGACGGTCGCGCATTGGCATTGGATGTCTGGTCGACGACAATAGACGATTGGTCGGAAGATATAGGCGTCGGCAAAGAACTGGCTACGCGTCTCTGATTCGCCATTTTGCCACTGAGGCGCGTCCGCGCCACTCGCGACGATGATGCGTTGCGAGACGCCTTCAAAGAACTTTGCGGCGTTCTTTTGGTCAAACTTGACACTCTTGTAGAGGTCCTTTATGTAGGTGCGGTAGAAGTGGCGACTGCAGAGGATGAGGGGGAGGAGATCAGCAGGAGTGCTGCTGTTGATGTAGTGGTCGAGGATGAGGACGAGGAGCTCGCCAGGGAAGGGGAGGGAGGCGGGGCCAGGGTGATAGGGGCCATGGTGGGTATTGTTTGTATATATGAGGAGATGGGGAGGATGATGATGGAATGTCCAAGAGAATTATTTATTATTTGCGTGATTGTTCAAAACTTGACGCGACCGGCGGACATCCGAGCAACCCGGCGGGACCAAATATTGGGTGCTGATGACGTAACCCCGGCTATGCACGTGCACGTTGTCGCGATGGCGCATCCATTTGCTCCCGCGGTGGAGGGCGTCCACTTTTCATCATCATCTAGTACGACATGGCAATTCTTGCAGGGGCAGTACAGGTGGGTGCTCCACAGAACAGAGGGTCCAGCTGACACAGACAGCCCCCCCTCCTCACCCTCCTGTCCTCCACCTCGTCCCCGCCCCTTTCCCCGCTCTTCTTCCAAGCCATCGACCCTTCTGAGCCCAGCTCCCTGATCTCGATAGTGGATGACAGCGAGGATGCCGAGGACTGTCCTCGAGATTCCACCCAGACCATAGTACCCAAGAACAGACCACGAGGCTCAATATCACATCCTGTGATCCATATTCAGTCGCCCGACCCTCGAACAACCTATATCCAGGCAGGCTGCTTTCTTGAATCATCTAGAGCTTCTCATGAGCATGACGACAGGTATCGGCCTCTGGGGGTGGAACTGCCCTGGGTAGGCTTTCAGATAAAGCGGCTGGGACAACGAGATCTGAGCTTGGAAGTGGGTGTCGTCGATGCAAAAGGCCGGGAAGGCATCATCCGGCTATCGAGCTTCAAAGTGAGTTATGCTTGATCGTCGAGTCATCACTGACTGGCAAGCACGCTACTAGACGGAGCCGTCGATACACCCCTGTCATACGCCGCCCCTCATCCACCTCCCTCTCAACTTTCCTCCCTCCGAGTCTCTCGTAACACCGTGGCTACATATCCCCCTCAACTTGGTATCTTTGTTACCACTGTTTCAGTCCCTTCCTCGAGACTCTACAGATAATGACGGTGGACAAGGAGGAGCGAAAAAGAAGAGGAGAGCGGAAAGCGAGCTTCCGAGCGGTAGCTTCAAAAGCGTCAGCTTTGTGAAAGTGTATGCTAATTGCAGAGTAAGACGTATATGGTTTGTGAGTATATTGACCCTTCATTTCCATGTCGTTTGCTAAGGTGATCTCCTAGTCGGCCGAGGGCGAGAAGACGCTGGCAAGCATGGGCAAAGGGGTCGAGGACGAGTGGGCGTTGTATGCGGCAGACTCGGCAGCGTCATTATAGTTCAATCACATGCATGGTTCATGTCCATAGATATCACTCTGAACATCATATACACTCTGTCGCCTGCTTTACTACTCGGTATATGCACCAGACTGGCTCACATCTTCTGCTTTCACTGGCTGGGCCGACTGACGCCGTGTCAGAAAAGGTTCCGCTCATTCTGAGGTTTCTTGCCACCAGCTCCGGTCGTTCTAACCCATCGCGTCTTTCTTCTTCTCTCGTCCTCAGTACTTCTCAAATCGATTACTTCTCTCCTCAAGCATACTTTTCCCCCATCATGGTCTGCAAAAAATGCGAAAAGGTGAGCCCCAAATGATCCACTCTCCACCATAAACCACCTCCTAACATCCTACTTCCAGAAAACATCCACCCTTGCAGCCCCCGACCCCTTCCAGCCATCCTCCTCAACCCGCAAAATTGGTGAAAATAAGCTCTTATCAGCTCGTGCCCGTGCGTCGCCTTATGCCAAGCCGGGACAGGGAGCGAAGAAGGGGAGTATCAATCCGTATGGGAACAAGTGTTTGGATTGCAAGGTCAGTCTGCTGGGGTACGTACTTGGAGAATTGATGCTGATGATTGGTATAGCAAAACGTACATCAAAATAATGCTACCAGGTGTCAAAAGTGCGCGTACAAGAAGGTGTGTCCTAGTATATACGGATGAGGCATGTTACTGATACGGATCAGGGATTATGCGCCATCTGTGGAAATATCGTATTAGACACAAAAGGTGAGTTCCATCCTGTTCATCCCAACCCAGAGTGGCTAACATGGCTCAAGGCTATAAGCAGTCTGCAAAATAGTGCTCGCATCAACGTCGAGATGGGTCATATCATCACGTTCGTTCGCAGATACAGCTACAGATTTCCTTGTTGTAAAAGTATGGTGAAAAATTCTGTATATGCAAATTAACTGTACCACAGAAACCCAAATGTCCCAATCATATAAAAACAATAGAATAAACACAAAAAAACCGACCAAAAGACGACAAAAGAACCAAGATTGGGTGACACATTTTTGGATGGATGGGGATCACTTCCTCCTCATTATACTTCCGAGTCTCTTCAGCCCCTTCTCCGACATGTTCTCCTTTGCTGGCGGGAGCGGCGGCAATTCATCCTCGCTCATCCTCTCGTGCACCACATTGATCGTCGACCGGCTCCCGAAACCCATCATGTTCCTCGCCCTCGCCCCCACACTCGTCACACTAGCATTATTCCCCGCTCCGTACCCAAACACACCCGGTATCGTCAGCGATGAACGCTTCTCCTTCTTGGCCCGCGTGCTAGTGCTTCTGGAGAGGCTTCTGCCAATAGAGCTTGCAGGGGTAGCGACCTCGTGCGTTTCGGCAGGTGTGCCATTTGTGCCGTGGTGTTTGGGGGTGGTAGGGGTATTGCGGGTGGTAGACACTGAATCACGGGGTGTCTGTGTGTTGCCGCTCTCTGCACCTATCTCGGTGGGCGATAGTGCGATGGGCGGTAGACGGTAATTGCTCGTATTCGAGCTCAGGGCAGCGCTGATGACCGACAACCTCTGTTCTGCGACAGGCGATGACGGGCTGTCGAATATCGAGTCACCCGAATCGTGGCTAATATGTATAGAGACCGACTGTGGACTGCGGATAGGACTGTGAAGTTTGGCTTGAGGGAAGCCGTTGATGCTGAAGCTCGGGAGGATGTGGTGGCTGTCTTCTGATACAGTCCTGGGAAAGTCGGCAGACTCTATCGGGAAGGAGCGGTACATGTCTGTACTCCTAGATCAGTATCGTGAATCTCAAATCTGTCGGACTTACGCGTCCTTAAGGCGTCATGGAACGGGACATCTCGACACACTTGGCGATGCACCTCTAGGCTGTCGTAGATGGCCTTCACAAAGTCAATGATGGCAGTCTGGAGCTGCTCGACGTGCGATTGATATTGCGGGTGGGTGGTAGCGTAGTCTCCTTCGATAAACACCTGCCGGTACTTTTGTATGCCCTCGCTTAGAGGCGAATCGACGGCGTTGTTGATAGCTGTGCCCAGCATCTTCGGCCTGAAGATCAAATCAGCAGAGCACAAAAATGGAGCAGAGACAACTTACTCGGGCAATTGTCCATCTTTCCCTCTGCAGGCCTTTCTCAGATGCTTCGTGGCCCTCTCCACCTCCATCGTAGCCATGACACCGGGAGCAATTTGCTCATACCTCACATTAATCACCTCACTCCTCGCCAACAGACCCGGTAGATCCTCCTTCGTAGTGACAATAGTCTTTTCCGTCCACGTCAACACTGCCTCCCTCTCCCCTGGATCTTTCAAGTACGGTCTCATGGACGAAAATCGGTGGATATTGTTGGCGAGCCAATACGCCTGGACGGGTTCGGGGACGTGCGTCTCGTTTTGGGAAGAGAATATGGGTATGGAGAGATCAGGGTCAGGGGTGATGGGCATGACCCAGATGACGGGGTCGAGGCCTGACTTGATGGATTCTGGAGGAGGAATCTTGGAGCGGTGGATGGTGGCCTGCCGGTATTTGGATTGCAATTTGTCGCAGCTGATCAAGTTAGCGCAAGCCTACACAGTGATTGAAAGGCTCACAAATGAGCAAACGTCTGCCCATTAACAGCTCGCACCACGTAATCCTTCCGCTTGTCCAACGATGGTATGTCCCCAAAGAAGGCCACCCGGAAATACTCCACCTTTGGTCGCCATGTTGAAGCAATCTTTTCCCAGAGTTTGACCTGGTGTTGAAGAAGTTCACCGATGATGCGTACGTCGTAAGTGAGTTTCTGGTGCTGCATGATAAGCTCTTGACAGAGGTCGACCGAAAACTCGTATGATTCCGCCAAAGCTATGGACGAACGTCAGTATCATCTATTCATTCACAAAGGGGCTTTGCTTACCAAAGTACTCCATGACATGGTAATACAGCCCCTGTTTTCTGATGAATTGACTCTGTGCCGGCATGGCGATCTCCTTCCATGTCCCCTCTTGAACCCAAGCCTCTCCAGCCACATTCCATTCGTAGACATCGGCATGTAACTTGAGTGCCAAGCCAGCACCGAGCCAGTCGTTTGTCTCCTTGCACACCTGTACCAGCTCGTGTACGTAGCGCACATACAGATCCTTCCTGCCTATCCTCGACACGAACCCCATCAGCTGGAAGATAGCAGTAGAGCGCTCGTCCTTCCACTGTGGCGTCGCCGGGATCTCACGTAGGGCCAGAAGGAGGTCGATAAAGTGCTCGACTTGGGATAGGAAAATCGTGAGAGATGAAGTGAAGGGAGCCGATACCTGCGGAGTAGTCTCGAATATAGCGCGCAGCTGAGCGACAAAGTAGGCGCGCATAGTGGGGTCGGAAGAAGACGGCGACGATTTCGAGTTGAACAAGTCGTCAAGTGTGACAAAGACCTCTGTTTGGATGGAGGATTCTTGCTGATCCAAAAGATGTTCGGCGTAAAGTATGGAGAAGAGAATCTCATCCGCAACTCCGCATAATGCGTCGTGGCTCGACAGACAGAGCCGTAGGATGTCTTTTGCCAGTCCAGTGAATCTGGTTTGGTGCTGCGAGGTGGTCAGCTCCATCATGTATATCCAGACTTACCCCGCCCATGCGTAATCCTTCACAGCCAGCTATATCCACAGGCCACCCAATAGCACTCCACAATCGCCACAAGAGCCCCGCGCCGACATCTCTCAAATCGCCAGCCACAATCCACTCGGCTCGTCTCCGTTGTTGCGTCTGCTCCTCGAGAGCAAGCTCGGGAGATCCACAAAAGTCGCAAAGTAGGCCAAACAGACGTTTCCAGAGGTCAACATCAAATGACACTTGCCCTTCGACTGAAGTATTGGGGTCAGAGACTGACGGTGGCGGCGGCACAAAGACAGGCTTCTCCAGTACCGTCGCCATGCACTCCAGGGCCTTCAGGATACCGCTAAAGCACATCAAGCGTAGGGTGAGCCATTGGCTAGGAAACGCCTTGAAGCTGATTATGGACTCGGCAAAGTCGAATATTTGCACGAAAACTTCCGAGCAGGTCTCCGTTCCTTCGTACTCGAGCATTTCGTTGAACCACCGCTCAATATTGCTTCTGGGCGTAGCTAAAATGAGAGTGGTGATGACCACTCCACATTCTGCCAAGCTGCAATTGAAGATCTCTGACCTAGGTAAGCCGTCGGCTTCGGCCTGGTGGTGTCTCTCCAGCAGAGACGGTGGGGGCAGCTGTGATACGAGAGCGAAAGGCACTGAAGTGGGAAATATGTCTGGCGTAGGCTTCCATATGGCCGGTGAGGTTGGTGAAGAACGTTGGCGATGAATCGTTTCAAGTGTCTTTGGGTTGGACAACTCTGAGTATGAGGCGAACAGAGCAGGAAGAAGAGTGAGACAGTATTCTATATTGTCCTCTTCTTGCCGCTTCAGACCCTCGTCTTCCTGTATCAATGTCGATACGTGCCATTCTTGCAACACGTTGGTCATCCACGCCAATACCTGACTTGACATGAGCTATGCCCGCCGACACAAACAAACCACTCACCGTGACAGCCAGACGATTGCACTCTAGCCACTTGATCCTCCTGGCGTCTCTTGCATCTGCACTAGCGTCCATCCCAGCCGCATACTCGTCATACCTACCAAGATGGGGCTTGACCCATCTGACCAATGCCGGAACCAGCAAGCTTCTGCTCTCGGAAGTATCAAAGACATTGTTGACCACTTGTAGTAAGAGTAGCAATTTGTATGTTGCTATACTGCCTTTGGCATATGCGAGCGTGTCGGCGAACGCGATGATCATCTCTGCAATCTCGAGCGGCTTAAACACTTGTCGCAGGTCGGGAAGGATATCGGCATAGTGTTGGACGACTAGAGTCTGGGTGCCGATGAGGGATTTGTTGGAGGACAGCATGAGATTATTGATCTCCGTGAGAATATACTTGGTCTGTTTCTGGTAGTCTGCCTCGATATGCGCCGAAGTAGCGTCGAGACCCATGCCCCGAGCTCGGTCTTGCTCTCTTGAGCGGATGATGAATTTGAAGAATAGGTGCCAGACTTTGAGGAAAGAGCGATAATCTTTGGCCTCGGGGTCCGACATCACCACTTTCATCGATCGAAGAAGGTGGAAAGATGAGGCCGGGAAGGTGAAGATTTTGTTGATGTACACGCGGAGGACGCTCTTGAAGTTTGGGAAGCGTCTATCAGAGGTAATTGATAGCACCTTGATCAAGCCTCTGAACACCAACCCATTGACCTCGTCTTGCCTCTCTCCCAGATTTGACACCAGGATCCCGAAAAGTGAGTTGAGAGTTCTCGGTACACAGTGAGAGATCTCTTCCTCGGGCACAAAGGCAAAGAGTTTGAGCCTCTCGCAGAGGAGGTTAAGGTCTTCATTCGCTAATGTTGACTTTGGTTGCCAAGCAAACAGCTCACGTAGTGTATCGTCTTGTGTCTGCGACGTCGAGCAAAGTCGTGTCTTGAGCAACACCCGGTCTTTCAGCGGAACCATAGTTTTCGCAGCCGAGGAAGGCAAGATCGGGTCGACCTCGCCAGGCTTAGCGATATATGGTGCGTCGAAGTAGACGTTCGGGGTTGGTTGGAAGCCTCTCTCCATCCTGTAAAGCACAAGCTCGTGCTTGCCATCTCGAACCACAGAGCTAGTGCCCGAGAGTGGTATGTAGGCAAAAGCATAGGGCTTCTCCCCTTCAAGCAAGTCTGCAGCCGAGCTGTTCTTCTCCTTCTGTCGATGCCGAAATGTGAGAAAGAGGTGGTAGTCGACGGGCCGCGATGGCAGGCAAACCTTAACCAGCTCATTGTAGGTCGGTCGGTCATTGCGGTGGAACACCATCGACTCCCATCTATCCACCCCTTTCTCCCCAGAGCCACCGGGAACGATCCCTTCTGGGATTACCGTCCCATCCAAAGTCCTGACTTCCATTTCAACTTGGATATCACCATTATTTCCAGCACCCGACAAGACAGGCTTTCGCACTCTTATCGAGCCTCCCACAGATCCATTGTTTGATGTTGACGGAGCAGGGGTGAAAATGGCGGACAGGAGGTTGATGTAGAGGTCGCTGCGTGTCTGGTCTGGGAACGCAACGTCGGGGAAAGAGAGACGGGATGTGAGGGGGATATTTTGGAGGAGTGAAGGTTGAGTGCGAATGAGATTTGGAGCAGAACCTTTGAGTGCAGTAAGGTTGAGCACTATGCCCTCAGCTCTGAGGATGTGTCAGTCAAATCCATCAGATGTCCAGCACACGCACCTTGGAGAAGTCCCGAACTGTTTCACTCTTTTGTTCACGATATCCTCATGCAGGCCCGCGAACGACGCCTCGTCTTTTGGAACATAGATTTGAACGCTCTTCTCTACACCAGCTTCACTCGCATCCGAGCTTTCGCTGATCAACTTGCTCAAAGTCGGAAGCAGCATCACCGCCACGCCCAATGGTCTTCTAAACTTGGGCTTGGAATCGAGAGAAGAATGGCCGTTCGTGGAAGCGCCGTTGGTGGTGTCGATAGTCGGTGGGCGATTGAGTTCTGGGCCGTACCCAGAGGTGACAGAGAAGGAGTCGTCCGTGAGATTCATTGACGACGGCGACTGGAAGTGACTACGCAGCGTACCGCCAGCCTCTGATATTCCATACAGACTGGTTCGTTTGGGCGTCGTAGGAGGCTGTATATGTGCCCCATCTGCCTTGTCCGACTTCATCTTCAACGCCCCGTTTCTGACGATCTTGCACACCAGATACGTGTCTGATCCAAGATCCTCCACTTTCAGGTCGGTAAACATGGTACGCAGACGGCCCAGTCGTTGCTCGGCATCGCGTGCAGGACTGCCGAGGTGGTTGAGAACGAGGACAAACTCTTCCGTGATGAATCTGTTGTCAGACTTGTTCCAGAGAGAAAAGTAGAGCTCGGCGGTTTCGCCTGGGGCGCAGGGGTTGGCAATGAAGGCGCGAACGTCGAGGACGAGGTGGTGGAACGTGCCGGCAGGTTCGTCTGTTTTGGCTGGTGTCTTGGCAGCTGCCAGGGAAAAGGGTTTCGATAGGGGTGATTGGGACGAGTCGGCACCCGGGAAAGAGAAGACTTTGCCGAATACCTTGTCGAGGGGTGTCAAGTCGATGTACGCCAACCTCACTTGGTAGACATAACAGCTGATCCCACCGACCCATCTCGTCCCGCTGAACGCTCTTTCTCTATCCACCACAACCACACTTCCGTCTTCCAGGCTCCGTACAATGACGTCCAGCCCTTGCGCAACGTTGCACTTGACGAGTCGAGAGACGCATTCTCGACGAACTCGTATCAGTTCGTCTCCGCTGAGCATCTGGGACAGGAGCTGGCGGCGACCAAGGAAGAGGGCGTCAATGTGCTGGGTGACTGTACTGAATAGTCGGTATTCGCGATTCGCGAGGTAGGTGGGAAGGCGCTGTGAGAGTTTAGTAGGTTACTAACACACAAGGTAAGTACTCACGCTATACCACTCTCGAATAGCACATGCAATCTCATCTACCAGGGGCCATTGCTGCCCAGAGACGGTCGAGTCACCAGCTGTCAGCTTCGGAAGTGGGGGCTGAGGCTTATTCTCCTCTATCTCATCCTTCTTTTGCTCTAGTACCAAAGACATTGGACGATTAGGCCTAGAGAAGCTGCCTCGCGAAGACGAACGCCGTCTATGCAGAGCGTCCGTAGGTCTCCCCTCAGAGCTCACTTCGATAACTGCACGATGTCCAACAGACGAGGTGTGCGCATGCGAGGCACGCGAAGAGATCTCTTCCTCCTCTTTTTCCTCCTTGACGGTACCCATCTCTCCGACCCACTGCATACCCAGACTGACACCTTCACTAGCTGCCCTGTACCGTTCCTCTGCTGCTTTCACAGCTTGCCCGTAGGCTTCCGAGAGCTCGCCATTGTCGTTGGCATTGCCTGGGCGGACATGGCAGACAGCAGCTGGAAATATGCCTGTAAGGACTGAAGGTTCTGGCCGCGGGAAGGATGCTGGTTGCGTAGATGATGTCAAGGAGGAAGGGGTCGGCGCAAGGGATGTGACAGAGACGGCTTGAACGACGAATCTACCAAAAGTCAGCACAATGGTCGGTACAAGATCCAGGGATCCTTACCCTCTATACCACAGATCCCCTCTCCCATCCTCAACCGTCGTGCAGCGGTATTCTTCGAAAGCATAGAACTCGTCTCCTATATCCAGCTTGATCTCGTACGCATTCCTCTTTCCCTGGAAGGAGGAGTCGCCTATTGAAGGTCTTCCTCCAGCCCAGGGCAACACATCGAGGTCCTTTTGGGGTGGTATAGGAGGCAGGCTGAGCGAACCGCCGTCTACAGTTGTAGGAGTGGGAGGAGGGGATGTTTCCGGATGGAAGGGGTATATCACAAAGCCACTGTGAATGTAGGGCAGCGGCTGCCACGAGCCATGACTGGGTCTCTGTGAGCAGGAGAGGGAAAGCGGGACAAGACGGGACCCACTGTGAGCCTGCTGCCTGGTGGGCGAACTGGGCCATTTGGCTGGCCAGGACGCTTGTATCGCGTGGGTATCTCGCAGAAGAAATAGGAAAAGAATGGGAAGTGAACGGTAAAAACAAACTGAATTTGCGGTTGCCATGGCGATCAGAGCGCACCCGAGCTTAGCCCGTACGTGCCTGGCGGGCGATAACTGAGATAAGGGACGGGCGAGGCGACGTATTGGTGCATCTCGCCGGGTACAATGCATGTACGCGCTGTTCTCAGATACTTCCAAGGGGGGACCCTTGCCAGCCGTGACTTTTCGATCGCATGCATGCAGTCACCCACGATATCTCTTCGAATCCCCCGATCACTCATTGGTGGACATCGCCGCTGCCTCCGTCACAACAACAAAATTCGGCCACAAGTCAAGAAATCGTCGCGATACTCGGGACAAGATATAAGAACAACAATGGGCGCATCGAGACAGCTGATCAGGTGGGTGGTAGAGCTAGTGTAGACCTGAAGCTGACACATAACAGGATATGTCCCCTGAAGGTCACCTTCACCCATACCCGTTTCCACCTCGCACTCCGGACAATCGACCACCCGGTCGTGTACCACCGCCTGCTTCTCTTCAGAATCAACAAGCCTGATCCTTCGCTGGCCGACTGTGGACCTTCGTCCCTGGAGGTGTCGAAAGAAAAGCCCATATGGCAAGCACCCGAGCTATTTTGCATGGAAGAGATGTGTCCTCACTTGGGCGCTCCTCTAAGCCATGCTGAAATTGAGGATATGGAAGATACTAGGGCAATTGGTATGTATGGTGACTATCAATTAGGCAGAGCTAACGCAGGGTCATTTAGTCTGTCCATGGCATCAATATGATTTTGGTATGCATTTTTCTCTGAATATACATCTTCGTCATGCTTATGCCCTTCCACAGATCTCAAAGATGGTTCTAGCTGTAAGCTGGTATTCGACTCTTCACACATGCTTGAGGCTGACGCGACTCTAGCAACTGGACTCCAGGCATGTACCTACCACGTCGAGGTTCAAGGGCATGAAGACGATGCGGACGTCTGGATCGAAGCCCCTCATGCTGAAGGCTCCGATGTCAACGAAGAACGGCAATGGGAACTCGTCGAGATGAGAGGTGTCAGTGAAGGTATGTACATCACTAGCTGCTGAATGTCACTGAATTCTAGTAGAATTCCTCGACCCGCCATTATCGCCTCTCGCAGGCCTCTCCCTCGATTCCTGCCCACCCCCTTCCCTCCCACCCCACCTCGCCTCCGTCCAGAAACACGAGCTTCCCGACCCTCTCCCCACCTCTCTCCTTGCTTTCGCCCACCTGATCCTGCGGACATCTGATCCACAGTTCAAGTGTTTACTGACGAGAGAGGCGGTCACCAGGCTGAGAGCGGGGCAATTGAAGAGCATTAGACCGAGCAAGGCAGAGATCAGGAAGCAGAGGGAGAACGGGGGTTTGTTGGATGAACCTCCGAGAGAGGTGGAGAGTGTTGCTCCTGGGAAGGCGCCCAAGCGGTAAGTTCAAGTCACACGCAAGCACATGTTGGTTATTGCTCATCTGCCCATAGTGGCAAGGGCGGCTCTGAAAAGTCACGTATTCTCATGCTCCGTGAGTATCCATCCTAGGCGTTGTGACGCCGCTCACTCTTCGACAGATGCCCTCGCAAACATCGAGCAATACGCCATCGACTTGGCTTGGGACATTATCGTCCGTTTCGCCGACTTTGAAATCAACGGTGAACGCCTCCCTGTAGAGTTCTTTTTGGACTGGGCCAAGGTCGCGGAAGACGAGGCCAAGCACTATACCCTTCTCGCTCGGCGTCTAGTCGTAAGTCCCTTCCTTGTCTGCCGCCCACTTACTGACGTGATCCAGGAAATGGGCTCGTACTTTGGCGCCCACACAGTTCATGCCGGTCTATGGGAATCCGCCACCCAAACAGCCGACTCTCTCTCTGCCCGTATCGCCATCATCCACCTCGTCGCCGAAGCCCGCGGTATCGACATGAACCCCCTCACCCTCGCCAAGCTCCAGGCTGCGGGCGATACCGAAAGTACCAGGGTGCTGGAGGTGATCCATGCGGATGAGATTACTCATGTGACGACTGGTCATCGGTGGTTCAGCTGGCTGTGTGATAAGAGGGGCGTTGATCCGGTGGAGACTTTCCGACAGGAGGTGTCTGATAACTTTAGGGGAAAGATCAAGGGGCCTTTCAACGCAGAGGACCGTCTCAAGGCTGTACGTAACTCTTTGACTCGAGTAATCTTGATTTCAGGACTGACTATCTTTGCTAGGGGCTGACTCCAGAGTTTTACGAGGACTTGTCAGGACACCTCGGATGGAAGGATGAGCTTGTGAAGCGCGCAGAGGCTGCTGCTGCTGCTGAAGGCGATGAGCACTTGCATCCTAGACTGACGTAGAATGAACCTCATGCTTTCATCACTTGTATGCATATATAGATACAGCACCACGGATCAAGGGAGACCAGAAGGACTAAGACTGCTTCGATCATTGTCCAGAGGATAAAGAGAGACGAGAATTGTCCATGAGACAGGAAAGATCATCGAAGTTAAAGCGCGTTCAACGCCTGAAAATAAGGAAGAAACAAAATCGAAGAGACAGACAAGATATGTACACAGGGAAAATCTAACGTAGCTACGTACGCTGCGGCACTGATCAACATGGATTTCGCTTGGATTTCGCCCATCGAGACGGTTGAGACACCTATAGCCAAGCGAATGGACCTCCTCAAGATAGGTATACGCCGACTTCCATCAACTGTGGCGGCAGTTCTCCTTCAATCATAATTGACGCCTGCGATACCGCCCTTCCTATTCGACTTTGTCCCCGACTCTGACTTTGGCTGGGCTCTCTTCTTTGATCGACAGCCTTGCCCGCTATAGCTCTGACAGGCCTAGGTGCGTGTATATATAGGTCTTGTGATTTTGCAAGGATTGGGGGTTCGCGAAGAGACGACGTTGACTGAGATCTCTGTTGGACGATGGTGGAGGGCATCTCTGGCGGTATATCGTCTTGTGTCTCTGGAGCAAAAAAAGTTTTGTGTGGTGTGGCGGGTGTGAGGAGAGGTGTCTCGCTACATTCTGAAGGTGTAGAGGTGGAAGCGGAGAGATCTGGGGTGGAGGGCGAGCTGGTGAGGGAAGTATCGATCGACATCTTGCGCACTGATGCTGGCGTTGAAGGAGGCGGAATAAGCTCAGCTGGGATGGCTGGCAGGTCCACTCCTTCCTCAGACACAGCATCTCTATTGACCTCGTCAAGTTCTCTCCCCAGCTCAAAGAACTCTCCCCGGAAGATCTTCACGTCATCAAAACTCCATGTCCTCAATCTCATCAATCTCCACCCTTCTTCCGTCTCTTCTTGTAACATCCCCAAAACCTCTTCCTGGGTCTTCATTGCGTGTTGCATGATATCTGCGTTCAAGCGTGCTTGTCCGCGAAACATGTCTTTGTGGATGCTGACCTCTCGGGATAGGTCTTCTGCCAGGTTCTCGGTCGCGAGCTGGGCGAGTTCGGCGGAGCGGAGGTCTGTTTCAGTGTTGTAGAGTTGGCATTGAAGGGAGCGGACTTGGGAACGGAGATCTTCAATCTCGGCGCGGTACTCTGTCTGAAGATTCTCGCACACAGCTTCAGCTGAAGTCTGGTCAGTATGATCCTTGGGTTGAGTGAGTAAGACTTACAAAGCATAACGCGCTCAGTGAGCTCTTCGATCATCACATCCTTGCTGACAGTTTCCTCGTTCTGTATCTCCATGTACTCCTCAACAAGGTTGGACTCCTTCCCAGAAAGTGATTTCCTTTCTCCTACACCCACTTCCTCGCAAGCAGCTGTAGTTTCGATGGCGACAGTACCAATTTGGTGCTTCACATCCTCATGACTGTTGACACAGGCTTTCGCTGCCACGGAAGGAATGTCGAGTGTAGCAGTCGAGATTGTTACCCTTTCTATGGGCGCAGATACATCGAGATTGATGTCATGATGACCGGAAGAGATATCGCAGTCTCCCTCAACGGGGATGGCAGGCTCGTCGCAGTCGTCGGCAGGGCTGGACTGGTTCAGGCTGTCGTTGATTGAAAGAGTGTCGATGGGCTCGTGATCGCTAGTGCAGTCGATTATGATAGAGCTGTGGACAAAAGAGATGTGGACAGAAGAAGGAGACGTGATTGGGGTGACGCCCTCGATGGCGTTTGAATTGGTGTGACTCTTATCGACGGTAGCGAGGTCAGGCATGGTGGTTGGATTATGTATGCTGTTGTCGGTAGGAGGGGTGGTGGAAGAAAGATCGAGGTTGATATATTGGGTAGGTGCAGAAGCAACATCCGTTTCCTGAGCATACAAGGCAAGTTCTTGGACGGGAGCTTCTCTCTCGGCTGCCCCTTCACCGTCGCACATATCGATACACACACTCCCGCGAGGCAGCATCCTCTTCCCACCGTTCCTGGCCTGGGTACCATGAGAAGCATACTCGTGCTCATACTCGCCGCCTTTGCCGGGTGAGCTAGAAGGCAGAGAAGGATAGGAAGATCCAGGCGAGAAGATGGCTCTAGAGGTGGTAGGCTTCTGGACGGTGTGGGCGGTGATTACCGTCGTCTCACTGAGCGCAGGAGCTGGGGTGGCAGTCATGGCAGTCGTTTGTGTTCGAGGAGCAGTAGTCTCCAAAGAAGTACGGGGAGGGAAGCGGAGGATAGCGGAGAGCCATTGCAAGAAGCCGAGGATGGTGAGAAAGAGGGGGTGCATGGTAGCAGATGGCGGAGGTGTGGCTGTGCGAGAACGTCAGCGCTTGTTGAGCGTCGAGGGTGTTCGGTCGAGAGTGCCTACGTGAGTGGGGATGTTTGGAACGTTGAGATTCTGATAGAGGCTGTCAGATATATAGGCTGATGATAAAGAATGGGTACTTGCCGATAATTATGAGGATGAGGGCAAGCGGGATCGCGGTGAGGATAGCGGCAAGTTGTGCTGACTGTAAGAGTATGCTGTTATTCAGTAGGTAGAGCTTTTGACGTGAAGTACGGGGATGTGAGAATGGTTATCTTAAAGATAGAGGAAGAAGAAGAAAGAGTCCAAGAATGATACAGGCTATACGTACACTGCAAACATCTGGGTGTGATGTCCAGGCGGGTTCCTTTGGGCAAGTTTTCGGTGCGAATGTCGTCGGTCAGTGCATAGATCGTGTACGGAGCCATGGTGGATAAATTGGGTGGAACGAGGGCACTCTGGTATGGCTGATAGCAGACGCCAAAGATCTGGGAGGCCGGGAGGATGACTGAATTGACAGCCAGAGTACTGGCAGAGCGCCGACAATGTGCACAGGGCAATGAGCAAGTCTAGAGGGAGGGTGCTCAAAGCCGCAGTCCTTCACGTATGATGCTCCATCTTCCAACCAATATATCAAGCCTGCTCAAGATAGCTCCTGCCCTCGGCGGTGGGTCCTAGGTCATCGCTTTTGCCATTGCATTGGCTTCCATTCACGTACTGATTTGCTCTTCTATAATAGTTCTCAGCACCCCGAGCGATCCATGTTCCAACCTCCCCCCAGTATCGCCTAGTTTCTCGCTCTACTCACATTTATAGGATCTACCAGACTAACCAATGTGTCAATCCAGAGCATACAAGCTGATTTCGAGCTCATTGATAGAGAAGCAAGGTGATGTGCTTACGTCAGCAGTCTCCCGGCGGCGGCGTAAACAAACGAGCGATTGCCGGAAGCAGACGTCGTTCCACATCCACAAGATCAATTAAGCTCTGCCTCCCATTCTTCTTATTCTCAATTCACCGCCCTCCTCGCTATCCTCCCTCTGCCACGAATCACATCCCAGATACCTTGCAGGCCGCCTGTGCATACCCCGATTTCAAGCGGCGAAAACGGTCGCCCAACGCTTGGCGACGCCCACTCACCAGTCACCACACGCCTCGCCAACGACCCTCCGACTGTCGGGTCGCAAGCCATGAAGCCCCCATCAACGCCTCCTACCCATTCCTCACCACCGTCGTACTCGCCCCCGTTGGTATATCCGCAACCGACAAAGCAGCCAAGCAAAGGGAGCGCCGCCGTCACAGGTACGGCACTCGATGCGGGCGGGAGTCGGGGGGGCAGTGTCCTCGGGGATGTCAGTGGAAGCGCCACACCGACGCACCCAGGGTCACATGTAGTCTACATGGAAGACACTGAGAGTGCCTCCGAGGACGACACCGAGCCTGTCCACCCGGCCCACGCCATCCCTTTCCACATGCGGTCTACATCTGTCCCTCTGTCCCGCACTTCCTCCAACGCTTCCTCTCTGGCAGAAGAGGGCGAAGCCACTCCTTTGCTTTTGTCCCAAGATGAAGATGGAGGGTACAAAGGAAAGTGGTACCAAGGCCCGCTGTTTGTAGCGGCAGTCAAGCTGGGAATATTGTTCGCGGTGTTTACGCTGGTGGTCGTGGGAACGTTCTACTTTGGGATGCCAAAGATGGATCCCGAAGATAAGGGGGCAGTGAAACTGCCCAGATCATTTGCGGACATACAGGCGCTGAAGTGAGTCTACATGGAACTATTCATGGGCAATATTGACAAATCACAGCGCGCTGTTCCAAAAGTACAAGCACAAGTATCCTGTGCAGATTTTGGCTTGTGGCGTTGTCTCCTACCTCTTGTAGGTCTCTTTCCACAGCTATGACATTTGCTGACCTTCATAGCGTACAAACATTCTCTCTACCCGGCTCCATGTATATTTCCATCCTCTTTGGCGCCGCTTACGGCATCATGTACGGCCTTCTACTGTCCTGCATTGTGCGTCATACCTTTGACAAAGGAGAGTATACTGCTGACGTTTTTTGCAGTGCGAATCAATCGGCTCTCTATTCTGCTATTCCCTCTCCGCCATTCTCGCCCCACCCCTCCTCACTCTGCCCTTCTATCGCGCTCGCGTCGAGACATGGCGCACAAAGATTATGGGCGACCCAAAGTCTGGCAAGAAGGTCACTTGGGATAGCATTTTCGCCATTCTCCTTGTCCTCCGTATCGCCCCATTCCCTCCACACTGGGTCGCCAATTTTGTCGCGCCCCACTTGGGTATCGGAATGTTCCTCTTCTGGTCGAGCTGCTTTATCGGCATCGCCCCAGTCTCGGTCATCCATGTGACAATAGGAAGTTCGTTGGATGACATGACTTCTGCGGCAGACTTTCATATTCTCTCGCTCCGAAATATCCTGGGTCTTTCAGCGGTCATCGTGGCGGTGCTCATCCCCGTCGGGCTGAAACGCATCTTCAAGAAAGACCTCGGCGATCTCGGGGAAGCCGAAGAGGCGTTGGCTGCCAACTCCAACAACGACCGCGAGATCACTGTGCCCCACATCGGTCTCGGTTCGACCTCTCCCAACAGAGGTGGTGGATACATGTACCATGCCATCGACTCTGGTGTCGTGCTCGCGGTGCCCAGCCGAGGTGACGGCGTGGATATGCGTAGAAAGATTGTGAGAAGAGGGAAGGGGAGGGCGTTGGAGATCATCCCGGATGACGAATCGGAGGGGTCTGGAGAAGGCGAGGGAGAGACACTCGAGATGGCAGCTTCACCCTTGGCTCTGAGTGACGCCCTTGCCGATGCTCAACAAGACCCCACGCTATACGAAGCGGACGAAGACGACGATCTCTATGGTCCTTCCCCCGTCGCCGGCCCATCATCACACCCCTCCAACGCTCCCACCCCATCTCCATTCGCCGCAAGCGAATATCAGTACAGAGTCTACGACCCCTCCAACCGCATCGAGAGCGTGCATTACAAACCTCGGCCTTTGTCGAGAAACTCGTCAAGCTACCGGAGTTCAAGACGGGCTGGAGCTGTAAAGCCTCATAGGCCTAATACGCTGCAGGGTTATGGATCAGTAGAGGCGCCGAGAGTGCCGATGGAGATCCGGGAAGAGGACAGGGCTACGCGAGCGGGATGGTGGCCTTGGGCGAGAACGGGGGTCGCCTGAGTTTGACATCATGTTTACGGTGTATTTGTAAGGCTTTCGTCTATTGTATCAATCTGCACTTTTCTTGTTTCCGGGCGTATACATTTTAGTGTCTCTAAATTCTACGTCTTTATGTCTATAGTACAGTATCGCTGGCATATGTATGCGTATATACAAATGTCGTGGGAGTAAGGGGTACAATCAACAGGTCTAGTTTATGGATATCCACAGCCAGTACTGTTTACGGGTCAGCATTACGCCCAACATGGCATGCGGGGTCACATACCTTCTCAGTGCCAGGATTGGCGGATACTACAATCTTCAATTGGAACATCCTGTCAAACACTGTGAATCCATTAGCGACGCCTCTCGGATCTTGATACAAAACTCACAGCTCATGACCCAGCTTTTTGCCGCCCCCTGACATAAGGCATGGGGCATGCTCAAACTCGGATTCGTCGGAAAGGTCTCCAATTGCCTCAGACATCTGAAAGCTACACTTGGCTGGGGTGGGCCATACCGCGAGACGGCGGCATGGGCTTGGCGCCATTTCTCGTCAAGCTGGAGTTGACACCGCTGGGGATCTGGACAATCTGGCCTCTGCCGGCAAAAGTCAGCAAAGTGCGCTGATATGCAGACAAGTTTATATACACAGGAGTATTCCTTTTTGACGTCAATGTTGCCAAGCTTGAGAAGACGTTCGAGGAACCAGCTCCGGCGATTCGATAGCTTGAGTTGGGTCTCTACCGAGAGGCTATTCATCTCGCCTTCATCCCAAGTCGCTATCCAAGAGTCAGTCTCGCAACAACTCAAAAGAAACAACACTCACGCTGATCCAGAACAAAACGACTGGCTTCCCGGAACAGCCCTGCATTCCCATACTGCTCTGCCAATGCCAGAGCCATCACAGGCCGACCGGAAGCATGGGTGAGAAGGAAACGGGAACATTGTTTCTGGAGGGTGGGCACGATCAATTTGGTGGACAGGGACAGAAGAGGAGCAACGTTTGTCCAGGTGACTTTGCATTCCAGACTATAGATGTTGTCAGAATAGCCCAGTTGCTGGAACGATGAGAGACCCACTGGGGATAGGCCCAGTAGAGAAAGTCTTGAAAAGCACTTGCTTTCTCCTCATGAAGTTCCACTTCTGCTATGGCGCACTCCGAATCGCTCGCGGGTCTGTCGGGCACAGCGCGGGGAGGATGCAGACTGCTAGAGAACGACGCTCGGAGGGCGACTGTGTCTCGGGCTCGTCGAGGGGTCCGGATCGGCGTATTTGCTGGTGAGACTGGTTTCGGGGACTCTTCTTGAGAGACAGACAAAAGGCCTTCACACGATGGGTCTACAGCCAGCTGATCGAAATTAGAATGCAGTCTCCAGGCTTGATCATCTGGGTCATGGTATACTGATGATCGATCCCTGGTCTCGGACTCTTGATCTATGGCTTGCTCGTGCCCTGTAGAGCCTCTCAAACTTGGAGTACCGTCGGTATCTGGAGGCGGATTCAGAGGGGGCGCGAGGGTCGGTGAAGGTGGACGAGGCTTGGACTCTGCCCAGCTACTTTAGGTAAGAAGGATCCCCATGGAGAGCGTCCGACTCACTTTCCGAGAAGCAAGCCCTCAAAAAATGGGCTCGCAAACCACAAGACTTCCTTGTGACACCAAAACTCACTCCTTCCTACGACCACCTTGACTCTTCCCGGCAGCTCTGCGCCTTTCTGGAACGTCGGATGCACCTCTATAGGGCCTTCGTCTTCGCTCTCACTTTCCTCATATTCGTCGTCTGTGGTGTCATTATAAGTCCCGCTCGGACGTTGACCGGTAAACGTATCATCGGAGACCCAGCGGCCGAGGGTGGTTGCAGGCGGGGAGGAGGCTGCGCCGGGGTGGCGAGATGTCAGAGTAGGATCCAGCTGGGGATGGGCAGGGGAGCGCGGGGGGTTGCGGGATATGAGAAGGTGGGAGGGGTTATTGAGGGACATTAGGCGTGAGATGATGAGGATTAGAAATGCGAAGCCGCGATTTGATTCTGGTGTAGTATTGTGGGATGGGCATGCTGCATGTCTTCTGTTTGGAGGCGCATCCGTGGGGCATACCAGCCACTCGCCACTAGCCACTGCCTACTTACCCTGCCTAGAGAGGCACTCGCACTCCTCGCTGACATGGCCGTCGGGCTGGTGCTCGCGCTCTTTCCCAGGCTGTTCCCAGGCTGACCGAGGGTTCGCTGTGGAGTCATCCAGTCATGCATGTCTATGCATCGGCCATCCCGCCGCCTGCCTTATCTTATGCACCCGCACACAGTCAGCAGTCCGCCGAGCCTTCGTGCCCGGGGCAGAGCATAGTATAAAAGCCACCATCTGGGAGTGCTGTGGTGCATCTTCCCATCGCAACTCATACACCTTCAACCAATCAAAGTTATACAGGTATACATACACAATGTCCAAAATCATCGTCGTGTTTGGGGCCACCGGCCAGCAAGGCTCTGCCCTTATCGATGTTCGTACACTTATCACTTTGCCTGCTCCCATGCTCATCTCATACAGGCCCTCGCAGAGTACAACACTCCCACTCCTCAATATACCATACTCGCGCTCTCCCGATCACCTCTTGCGCCTTCTTCTGTAGCTCTTGGCAGCCTGCCCGGCGTCAAAGTCGTACCCGTCGCCAGAAACTACATGGACGAGCCGGACAAGGTGTTCCTCGATAACGGTCTGGGTAAAGGTGGTGTCTGGGGAGTGTTCAATGTCCAAGGCTATGTTAGTGAGGATGTAGAATTGAAACAAGGTAAGCCAAGTATGCTTTGAATTGAGATGGAAAACTGACAACGTGAGCAGCAAAAGCGATCGCGGACGCGTCCAAGGCCATTGAGGTCAGGCATTTTGTATACACTGGCGTAAGCTTTGGTAGCCTAATCGACGACCCACCTCTGTACGTATTCCTGTCGAAACCTTGCCTATCCGCCTGACACATAACATAGCGCATTCGCAGTCAAACGCAAGGTCGAGCAGTATATCGAATCCATCAACCTTCCCCACACATTCCTCCGCCCTACCCAATTCATGGACAATCTTCTCCCGACCTCTCCCTTCCTGCTCAAAGTCTCCCGCACCATCCTTCTTCGAAGGACATTCTACAACCATCCCGAGCGCAAGCATCAGATGGTATCTTGCAGGGATATCGGGCAGATGGGAGCGCTGGCTTTTGCCAACCCGCACCATTACCTGGGCAAGGCAGTCGATCTGGCGGGGGACGAGTTCACGATGGAGGAGCTGGAGAAGAGGTATGAAGGAATCATGGGGGCTCCGATCCAGTTGACGTTTGGGGTCCTGGCCAGTTTTGTCAGGTGGATGGTCGCGCCCTTGGGATCTATGGCAAAGGTGAGCAGCCCCTAATAGTACGGAGGACCTGCTTGTGCTGACACAAACATAGTTCTTTGATGACTACGGGCACACCGTCAACATCCCCGAGCTCAGGAAGGACATGCCCGACTTGGAAGACCTCGACGCATTCTTGAAGCGCTACAAGGGAGCCATTGAAAGCAAGGAGTGAGGAGAGAGACTTGGAGTTGACGGTTGTTGCTATGCTGCTTGTTCCGATAGTGCACCCGTACTGTCGTCTTGACTGGATATATAATTTGTACTGCATGCAATCAGTCCGTACTTGATTCTTTGATGGCTCTCCTCTTCAGCTGTATGCGCTTTGGCAGAGCGGAAGGACCGGCTTCCGACTTGTCCTCCATCCCTACGGCCTCTTTCGTCTCTGCTTCTGGAGCTTCCGGCTCCATCTTGCCCGAGCCCGTCATCAACTTTCGTCCCCTCTCCCATCTTTCCTTCCTGTTTTCTTGCACCCGCCCCTGGAAGATGATCACCAACACCCCATCGGCGATTCCCACAACCACCCCTGCCAGAACACCCAGAAGCACTCCCTTCTCTCGCGAGTATCCCGCCCCCGAGGTGGCAGCCACATAAACGGCTACGGCAGCGCCACAGATGGAGAAGAGGATGTTGATGACGGTGGAAAGGGTGCGTGTAAGAGTCCGGTACTCTGTACCAAAAGAGGGAGGGGCGGGAGACAAGTATGATGGGAGGTAGGGGTTCGGCTGATATGGGATGAGTAACATGCAACGGAAAGCAGGATAAGCATACCTTATCAGGATCTTCAGCGGCTCGCAGCCTTTCGAGCTGTTTTGGAGTGAGATAGACCTCTGTGCCGCTGACGAGCGCAATGTGGGTATATGACAGAGGATCTGTAGACTGTCAGATATGACTCACTTGCACAGCCCAAACCTACCTAATTCATTTTGTAAGAGCTTTGAGCGCCCCTCATCACTTGTAGCCCAGGTGGAAAGCCTTTCAAGAAGATCAAGGTCTATTGTAAGTGGCGGGGGAGGTGGAGAAGGAGAAGTATCTTCGGATTGATCACCATCTTCATCAACAATCTTTTCTTCAACCACTGGCACGTCTTTGACCGCCAGTACCTCCGTCGTCACCGTTTGCGATGCCGCTTCGACCAAAGGTTTGCGAAGATCCTCCGGCAGATCTTTGACTTTGAGCAGATTGTTGATAGTCTCCAGTAGCTGTGGAGGAAAAATGAGAATGATCGGCATGGCCAGGACAGCGTATAATAGTAAAGAACAAAAGAATAGCGACTTTCGCCAGATTCCACGCCAGCGGTCAGAGAAAGTGGAGGGCAGCTTACGTAAACACCTGAAAGACACAAACAACACGGCCGCGCGCGTGCTTTTCGTTTGACAACATTGACTTCCTCTTTCTTTTCCCATCCCTCAAGATTACTATATATCCTACGGCAGTGTAGAAAGCTTATCATGGCTTTCATCGGGTCTGGCGAGTTTGAGGACAAGATCACTCATCTGCAGAAGCAGCTCAGCCTCAAAGGTCAGTTTCAACGTTTCGCACAAACAAACATCCAAAGGTCTGACGTATATCCATTAGACCATGAACTCAACTCGATCAAGAATGAGCAACTGAAGAGACAGGAGGAACTAGCCGAGGCCAAGAAGGCCATGGAGACTGCAGAGTCCCAGCTGCACGAGGAAGCGGACCGGGCACTGAAGGCTAAGAACCAGCTGGTGTGCAACGAGATGGTGCGCTTGACCGGCTGGGCATAGTGAGCACTACGACTGACAAATCTTGCAGGAAATATCGCAGCTGAAATTAAATCTGTCAAATCTGGAAACCAGTCTCGGGACGACCTCTGAGAAGTTGAAGGAGGAGAAGGAGAAGGATAGAGTACAAGATGCCTTGGATGACGCCTTATCAAGAGGGTTGGACCGCGCGGCGGACCAGATCAGTAGTCAACAATTGCTAATCAAGCAGCTGGAGGACAATGTTAGGAATTCTGAGCAGGAAGCTGAGAGACTTCGAGCTCAGGGGTCGTCGGGGGGCTCTAACGGATCAGACGAGGTGAGCGTTCTTCCCTTATGTTGAGATGGTGTTTACTGATCCGATGTCATAGCCATTGAACTACCGAGAACGAATTCGACTCATGTCCTTGCAGAATGAGAATGCCGAGCTCAAAGTGCGTCTCCCCTTGATTGAAAGAAGCGCCGCTCACGTTCCGTCCAGACCCAGCTTGAGAACATGTCATCGGCCATCCCTTCGACGTCGCAATCCTCAATACCATCTTCCCCTGTCAAGAAAAAGTCTCGTCGCTCTCTCTCCTTGCCCGTATCCGACATCCGTGCCCTGGAGGGCCAGGTTGGCTCTCTCAAAACACAACTAGCCAATACCAAGCGCGGATATGACCAAGCAGTCAATGAGAAGCTCGCGTTAGAGCACGCTACCAAGAAGAATGTCGCAAGACTCAAGGAGGATCTGGAGGAAGCTCGAAGAGAAGTCGCATACTACCGTGCTTCTAATGGGGGCGTCGATGTCAAACAGGTGGAGGAGCTCAAGACGGCTGCCCAACGAGTTCGTGAGGAGAAGGAGGACCTGGCAAGGAAGCTATCGGAGAAGGAGGGGGAGGTCAAGAGACAGCTTGGAGAAACCGCGCGACCAGAGGGCGAAGCGCATCTGCTCGAGTCTCTCAGGGCTGAGCTGGACGACGAGCGACAGGCTAGACAAAAGCTTGAAGCAGCCAATGCCGATCAACCCGCGTCCGAAACCAACTCCTCTCTTGAAAAGGTCAGCGCTCTTGAGGCAGAGCTGGCCAAGGTCAAAGCTGCCACCAACACAACTTCTCGTTCTGGCGATCCCGAACTCCGCCAGGTCCGACGTGATCTTCAAAAGGCACTTCGTGACAGAGACTATCTGGATTCACTTGTCAAGGAGAATGACGAGCTGCTGGCGGAGAAGGACGAGGAGATCTCGAGGATGCGGGCTGCTATCCCCATTCCGGGGTCTCCAGTTCTCGGGGCACAGGGTGATTCGAGCAGAGTAGCAGAATTGGAGGAAGAGAAGGCTGGCTTGTTGATTGATCTGGAAAAGCAGGTCGAATATCACGCACAGGAGATCGCAGCCATCGAAACAAAGTTGTCTGTCACGATGAGCGAACTTGACCATGTCAAGGCCGCAGAGACCGAGGCAAGGCAAAAGTTTGAAGAGGGGCAGACCAAGATAACTGTACGTCATGTAACCTTTCTTCATTAGAGATGCTGACACGCCCGCAGGAGCTCCAGGATGGCCGCCAGGAGGTGTCAATAGCTCTTGAGCAAGCTCGAGCTCACCTTGCCTCCAGGGAGACCGTGGCAAAGCAGCTCACTCAACAGCTGACCGAGACTCATTCCGCTTTGGGCGAGAAACAAGCGGCTCTCGCATCCGCCGAACAAGAGGCCCAAGACATTCTCGATCGCCTCTCGAAAGCCCGGACCGCACTTGCTGAAAAGCAGAACGATTTCGATCAAGCTCAACGGCAGCGTGATGATCTTCAGACTGTCCTGGACTCACGGTCTTATGACGACGCCGAATATGAAGCTCTGAGAGTCAGCTTCCAACAAGCACAAGATGCCCTCGAAGAGGTCACTCATGGTCTAGAGAAGGCGGAATCTGAAAACAGGGAGCTCAATGATCGAGTAGCCGAATCTCAAGACGAGATCGCATCTATACAGAACCAGCTTCAAGAGACTGTCGCTCATTTGGAAAGCTCAAAAGCTGATTCCCACCAGACTGTCTCTGAGCTCGAGCAAGCCAGCAGAAAGAACCACGAGCTCGAAATCCGCATCTGGGAGCTTGATGCTAAGCTGCGAGAAACCTCCCAGGCGGCGACTCTGTCTACTGCCAAGGTCGACGAGAGCAACATCAGACATGAGGCGTCTCCCGCGGCTGCTGAAGCTGGGGCTACTGAACTCAATCAACGAGTCAAAGAACTTCAGTCTTCACTCCAATCTGCTTCAAAAACCTCGCCCCAGAATTCTGTTAACCTTGCCGACACAAAGGAGATCGTGGAGAAACTCGGCCGCCTCCGTGCTGAGCGCGACGATCTTCGCCACAATCTCTCATTTGTTCAGAACGAGTGCCACTTTGCTGTGCGAGCTGCAAACTCTGAGAGAGATGAAGTTGTAAAGGAAGTCCAACGACACAAGGAGAATCTCCGAAAAAGCAAGGCGACGTGTAAAAAGTTGGAAGAGGAGATTGGCAGGCTTCGTATCGCGGAACAAGACAAGCAGACTGAGCTCGATGGAGCTTCATCGACCTTCGCGAATGACAAGAAACAGCTTGACGAACATATTGTCAACTTGGAGAACAGTCTCGCTGCTGCACAAGCAGACGCCGCAGCGCTCAACTCCAGGGTTGCCGAGCTCAAGTCAAACCTTCAGACGCGCGAAGACGTCCTCAAACTCACCGAGGCCAAAGCCGAGTCCTTGCAAACGGAGCTCACCAACGTTCTGCACCATGTTGCGCAAAGCAGGAAGCTCAGCGATCGTCCGGAATCCCGTGCTTCTTCGACAGTCGCAAGCGAAGATGGAGACTTGCCTGACGATCTGGCGAGCGCTGTCCCGGCTGAGAGTAGAAGATTATCCCATCAACGTTCTAGATCTGGGGTTCTGCCGAATGTACTTATGGAGAGGACCCTGCAGGACAAGATTGAGCGAAGAGATGGTAAGTCGATCTCATATCGGGAAATCACCAGCTGACGAAGATGTTAGTGAGGATTACCGTGCTCACCAATGATCTCAAAAAGGCTAAATCCAACCTCGCCCTTCTTGAGTCAGCCCAGGAAGAGACCATCGCAGAGAACGCAGAGCTCGAAGAGGAGTGTGGTACACTTCAGAAACAGCTGGATACCGAAGCGCAAAGCTCAGCTGAAGACGCCCGAGGTCTTGTCTTGGCGCTTGCCACCTACCGACAGCAGCTTCATGGTGCTGAACTTCGTTGGTCTGTCGCCCAAGACGTCCTGGCTAAAGCACAGGAAGCAGCCCAGGTTCTGCGATCTACCGCCGCCGCGGACCGAAAGGCCTCATTTGAACAAGAGGCGCGAATCACGGCGCTGGAAGCTACCCATGCAATCACAAGCACTGCTTTGGCGACTGCCAGGTCAGAACACGAGTCTGCTCGAGCAGAGCTTGAAAGTTTCAGAGAGGCGAACGAACATCTCCAAACCCGCATCGCGGAAAGTGAGCAAGCTGGTGTCGTTGCTACCGACAGTGCCGATAGACTGGCCATTTTGGGGTCTCGTCTTTCTGAGAAGGAAGAACGTCTGCGCGACCTCTCCACCCGAAACGACGGCCTCACTGCTAAGCTTGAACTCATGCTCAAGACCGAAAAGGAGGCTGTCTCGCAGGTTGCTGAGAAGGAAGAGGAGATCAGCGCTCTTACTGGGAGAATTGAGGAACTGAGTCTGGGCGTTGCCGACGCCCAATCAGCGGCAGCCTCCATTGGGTCAGAGAAAGATCGTTTGCTTGAAGAGCTGGCTGAGGCTGAGATGGCTTCCAGCGAAAGCTTGGCGAATATCGAAACCCAGAAGTCTATTGCTCAAGATAGAGCCAGCAAAGCCGAGGAAGAGCTTGCCAAGGTCAATCAACAACTTGACCAGAGAAACAAAGAACTCGCACTGGCTATCGCCACCTCCGAGACACTTTCTGCCGAACTTCAGGCGGAAAAGTCTCGTTCCGCTGAAAACACCGTCAACATTGATCAACAGCAAAGCACAGTCGACCAGCTCCGAGCCGAGATCTCTTCCGCTCTAGAGGCCTCCAAGACTGTCGAAGCGGAGCGAGACGCTCTTCGCACCCAAATGTGCGAGCTTCAAGCTCAAGTGTCAGAAGATGAAGGGACTGCACAAGCTGCCGCCCGTGCTGAAGAACGGCTCGCAGTGGAGACCGAGAGTGCCCGGAGGAACATCAAGGAGCTGACTGAGCTTCTCGAGAAGGCTGTGGCAGAAAAGGAGGAGTTGTCCCAGCAATCAAAAAGTGTGGATCAGATTAGGGAGGCAGCCCAAAAAGAGTTGGCCGAGAGTCGCAGCGAGATTACCAGATTGTAGGTGCCATTGAATTGTGTCAGGGAGCCAGCTGATACTCTGCTTCAGGTCAGCCGAGCGTCAAGTCAGCGAAGACAAACTCAGCAATGTCAGGATCCGCTCGGACGAAGCGTTGCAAAGAGCAGAGGCATTGGAAGCTAGTTTAGCATCTCTGAAAGATGAGAATGAGAAGCTCAAGGGCGATCTCGCTCAGGCGATGACTGTATCTTCAACCCCAGTTGTTGATGAACAGCTTGTCATCGACTTGAGAGAGCGAGTAGACGGTGAATATCCCATGCCTGCCTTGTGATCTGATGCTGACCTTCAACAGATTTGGAGGTTGCTCTTACTCAAAAGAACAAGGAGGTCGACGAAGCCGACGATCAGACTCGAGAAGCTTTCAAGGCCAAGGCCAAACTTGAGAGGAAAATTGGCAAACTCACTCGACAGCTTGAGCAGGCCCAGACGGATGTCAACACGGCCATGAACAAGCTCTTGAGTAGCAGACCAATCGCTCCCTCTCCTGCCAAGCGAGCATCTGCCCCTGTCCCGGTACCTTCACGTACATCCATGCCCCCCGCGCCTACTACAGCTCAAGCAGCACCTGCCCCAGTCTCTCGAACACCCCGAGCGATCCTTCCTAATATCTTTTCGCCCCCCGCTGCACCTGGCTCTGGTCACAAGCGCTCTCGAGAAAACGACGATGCGGAGGCGATTAGGCCCGTAGAGGCCATCATGCTTCCGGCCTCTTCAAACATCATCTCCCCTCGCAAAGCCCTGGGCTCTAAATCGAGTTTTACACCTCAGCGAGGCGGGGCTTTTGCCCCACTAAGTGCTAGATTGGGGGTGAACGGGAACGTGACGGCTGAGAAACCGGTGATTGGGGAGATGAAGAAGTCAGTGGACATGGGGAGAAACATCTTTGCAAAGCCTTCGCCCGTGACGACCGAGCCTGCCAAGCGGTCAGCCTTCCCTCTGCCCCCTTCTCGAACACCGTTTAATACGACGCGTCGCAACGCCTCATGATATGTCTTCCCTGTAGCTGTAATCAATAGATACCCACGGACAAAGCTCGTTATTTGTACTTGTAAATAGAACCAGACGATAATAATGCAAGATTTTACACTCTACAACATCTATTCCGTTGTTCTAACGCTTTTTGCTTCCACTCGACTGCACTGACTGCTTGTTTCCGACACTCAGAACCATATGCGCCTCGCCAGTCGCCTGCTGCCTTCGGTTGAAGGCATTGGTCATCCCCAATGGAGTGTCTGACGAGTTCATAGAGAGTTGCTTGCGCTCCTCTTCGATCTTCTTGAGTCGTTTCTCAGTCTTCATACGACCAGACGTCTTGCCGTGGAATTTGTGAGAGAGACTCTTCCAAGCCTCTTTCGGTGTCATCTCTGCATTGTCTGTTAATGACGAAAATGTGGCAAATGAATCAACTCACGTCTTCCAAACTCATCGTGGTAGTTGATTTGGACATCTGGCTTGTAGTTCCTGTAGATCTCAAGAGCGTCCTTTGCCTCCTGCTGCTCCCTCATCCTGTTCTCCCATTCTCTCTGCGCTTGATCCTTGTCACCTCCTCTCGACCTGATCTTTTCCAGCTCTCGCTGAGCCATTCTTCGCCTGTAATCGGCGAGCCAGAGGTCCTTTTGCTTCTGAACCTTTTCGCGCTCTTCATCCTCAGCCGTTCGTGACTTCAAAGCGCCCTGGTGCTTGAGCAATGCGAGGACGCCGGCCATACCTTGGCCCACAGTCGGCTCGGGCTCATTCTCCTTGTCCTTTTCGGCCTGAGCTGCTTGGAGAGCGGCCATTTCCACCATCTGGTTATCGATTTTCTGGCGATATTCTTCCAGCGACAAACCTTCTCGCGCAGCCATCTCGGCGAGCTCTTGGTCTTCTTCGGTCATCTCCTCATCCTCATCCAGCTCCCCCTCTTCTGGTCGCTCGATCTTGACGGTGACTCGCTCCTGAGTTGCGGCAGCAGTATCGGAGGGGCCTGCAGGCGCAGGAGTTGAAGAAGGCGCGGGAGAAAGGCGTTCACGCTTGACGGGGAGAGCACGAGAGTCGAGTGAGACGTTGCGAACAAATTCAGAAGTATCATCCAAGGTAATGAGGCCGGATTCAGCTTCTGCGTCTTGCTCGATTTTTGGCTTCCTGTCTTCCTCTTCTCTCTGTTGCGCAACTATCATTCGATTAGCTTTGTCTTTGGGAGGAATAGGGATTGACGTACTTTGTGCAGCAATATCCTCCGGCTTGGCTCTCGGTTTCTTCTTTGCATTCGCACGTCTTGTCCTCGCCAAGGCCGCTTGGAGGTCGTCGTCGTCGACCAGATTTTCCGGTCCGTCTTCCACAACCCGCCTTGTGAACGTGGGCTCTCCATCGACTGCCATTTCATCCTCGTCGTCTTGCGCACGTCTGGTAGAGCGCTTGGCCTTCTTCTTCTTCGGCTTCTTGAAGCCAGCATCGCCCTCTTTTGCATAGTCGGATACCTCAAACTCCTCTGCTCTTCCCATTAGCGTTTTCTTCGCGTACGTATATGAATCAGACGTACTGGCATAGTCGAGGTTCAGCTTGACCTTCTGCGCTGGTGCAGATCCCATCTCCACGTCTTCATCTGCCTTGATCTTTTTCTCTACCACCGCGCCTCCCAACCTGAATCCCTCACTCTTCAAGCCGCCGCCCTTTCCAAGATTCGCATAGTCCTCGTCGTACTTTGCCAGCACGCTTCCTCGCTCGCCTATACGACCCTCGTCCTCAAACTCCTCGTCATCGTATCCAGTATAGGCAGCTTGGGCTTTACGCTTTCTCTCCCGCGCCGCCTTGATCTTTGCGTCCTCTGCAAGGTTCACGTTCTGCAACTCGTCTTCTTCCCCTCCAAGGATACCGCTATCTTTCAAGGTCAGGATCACATCCTCTCCCTCCTCAAACTCTTCCGCCTCGTGCCCCACTTTCAGACCCTTCAAGTCTTCCTCCCCGTACCCCTCTTCAGCGATCCTATCCGCTTCAGCCTGGTCAAGCTCCCGCTGTTTGGCAAGCTGCTGTTGACGTTGCTTTTCACGTTTCTTTTGTTTCTTGATCCAGTCTTTGGCGGAGAGAGAGTCGTCGGTGGAGGGTTGAGAAAGAGTAGAGCCTTTCATCTTTGCGTTGTACGCAGCCTTGTTACGGGCCCTGTACACTTTGTCAGCTTGCCTTCTCACAGCACGAGATGGTATATGAGATACACACTTTTCAATCCTTTCCCTCGTCTCCTTCTCCTTCTTTTCCCTGGCCATATCCTCCCTCCTCTGAGCATAATTGGCTTCAGCGATAGCATCCCTATCCTCCGGGACCTCTGCTCCTTCCCCTTCGCCGCCCTCGGGTGCTACACCGATGAGGGAGAGACCGAGGGCGGCTCTGTGTTTATTGGTCTCTTCGAGAGAGATGGATTCTGTTTTGGATCCCATGTTTGGGTTTGGGTTTGGCTGAAAGAAGTAGGAAGAGCAAATGCGAGTTGAGTGGCAAGTCTGAAGATGAGTGGAACGGAATCAAATCGCCGCCGTCCTTCCTCTGCGACTTCTGATTCTTTGTTTACCAGCACTTTATAAACGTATTTCCCCTTAAACCTCGTGCCAACTGCTCCACAAATCAAAAGAACCAGACCAACATGCCCCCCAAGAGCGGAAAAGCCGAACTCCGAGCATGCCTCGTATGCTCCATCTTGCAGTCTACCAACGACTTTCTTACCCAAGGGTGTCCCAATTGTGAAGATATCCTCGAGGTACGCTCCTTCCCATCCCTGACACACATAGCCGCTCGGTACACATGGCTCTAAAGCAGATGATGTGATAGCTGACATTGGGCTCTCAGATGAGAGGATCATCGGACCGTGTGGCAGAATGCACAAGTCTGTTGTACGACGGAATGATTGCGATGATTGAACCGACCGAGAGCTGGGTTGCTAGATGGCAACGTATAGGTACGTCTCCTTCTCCTCTCTACGGGAAGTTTGCGAAACTAGAAGCTGATACGTTCCAATAGATAAACGGATGCGAGGTATTTACGCCGTACGCGTGACAGGTCGGGCACCACCAGATGTCATTGAAGCTATCGAGTCTAGAGGAGGTATTTACAGGCCGAGAGATGCCGTGGAAGATTAACTCATTGAAGAGAGAGGGTATAAGTGTAGTGGCATAGGGGCTTTGCCGTTATTCGACCGGCGGCTGTCTGGGTTTACTTGTATGTAACTTCTTTGCATAGACAAATCGTCTCCCTATACAGTATTTCGATACGCCTAGGTGTACATCCCCACACCTTCCCCCGCAACATGCCCATGTCTAGCTCCTCTCACCCGTCCCATCCCCGGTGCAGAGTATGGCTCATCATCATCATCTGTCCACTGACTCCTTTTACCCTTGAGGAGGGATGCAATAGACGACGAGGAGGAAGAGAGAGGGGTGGAGAGGTGGGAAATTGCGAGGCGGGAGAGGGGGAGGGGGAGAAGGATGGCTGTTGTGGATTGGAGGGATGTTGTAGGCAGGGCAGACTTTTGAGGTCTCAGCAACCCGTTGTCAGGCATGTTGGGATTGGGGATTGGGGACGTACAAGGGTCAAAAAAGCTCCAGCAAGCCCGGAAATGAAGTTCGGAGGGTCATACCTCTCTGCCCCTTGTACCTCGGTCTTTTGGGACGATGAGGACGAGATGAACCGCACAGGCGGGTCAAGGTGAGAGGATTTGGCCTTGGCGATGTACATGGCGGGAACGTACGACGATAACGTCGTCCTATGATACAGTAGTCAGCTATAGGAGCAAGTCAGATACGATGCAAAAGCATACCATTGAGGTGATTGGATGTCTTCCACGAGCTTCTTCGCAATGGCCCATACACTTTCGTGTGAGAGATCGCCATCGTCCACCAAAACGACCAGCTCCTTCTCAAAAGCTCGAATGACCCCGACCTTCTCATCACCAATCTTGATTACACCCTCTGACCCAGTTGGAGCGGGGAGATGCTTCAATAAGAACCTTCCAGCTTGTCCGGTAGCAACCACCGTCCCCTCCACTGTTCCACCGGTGGGGAGAGTAACAGTTGCAGGCGGTTGATCCAGTTGGATCTTGGGTCGAGAAGCGGGGGCAGACCCGGGGTAAGCTCCTTGTCCTTCTTCGTCGGAAGAGTCGGATTCGAGGAGGTACCGAGGGGGAGGTGCGGATAGGGCGGAGAGAGGGTCGTTCATCTTGACTGATTGTGTGTTGAAGTAGGTCTTGAGATTTTCGAGCTGTACTAGGAGGGGGCGAGTCGAGGAGGAGCGGTCAAGTATAGCAAGAACGACGGTGGAAGCAGGAAGTCTGCTGGAAGTCAAGAAGCGTGCGCGGCGAGCCTCCACTTTCAGACTTCTGTATAATCGACTTTAGCATTTCTGCTTCTAAATCGTAGAATCGTGGACTGGGGGTACATGAATATCGTATTATGGCAATGTGGGCAAACACATTAGAAGCCACGGGCACGGCATGTGCTCCACTTCGCTCTCAGATCACCGTTGAGTCGGCTGACTCAAGTTATGTACAGAGTACTCCATGGATCTATCCAGAACGCAATGATGCCGGCACCCGAAACGTTGAGGCATGGTGGCATCGGCAATGGAGATATCGTAAAGTTACATATGGCAGAACAAATACAGCGGTACTCAGGTTTAAGGCAGCGTGTGATGCCCTACTGGCAACACTCTCTCACAACCGTCATACAATCCTCATGACTTTGAAGAATTGACCGGACTCTACCTACATCAATTTCGTAAGCACGGTCTTCTCTTCAACAGATCCCAGTAAAGAGGAGAGGAAGAAACACCATCTCATGATGATCGTTCAGAATTTTCAGTGTATTGTGAATAAGCCTCTTAGCTCGACCATATTTCAGATGGGCTCGACAGGGTTATAGGTGATCATCGTGACGAATGAAAGGTGCTCCCTCCGCTCTTCCCACTGAGAAATGACTTACGATTGAATGCTGCGTGCAAGAGAAACGAAGAAGAGAAGGGAAAGTTTCGCTGGTAAGGAGCAGGACGTGACTTGGACGTGTCCCCCCACATAAGAGGTGCTTGGACGCGTCGACCACCCGTTTTGTTGTTCTCAGCTGCACTTCCATCTCCTCTTCCATCTCCTCTTTCATCTCCTACAAAAGGGGATCATCTTCGCCCCCCTCCTCCTCTCCCGCCGTCAACGTCCTTTCGAGAGACCCACAACATCTTGCGCGTGACGCGAGAACAAGCTGACGAGGTCTAGAACACGGCTGAAGTAGGCTGTCGCGTGGCATCCCCCATTCTTGTCAACACCCCACGGGTATACTGAGGGTATACGTACTCGTCCTCTAGCGCGACGCGTATCCACCACGTCGACTGGGCACCATGGCCACCCTCGCCCAGCCCAATACCGCCCCGCTCAATACCAGCAGAAAATCACCCAATCTCACATCCTCCTCCACGCAACAGGTCCTCTCTCCCAGAGTTCCTTCCCCTTCCAATGTCCCGACCTCTGTCTCAGAGTCGAACGGGCTGGGTCTTGGGCTAGGGCATGACCATGATCATGACCATGGGCACCCCCACGGCCACGCACATGCCCAGTCTTTCTCTCCGTCAGCGGGAGAAGACCAGCTGGTCAACACGGATGGAAAGGTGTTGCCGGGGCAGTTCAAGGATCAGAAATGTGGGGGCTGCGGAGAGATCATTGACCCTACGCATATGGGCGTGGTGGTTGCTTTTGGGACGACACTGTGGCACGTCGACTGCTTTAGATGCGCCAAATGCAAGGAGAAGGTGTCGGCGGACACCAATCTCTTGCTGCTATCCGACGGCAGTCCCGTTTGTGGCAACTGCTCGTACCAAGTGAGTCGAGACAGATCTTCTCTGGACAAAAGCTTACAGTGTATTAGTGCTTTGTCTGCAAAGAGGCAATCACAGAAGAAGCCATCATGACGGGCGACGAGTCTTACCACGCGCATTGCTTTACGTGTCGGACGTGTAAAAGGCGCATTGAAGAGCTTGTCTTTGCCAAGACTAGCCAAGGGATATATTGCATGGTGCGTGCTTCCCTTCCGTCTGGACCACCACTGACTTTAGATAAAGTCTTGCCACAATGAGAGAGTAGCAAAGTCTCGGCGTCACGCTGAAGCAAAACGCCAAAGACAAGCCCGGCGCGAAGAAAAAGAACGTGAAAAAAGGGAACGCGAAGAAGGAAAGATAGAAGAGGAGACTGCCAACAGACAGACATCTTTGTCTACCCCTCTACCGAATCAAGGTGCATCGGGGTCCTATCTCAATCCTACAAATCCTTCGCAATCTGGAGCGAGCCAGTCGCCGGCTGCTAACGTACCAGCGTCGACGCCTTCACCTAGACCCTGGTCACCATATGCCCACGGGCTGGGCGAGCACGACGACGCTGAAAGAGATCAGGGCAGGCGAGATCTGGCTGTAGGAGACAGAGGTCTGGCGAGGGCGGGGTCTCCCGCGGGTAAACAGTTGGCTGAAGCTTCTGCCATGCCTCTGCCCGCGTCCCCATCAGAAAGCGAAGGTACCCGTCCACTCCGCCCGCCCGAAGCGTCTTCACCCCAACCGCATTACCAGCAGCGTCCCGGCCAACCGCTCCCGTCCCCTCAAGGGCAGAGTCAACAGCAGCCAACTCTTGGGGCGGGGTTGGGCGTGCCGTCCACCAGTAGAGCCGAGAAAAGACGTTCGATCAACCCAAGCATGACCTATGGGATGGACGCGCCCAATTCAACGTTCATGGAGCAGCGTCTCCCGCCATCGCCTCTGCGTGCTTCCTTTACAGACGCCAAGGCAAATCCGAACGCAAACATCAACGCCGGCGACAATGGCGAAAGACCGATCAAGTCGCCAACGTCGCCATCACCGTTCATAGGTGGCCAGTCGCTACCGTTGAGAGATGGTCCGGGGTCGGGTGGAAGCGGGAGCGGAAGTGGTACTGGGGGAGGTAGCCAGCTGCAACAAGCTCAGGCGCAGGCGACTGAGCATCTACGCAACCGTTCCGGTACTCCCGAGCAACAGCAGCAGCAGGTCCAACCGCCATCCCAGGCCCCGCCGAGAACGACCTCTTTGCCGGATCACCTTGCTCAAGCTCAACAGAGGCGGTCGAGGTCTGGCACAAGGACAGAGGAGGATGGTGCTCGGGAGGCGGCTTTACAAACTCTAGAGCCGGGACAAGGGCAAGGGCAGGAGAAGAAGACGCCCATACTTACCGCACCTGATCTGCCGCCGATATCATTCTCGCTATCCGACCCCGACTTTGCGCTGATCTTGAAAACAATGGATCAATCGCCCAACAAGGCTGCTCAAGCCAAGTTTGAGAACGACCAGGATGAACAAGAGGGATCAGCGTCCAAGTCGTTGGCGAGAAGCCCGAGTCTGGACATGCTCTCTGCTATCAACTCTGACCCCCAGGCTCAGTCTCATCCATCTCGACCTCATCTGTCACCGCACTTTTCCGACCCTTACTCGCAGGTCAGGCGCCAGGCTTCTGCGGACAGCACATTCTCCGTCCGTTCCCGCCTAGGCTCCAATACTGGCGCGCCGAGCGATCTCCAACAACTGGTCGAGCTGCTAGCAGAAGCCAAATTCAGAGAAAAAGAGACTGTCAATGTGGATGTGGGCGTATTGACCGGTGTGATCAGGGAGGTGGAAGAGATGAGAGAAGCCATGATGGGACTGAAAAACAAGTATACTGGAGCCAAGCGCTCGAGTCAGCAATACTCTGAAGGCCTTTCTGTCGCCGGCGAAGAATACGACAAGGAACGCACCCGCCGCACTGAGCTCGAAACCGAAGTTTCCCGTCTGCGCGCCCAGCTTCATTCTCAGACCGCGCGTATGAGCGTGATTTCGGGCGACGAAAAGAGGGCGGAGAATATGAAGCGGAGAAGCAAGGATCTGGCGAGTAGTTTGACCGGGTTGGAGAGGGATATATCGAGATTGAGGGTTGAAAGGGATGTGAGATTGGCAGAGGTTGACGAGTTGGCTGAACGGGTTGGGTGAGTCAGACATAAGCACAATTGAAGAGTAGTACACTGATTGCCAAGCAGATTGTCAAATGTTGAACCAAACAAGATATCACAGTCGATCTCCACCCGCCTCGACACAATCCGCTCCCAGTACGCGCAAGAACTCGAGTCTCTCTCCTCTCAGGTCGAGTCGCTTCAACGCGAAATCACCGAGCTTCGCCAGATCAAAGAAGCCAGTCTCGAAGAGTCTGCAGCTCTGGCAGCGAAGAACGAGGATCTGTCAGAGTTATGCTCGCAATTGACAAGACAGACGGAGAGCTTGCAGGACAGTCTCTCGAGGGCGCGGCCACCGACAATCTTCGGCAACGGAAGTGCGTTTGGAGGCAAGGGGGGCAAAGGGCACCACCATTTGCAGAATTCTCCCAGTCTGGCTTCGTTGACAGGCCAGGGGCTGCAAGACGTACCGGAGGAGACGGTGACGGCGAGGGTTGTAAAGGTGACCAAACCGGAAACTGCCGAAGCGGCCCCCGTCAAACGATTCAAGTGGTACAAGTCGTCAAAGGGACCGGAGGCTTCTTCATCCCCTGCCAACATTTCGAAACCGCTTGGTCTTGACAAAGAGGCTGCTCTCACTCAGACGTCCTCGTCAGAGAGGGAGAAGGGCAACAAGACCCGGGGCGGTATGTCGTTGGGTGTTGCTGGGCTGGCGATGGGTGGACTGGCTGGAGGTCTATCCGCGAGACCGAGCACCGAGTTTGGGATGCGGGACCATACCTTCCAGCAACATACAATGATGCGTTTCACGAGGTGTGAGCTTTGCGGGGAAAAGATGTGGGGATTGCAGGAAGTGAAATGTAATTGTGAGTATCGACCCTGAGGTGAAGTCGCTACCAGCTGCTGATATTGAATCAGCTTGTGGAATTGTGTGCCATAGCAAGTGCGCGGAAAAGTTGCCAAGAGGGTGCACGGGAAGTAAGGTCTTGAAGGAAGAGCCCGAGGGGCCTTTGCGTGAGTACATGTCAACGCGTCGAGTGAAACCCCACTAACGATATCATAGTTCCATCAATGTTTGGCCGCCCTCTCACCGAACAGGTCCAAGCCGACCAACAGATGATTCCCACAATTGTCACCAAGTGCATCGCCGCCGTCGAAGAGGTCGGTATGGAGTACGAAGGCATCTACCGAAAGACCGGTGGCTCCTCCCAGTCAAAACAAATCACTCAACTGTTTGAAAGAGGCGACTACGAGTCGTTCGATTTGACCGACGTGGATGCGTTCAATGATATATCGAGTGTCACCTCGGTGTTGAAGACGTATTTCAGGTCATTGCCAAACCCGCTCTTCACTCACGAGCTGCATGAGAGTTTTGTGACTGCTGCTAGTGAGTCGATACTCTATAATCGCAACACTGGAGCTAACGCGTCTTTAGCTATCCGCGACACGAGCAACAAACGCCAAGGATTCCTCGCACTCCTGCAAGAGCTCCCTACAGAACACTTTAATACTCTCAAAGTGTTGATGCTCCATCTCAACCGGGTCACGGCGCACAGTGCAGAGAACTTGATGACGTCGCAAAATCTGGGAGTGGTCTTTGGTCGTGAGTCTCTCCTTGTGTGTGGATGAGCTGGTGCTAATCATTGCCGTAGCTACCTTGATGCGCTCATCGGATCCCAGCAGAGAGTTTGGGGATATGGCGGGCAAGGCTCTGAGTGTTCAGTGGTTGGTAGACAATGCCCTCTCGGTGTTTGGACAAGATCGCGAGTAGGGTGGCAGCTCACGAGCCGAGATCGTGCTTTGTATCATATACCCTGTGGACATGGTGGACATTCGTCTCGGCGATCTTTCTATCTTTTCTTTCTTTGTGTACTTCTCCTGTCTTTGTTCTACCATTTCCCTCGTTTTCTCTTTTTACACATCCAGGCATGTGAGTACTTGTCTTATGAAGGGGTTTCTTTATGCAGGTTTTCCCAAGAGGAGATATGTTTCTGGGGCGTTTCTCTTCTCTTTTCTTTCCAGGACAATGCAAGAGCATGAGACGCTAGCGAGCAATCTATGACTGAGGATAGAGTGTACATGAGATTGTTACAAGGCAAGGCTACGACTACTCGGAATCACGGGCAATATCGTGATGTGATTCAAAAGACTTAGACCGCGTAGCTTGTCTGGTCATGAGAAGGCACATAGATCGAAGGCTTACTTCCCTGCTCAGCTCTTACCCCCAAGCTGGCCCCATCCTTCTCATCCAACACAACCTGCTGCGCATCTTGTATATTGAGAGACTCCCACGTAGGCGGCTCCTCCTCACTAGGCGGCAACGCCGACATGGGCGCCTGGCCTTCCCTATGGAAATCACTTTGATTATTGAGAGTCCACTCGGGGCGGCTCTTGAACTTGCCCCAAGAAACCCTGGCGATGAAGGCCGAGAGACAGCAGAGGAAGGCGACAAGCTGCATAAAGATGGCGGGGCCAGGTGTGGGGTGGGCCTGAGATCCGTCGGGGAGGGAGAGGTCGGAGAGGCGGACCAGGAAAGAGAGGTCCAGCGCCCACTGTGCGAGTGCGATTAGCTCTGAGAAACTTTGAGGCAGGAGGCGACTTACAGCAGTCAGGATCAAGATACCAGACCAGCCTGTGGCAGCAAAAGACCAGCGAGTCCAGTCATAAGCGTTCTGCTGTTTGTTGTGCCACTGGCCCGAGGCGGCAAGGGTCCAGGTGAGGGCCATCCATACAGAGGCCGTAGCTGCAACCACACCCATCAGTATTGCAATGAACGTAAGGCCGGAGGGACCTACCAAAGATATGCATGAGACCATTAGCGATCAGAAAAGAAGCAGGGATGGTATCATTGATCTCTTGGAACGATGCCAGAGATTCAGGAAGCTTGCCTGTGATTGAAGAGAATGGAGCACTGAACTTTCGGTCGGAAGAGCAGAGATCGCTACCACCCATGTCAGCTCTTTCACAGTCATATAGCTCGAGGGGCAGCGTACCTGACCCCGGGCACACCGGAAGCACACCATCCCCAGACCCCCCAGCTCAGCTTTCCAACGTCGCTAGCCCCAATCTTACCAATATACAGCCCATCGACGATCGGTGTCGATAGAGTCGACATCAAGACCAGGAAAAAAGCGGTAAAGAGAGGGAAGAAGAGGAGGGTAGCTTGATTACCATCCCAAGGACGGTGAGGAGGGGAGGTGTCGATAGTGACGATGGGTCCTAGAGTCTTGCGCATGGTATCAGGAGTGGCTCTGTTCGCCGAGCGGTGCTCAGTGGGATCTGTATTTGAAGGTGATGTTGGCGATGGTGATCAAGGTTGCCATGCAAAGGAGCGAGACTTTGAATGAAAGTTTGTCAGTACCAGACTTGATTTGGGATCGGCTTCGGGGCGAGTTGCAGAGGGGGAGCTTGGTTATGTAGATGGTTTGAGTGGTCGATGGTCTACCATTGGTGGATCCTTTGTGACTACTGAAACGTCGATCAACCTTTGTGGGGATTCCTGTAGATGGGCGTTGGCGTGGAGCGTCAAGACCCAGTCTGGACTAGGCTCCTCCAAACGGGGGATAAGGGAGCTGGGCATGAAGGGAGGTGCTGCAGATTGTGAGAACTGCAAGGAATAAACTCATCACCATCGTCATTGGCTCCGTAAGCCAAAAGTCCCATTGTATTAATGATGCGTTTGACAAGCTTCCGATGCATGCATCATATTTCTATTGAAGAGACTTGACGAAAGCCTGAATACTAGGTCAGTATGCGGCGGATGGAATAACCGGGGGAGAACTTGCCTGCTCAAGCTTCGACACCTCCGTCTTGAACGCCTCGACCTCCTTCCAGCAATCCAGGGGCTTGTTGGGGTTGGTCCTGATGCGACATTAGCCATAGTCAAGTCGGATAAAACACGACCTACAGGTAGCACTTCTCCACACTCTCCCTCGCACTCTTGACCGCCGCTCCCTCCTTGGTCTTTCTCTCCCTGATCCTCTCGACCTTTTCCCTGATCTCCTCAATATCCTTGCCCAAGACTTCCGAGCTCATCCCTGGCTTCTCCTTGTCCAAGTTCTCCTTCTCCAACGCGGCCGAGATGGACTTGAGGATCTCGGCTTCCTGCGATCGGAGGTGGGCAGACTCGGCAGCAAGTCGGCGGCGGACGACTTCATCAGTGTTGGCGTGAGGGTCTGTGGGCTCGTGGGGGGAGGAGAGACGGGAGATGAGAGAGGGGGAAAACTGCGTGGGTGTTAGAGATGACGTGGGGCGAGGAGGGGGGCGTACTTGGACGGAGGTGGAGGGTTCTTGGGGGGTGATGACCTGCTCCTGGGGAGCTTGAGAAGACTGCGCGGCGCCCATGGTGGAGTATAGGGTATATAGGATGGATTTGCTTGGAATGGAAATGATAGAGGTCATAGGCTCCGTCTCGAGGCTGCCCGCGCCTAACCCGTCCCGGGATTGCTGGAGATAGGCGCGGGCGAGATGTGGTTCTCTCTTCGCTCGCTCTCTTCGTTTTTCATTCTTCTCTTTCATCTCAACCACTTCTAACCCCTAGGGATACTATCCAACACCGACACCCAACAACGAACTGTCCAGGGTACAAACAGCCAGATCCAACCCACGCTTCCCCCTACAGCCCAGCTCAATCCATGGCTGCGTACCAGGCGCTCTCCGCAATGGCCAACAACCAATCCGGACCCTCCTCCTCCCTCTCTATCAGGGGGGCAGCAGCTGGCGGGCCCGCATCCAGAGTCGTGGCCAATGCCCTGAGGGGTGCTGGGATCTCGAGGTCGTCGGCGGCGCAAGGAATGGACATAGACGGTGGTGTCCAGCGGGGACCAGGCAGGGGCGCAGCGAGGCGAGGAAGGTCCAGTGGACCTCTTGATCAGGTAAGTGATGTTTCCAACTATCTCCTCTGGCGGTGCTGGGAAATCCAGGGTTGCCCGGCCAGAAATATGTCGCCATGAGCCTCGAGGTATTCGCCACCCTGAGGCAATCTGGCCATGTATGACAGGGTAGACAGAGATACAGCAACCTTCGCCATCTCGTATCGAGACACGAGTCTCTTTTCATACCCCGCCTGCCTTTCCTTTCTAGGGAAAGGACATTGGATCACGGGTGAGACACGACACAAAACCTCTCTTCCGCACTTTGCCTCGCTCCCTCAGCACCATGCCACCAGACACCTCTGAAGATTTTGAAATGATGCTTACCGACTCGGAATATCCTCCTCTCCCCCATCGGCCCTCTATTTTTACTCGTCATCGTCACCCCTTACCTCGTCGACCGGTACATATACAACCCATTCACATTCCAAATCATGTCTCTACACAATTTCAACGCCCGTATAACCTATATCCAAACAATCGAACGCACTATCAGACTGGCCGCCATCGACCACCAGTCAATGGTAGAGATGATTCTCCCTACGCAAAACGACCGACCAATGTGGCAAAGCCCGCGCGGGGTAGAGGAGGGCGTCATTCACACCCGGGGCGGAATCCTGCGGGGACACCACCGACCCTGGCTGATCTGAGGCGAGGCGGCACACCAAGCAAAGCCGAGACGGATCACGCCAACTCTCAGCTGAAACAAAAGCTGGGGAGTGAGGAAATGAAGGCGTGGTTGAGAAGCAGGATGATCTCTCCGGGCGTTCTGGACATGTCGGTTAGTGTCATCTATGTTGATATCAGGGCCGCGCTGATTGTTGTAGAACCTCCAACATGACGAATGGCTCAATACAAGTGGTATCCTCCCTCCCGGCCACGTTCGCGCCCCTCACAACTCTGGTATCGTTTTCTGGCGTCTGATCGACTCGGTTCTCCAAAAGGTACTCAGAGTCACAGCCTCGCCCCTACTCTGGCTAATGATCTACAGACCGACAATACACCCATTCACACCCTTACACTCGGCTCAAACGATTTCCACCACCTCAAACAGCTTGAAAAACTGCCTTTCTGGCTCCCCGATATTCGAGCGCTTGACTTGAGCGACAACCCCATCAATCATATCGCCGAGCTGGACAACATCCTGGCGTCTGGAGAGAAGAAAGGAAAGGCGAACGCCGGGATGGGGAGTTTGAAGAGTCTGGTAGAGCTCAAGTTGAACGGCTGTGCTTTCAGGGAAAAGACGTTGGCGATGCAAGATGGAGAGGCCATCTATAAGCAGTACGTTCGTTCTTTGTCTATCGTCGCAAGTGGCTAACATGTCGCAGTGAAATTCTCCGGCGATTCCCTGGATTGAGGATTCTCGACGGCGTCAGTCTCGAACGTGTCGTCTTTCCCATCGAAAGGAAGCCCAAAATCAAACACACAGACGAGCAAAAGGCTGCACTCGTTGCTAGGCCATACACTTTCCCTGTGGAGGTCAAGCCCGAGTTCTTTTCAGAGGCTGCTGCCAAAGACTTTGCCATGAGCTTTTGCGCCAGGTTGGTATATCTTTTTCAGAGACGACGCCAGCTAACATATGGTCAGATATTTTCCCTTATTCGACAATGCCCGGGGCGAGCTTCTACCGGCTTATGCCCCCAACGCCCTCATTTCTATCGCAGCAAACACTCTCAGCTCTCGCTCTTACCTCGCCACCCAGGTCGTCCCCCGTACCCGCTCCGAGCGCCCCCAACCCGTCCCCTTCGAGCCTTGGACCAAGCTCCCTTCTCGAAACTTTTTCCGTAACGCTACGAGTATTCAACAGCGAATGGAGACGCTCAAGACGAGGGCGGACCCGGAGAAGTTGTTGGAGTGGTGGGACAAGAATGTGCCCAAGACGGAACATCCATTGACGGATGCTGGGAAATGGTGTTTCGAGTGTTGGGTGTTGGATAGTGAAGGGGGACGGGTGAGGTTGTGTTTGCAGATTCAGGGAATGTTTAGGGAATGTAAGTGGGCCTGTCTTTTGATTGACTTGGTACTGACGAGCGGTGTTCAGTGCCTTCGGGGACCTATCGATCTTTCTCCAGAACATTCATCCTGGTTGAAGCGCCTCCAGACTCTCCGTACGTATACACACACTACTTTCCAGTCCCGAGCTAATGCCCTGCTAGTGCTGTAGCTGCAGGGTTCCCCGCGACGATCCTCTCAGACACCATGATTGTCCACTCTTACTTGGGCTCCAACGCATTCGACGGTGTGCAGCCTTTGGCATCCCACGGCGTCACCATTCAACCGCCCTCTATTCCCTTTTCCCCCAGCGAAGTCGTGATCCCCGCCGGCGCCCCCGCCGCTGCTCCAGGCCTTCCTGCCGCAGGCGCACCCTCAGAGGCGGAACAACAAGCGCTCGTGGCCCAAGTGTCACAGAGGACGCGGATGAATGCCCAATTTGGCATGATGTGTCTAGCGCAGAATGGGTGGGATTTGGAGGCGGCGGTAGCCAATTTCGAGGAGATCAAGGGGTCGATTCCTCAGGAGGCGTTCTTGTAGACGGGGAAGGGCGTGCATGGGAGAGGGGGACTGTGACTGTCGGCACCAGTAGTTATCAAACCATACAAAAGTAGCATTTCAGTCCATAGAAGACTACAGACACTTTTCTTATATAGCATCGTTATCTTTTCATTCTTTTCATGTTCGTCTCTGTTACGAGTTGTGGAAACTTTCCCCAGAATATGAATCGACGTGAGATCGGCATCTGCACGGGTCTTGTCCACTGGTACCTATACTCGATGCATGGTATACACAGTCTTCTCATATTCTCCACATGCGCGGTGATTCTCATATAATTGATGCTCATAAGCTCGTGACGAGCGCAGTTAGAGCTCCTCCCACCGGGTGAGGTCCATGGGCTTGGCGAGACGGGGCACGACGTAGGGGTCGAAAGTCTGTTAGAAACGATTATCAGCTTTCCCTTCCTTTCTTTCACTCTTGTTTGTTGATCCAGAGCGTACCTTCCAGTACTAGACAAGCCAGAACCCGTCAGCCATAGGACTTCAAGGTAATATGGAAAGCAGAGAGACGTACAGGGTTGTTGAGATGGTACTGCTGAGACGATTCTTGCTCGTACCGCTCGACGATACAGAACTTGGTCTCGTCCTTGGGGTCTTGCATCACATACCAGTCGATAGTCTACCCACCCAAGTCAGCTTTTCGTCCCAGCTTATCAGTAGATGGGGAGAGGCACCTCTTTGTCTTTCTGGTAGATCTCAGACGCTTCCTTGAGCTTGGCCTTGATCTCCTGGACGGCCTCCTACGTATCGCGACAACAGTGTCAGTGGAAGGGTGCACGTGTTTCAAGGGGAGGGAAGAGACGGACGGGGAGGGATTGGAGGTGGACGACGATAGTGTAGACCATTGTGCTGTGCTGTAGATACGTAGATGGAGAGAGGATCAACGAATTGGCGGTCTTTGTGGGGGATCGAAGGGCCCCGTGAGGAAACGACAGCGGGGCCAAAGGTGAGGCGGCGAATGCCGCAGCTCGCTTAGCCGAGCTCTTCTCCTGCGCTGCTGATCCTGACAAAGTGAGGAAAAGACTTCCCTGGCCAGTGGCCATAATGCAACCATGACGTCATATGTATTTTTCCCAAGTCACAATGCAACCACGAACTTTTTCCGCGGACACAATGCAATCTTTTCAATCTTTTCCAGTCACAACGCAACCATCCTTTTTTCTAATATGAGTCCGGGATTTCCGGCATCCTAAATACGATGCACCTCTTGTAAATACCATTAGGAGTTCCAGGCCCTGTTAGTCACCCACCCAATCCCGGGTGATGTGGCATTACATCATCAATATCATGAATACGTACACCGAATTTGCATTCGTTTCTTGTCTTCTTTCTATTCAATTTACCACAAGCCATACCCCTCTTCCCTTCCATGCATTTCCCCCTCAACCTCAATCGCACCCCCATCGTCGCTTTCCAACCACACCTCCCCTTCAGCGTCTTCATCTGTGCCCACGTCCGCCAGAGGCTGCCTACAAAGCCCCAGTAGCCTAC